CTTTAATCCGACACATGAAAGGGCAGTTTTGGAAAAATTTAAAAGTAATACAATTTAGTGAGTATTAGCACTAATTTTGTGGTGCGGACCGTACGATCATAGACGAGAGGGTTTATAAGTAGCCGACAGGTTCTGTTGCGACAAAGACCGGTCTGGTTCCTTTTGGCAAGTCGTATGTAGGTCTGGTTCTGGACATACTTGCCGCCACGTGTACGAATGGCATACAGATACGAGTAACCGGTGGAGTTTTCGAGAAGATTTCGACGGTGGCGCGTGTAGTGCAGGTGAGATTATTGAAGGGATTAAAGGGATTGAAGGGATTAGGGAAGGGAAAGGGTGTAAAGTACGCTGAAAGGCTGAGACGACAAGGAGCAGCAGCAGCACCCGCGTAAAAGTCGAGGGTTCTCTCTGCCAACAAAGACAACTGCTTTTTCTGATCCTTTCATTTTCCCCCCCTAATTTTCTTTTCCACGCCTCTCAACGCGCGTGTTCCTCAAAGCCCCCATCTTCTATTACGTTATTCCACACGCGCCTTACTTCTAGAGTGGGCTTCCATTAATCCACCCCTATTGTTTTCATTATTTTTCTTCTGAGATTAAGAAAAAGCGAGTGCTTGTGGTTTAATTTAAAAATAAAAAGAAAATTACTTTTTTAATTGTCTTTTTCTTTTGTGATATTTCGAAATATCATAATTTTATTTTTAGTTTTATCCTTTTATCACTAATGAATACTTTTATCATTTGTTTTAGTTTTTAGTTAATTAATTAAAATTTACAAGTCTTTTTATTAAGTTAATGGTAAAAAGTGAGATTTGTTTGAAAATGATGAAGAGTTTAAGGTTATTCAAATAATTTATTTACTCTCTTGATTTTTACCTCCCCCTTTAGTAACATTAATTTCAACCCAAGTGTGGAAGTAAAAATTGGTAGGGAGAGAAAGGTATTGGAAGCACAATAATTTGACAAAAATTACAAAGGAACAAAAAAGGAAAAAACTTTTGTACAACCCTCGGTGATCAATGGGTCACAATGGTCCACGTCTTAATTAGAGAAAAGAAAAAGAGAACAAGAGAAAATGATTGTTCATAACGAGCACTTATTTGTTTCTAACCCCATCACTTTATTCACATTCTCTTCTTCCAAATTTTCTATCGTCATACCATGCACATCTTCCTCGGTCAAAAATAAACTTTTATTTTTAATGGTCATCAGATCTCATCTCGACTCTAGAGAGGAGCAAATCAAGTGTGTATACCTCTTCCTAATAAACATGTTTTAAAACGGTAAGACTAGTGTCAATACGTAACCGATTAAAGAATTTTAATATATATTTTTTTTAAGTGAATTAAAAGTAAATCGTTGCGTGGAGTAATAATTAAGATGCTATATAGTATAATTCATAGGGCCATTCTTCAATAAAGTAGAAGTAGTTTGATTTTGGTCAAAAGAAAAGAAAAAAAAAATTGCATGTGAATCCAATCTCAAATTTTCAAAAAAGTTGGGGTAAAAAAGAAAGGTTACTTTTGGTGTGTTATTCCCATTCTCGAGTGATTCATGGTGAAATGAAGCCGAGTGTTCGTGCAAACTTTATAAGTTTTTAATAATAATTCATTATAATATATAGTTTTGACCTGGAAAATCAATCGTGGTTATACCTTTGGCCGGTGGGTCAAACACATTATATCGTAACGCTTTCAACTTGATTATGGGAATTTTAATTATCATAATAACGACAAATTGATGTGTCCACATGTAGGGGCTAACATTTTGTTCTTTGTTATCCTTTGCCCCTATATGCCTTGCACGTGAGCCTTCCACTCCCTACATCACAATAATTGATTTATAAACCCAACAAGTTCTAAAATTATTCACCCACTTTAATTTTAAATTATTTAATCATAAAAATTAAATTTATTGAATAAAAAATATTTTATTCTCATCTCCAATCGACGCGAGATCTTACCTAACTTGTTTGAAATTTTCTTACCTTTTTAAACAATCCACATATACCGACCTTTCAATGGTTCTTATCATATTAGGACACGTAGGTTCTAATGTTAATAATATCTGACTTTTATGGGTATAATAAGTACTTCTCTTTGATCGAGAACAAGAATAACGTTAATTGATTGAAAAGTTATTTGTGGGTATGAATTTTGAAAAAAGAACATTTAATTAAATAAAGGATTTGTCTTTTATTGAAATGAATGATGGTGGTATTGATTAAAGAGAGATGTCGTATGAAATTATTATTATTATTTATTATTATAAAGATTAATATTTTTAAAAAAGGACGGGCGTAGAGCTTAGGGAGGCGTAGATATAGATGGTACAAAAAAGCTTATTATAGAGATTATATTTGTAATAATGTGTTGGTGATAGGTTTCCCAAGGACCAATAGCTGAGGCCTATACTCGTAGCCACCAACACACAAATTACTAATTATCCATTTTTTTTTTTAATTTAAGTAAGTAAACCAACCATTAATTAAATCATTACTCAAATTAAAGCTTTAATCGTCACAGTGGTTAGAATAATAGAGAGACATTAATTACTCAACAAATAACGCAACATGATTGAAATAATACGCTAACAAAAAAAAAGATACAAATATCTCATTATTAGATTACATCATAACTCTATAAATCTCATTAATGACGATATACCTCTATTTCATACTAGGCCTCTTTTTTTGGTAACATATAAAATCATGTCTAGGTATACTCTAGTGAAAAGATAGATTTTATGTTGTGGGTAGTTTGACTCATAAATAGTGCGCAATCCCAACCAATAAAAACAAGGTAAAAAAACAAGAAAAAAACGAGTTGTATCCTTTAAATCACGAGCGTATTAAAGTCTAGAGTTTTGTTATGAGAAAAGGCAAAAACATGGTGTAGCGTTCAAAATTAGGTAAAAACTCTCTTCACCTTTATGTCTTGTTTGGTTCTACATTTACGGAATGTTTGTATAATTCCCATCTTATCCTCCTTCTAATTTTTTATTAATTCCCTCATAATTATAAAAAGATAAAAAAATATTTTTTATAAAAGTGTGAAAATCTCTATCTACAAACAAAGATGAGATAAGGAAGCATTGAGAAACACGTGGGTAGAGGGCGCGTGAGGGTGAAAGGCTACCAGTAAAGGATAAAAGCAGAGACTGAGAGAGGACGGATTGGGCATTGAGTTGTAACCCGTTTTGTCCGGGTTATGGAGCTTCCTAGTCCATCTATTCCACCTTTTTTTATTTACCTTTTAATATATAATTTTATTTATTGAATAAATAAATTAAAAAAAATATAAAAGAAAAGGGTCTGGTCTGGGTAGCCCTGTATTTTGGGTTTATTGCAATTGATGACTCTGAAAGGGACCTGCCATTCTCAAATTGCTGTTGACACATTTGTCCACACTTTGTTACATTTTACAAATTTGCCCCTTTTTCCTTTTGGGGAAAAAAGATTCCCACATGATAATGAACATGAATTTTGCTAATTATAATGTCTACACCTACAATCCCTTTATTTATTTTACTTTATGTTTTTTTTCAATTTCCTCATATTTTGCAACTATATTTTATACGATTAAATTACTAAAAATACCTTTAAATTTTGTAAATATATTAATAAAATTTAGTCTAATTTATTAATAATTGATTTTAAAATTGGAAAAGTGGTGTTTTTTTTCTTTTGTAATTAATGTCTTTTTTTGGGAAATTGAGGGAGAAAGACAACAAAAGGCCAACTTTTCTATTGCATGAGAGAGAGAGAAAATCAAGAGAGAGAAAGAGAGAGAGAGATGTTGTCAAGTGAACTACGCTTGTGATAGAACGTTTGTTTAATTTTATTAATATATAGATTTTAAAAGTTTTAATTTTTAAATTTTTAAATTTAGTTAAGAATTGAAATGTTTTTAATTTTTTTTAGGTAAACTAGTAATTAATATTTGAAATAAGGTTAATTAACCTCATTTATTAGAAAAGTAATCACCTGTTGTAATAATGACAAAATGGTGTAAGCAAAAATAGGCAGAGAATCTTAAAATGAGGTTTAAATAAGTTCGTAACTAACCAACATCAATATTGTCCCAACCACTAATTAATTATAGTGTCCCTAATTCGGATAGAAATGATTACGCTATTTCAAATATGGTACCTTACTTTTTGTCAAAGGAAATCATAACACATCTTATTTACCTGTGAGCTTTCAATAATTAATTTGAAGTTATTGATTAATACTTCAAAAGTTATATACACGTTGTTTCATCGTCGTTTACAAAATAAAACACTTACATAATATTTTAAAATAAATTAATAAATAAGAAAATATTGGACGCTTGTACAACTGGGTTTTCAATAATCACGGAGTTTAAAATGGAGGAGAGTTGGTAGATATTGTCTATTTTGTCCGTGGGATCTCATAATCTATTTTTCTTGGGTTCAACTTCATCACTGATACACCACGTAGTGTCTAACTCTTATACTATTTGTAATAGCTAAAGACTTCCATTAACATATATCGTTCACTTTCATCCGTTATGTATCGTCATTAACTTCACACTTTTAAAAACTAGTATACAGGAGAGATTTTAATAGCTCGATAAGGAATATTTCGTTTGTCTCTCAAAATGATAGAGACCCGATTAATTTAGATAAAGAGGTAGGAGAAAAGGGAGTTTTGATTGAGTTCTCAAAAATTAGTTTCTGGGTTTAAATTTGAATGTTCTTAAGCTAAATTCATCCTAGTTTCGTGGTGAGAAGCTCTTCAATGTTTGTGGAAGAATGAGGAGATGATAAAGATCGTAAACGGAGATTGAGTTGCTAGAAAAACCAAAGCTTTTGGATAATTTCTCAGATTTTGAATGATTTATGAAGAGCTGGAAGAATAGAAGAGGATGATGATGATTAAGGGAGAGAAAAAAGAAACATGAAGTTGATTAGAATTGATTAAGAAACGGAATTAAAAATTTGTAGCAGAAGAGAGAGAGAGAGAGAGAGAGAGAGAGAGAAGGAGAGAGGGAAACAGAGGAAAGCAATGCAAAGGGATGAGGGATACGAGGGGGATTTGTGGAGGTAGAAAGGGACAGGATAGACATCCCACCGGAAATACGGGCGAGCCGTACACAAATCGCTGTTTATTCAGTTTGTGATATTATAATAATGCTGGAATTTAACTAACCAATGCACTACAGACACTACTCTACTTACTTTTTTTTTTTTTTTTTTTTTTTTTTAATTTCCTCCCCTTTCTCTTTCTTCTTCTTCTTCTTCGTCTTTCTGTCATACATCACTCCTTGCAGTCGCAGTATTGCAGCGGCTGCAGTACTGCTCCAGTTCAGTCTCTGCTGCAGAAGCAGAGAGAGAGAAAAAGGGAGGTGAAAATTTGTTACTTTTGTTTTAATTAACATATCAAATCTTGATTTGATATCCCCCAACCCATTTCTCCCTAATTCTATCTTCCCACATCCAAAAATAAAAGAAAAATACGAAATTTGGGTGTAAGCGTAAAAGGGTCGAGCGAGACAGAGCTGAGAGAGAGAAAGAGGGAGAAGGGTCAGAAGGGTGTGGAGTGTGTTGTTTTCTGAGCGAGACCCTCTTTTAGCATTTGCGAAGGTGCACCCATTTCTAAAAATGCAGGCATGAGCTCCTTCTCCTCTTACCTCGAACTCTTTCTTCTTCAGTTCCTGAAGCTCTCTGAGACCCCTCATCTCTTCAGGCTTCTATTTAAGAACTTTTTTGTTCTTCTTCTACTTTTATTGCACCTCCTTTCTTTCTTCTAGGGCTACGATTCAAATGGGTGCTCTCATCGATCTTAATACCACTGAAGAAGATGAATCTCCCTCTTCTGCTGCTTCCTCTGTTTCTTCTTCCTCTGCTTCTGCTCTAACCTCCTCTCCTTCGCCTTCTCTTACCTCTTCCATTTGCTTGGAGCTATGGCATGCTTGTGCTGGACCTCTCACCTCTTTGCCCAAGAAAGGGAACTTGGTTGTCTACTTGCCGCAGGGTCACTTGGAGCAGATGCAAGAATTTCCGGCTACGCCCTCTGATCTCCCTCCCCACATCCTCTGTCGCGTCATTGATGTTCAGCTTCACGTAAGCCCATTTTTCTTGCTTCTTTCTCTTTTGGGTGTGAGCTTTTTGCAGTGTTGATGATCTGTTCATGCCATTTTCCCGATTCTGCCTGATTTCTAGCAATTGAATTGGGATGATGGGGTTTCACTAACTCTTTGAAAAATGCGCTTTTAAAGCAGGCTGAGGCTGGGAGTGACGAGGTTTATGCTCAGGTTTCATTGCTTCCTGAAAACGAGGTGGGTTTCTTTTTTCCCTATTTTTATGTGTCGTTTCCACTCCGAGAAAATACTGTGCCCCCTCCAAAAGAACAGGCTTGAAGGGGCTGATTTTGATCATTTAGGGTGTTTTCTAGTCGAAAAGATGATATTTGAAACTCCCACATCAAGGCTTGGATGAACTCTGTTGCACAATACAAATCTTATCTCTTATTAGTAGGCTATAATTTCTGTTCTTTTTGGTAATGCGCGTTATTTTCTTCTTCCTGCACCCCTTGTGCTTCTATGAATCAGATGAGAAGATTTTGTTTCTGAATATCATTCTTGTTGTACAGCAAATGGAGCACAAGATGCAGGAAGAGATGAGCAATGACATTGAGGAGGAGGATGTTGAAGAAGGTGAGAAGACCACAACACCTCACATGTTCTGCAAGACCCTTACTGCTTCAGACACTAGTACTCATGGAGGATTCTCCGTCCCCAGGCGTGCAGCGGAGGATTGCTTCCCGCCATTGGTAATTGTTAAACTCAAGCTTTTTTGTTTAAACACTTACTGATAATTCAACATTCTCAATCTTGTTAATTCAACAGGATTATAATCAACAGAGGCCTTCACAAGAGCTTGTTGCAAAGGATCTCCTTGGGCTAAAATGGAAGTTCAGGCACATATATCGTGGTATGACATAGGAATCTCACATATTTGGTGCCTTACTTTCGGAGACGAATCCTTGTATGCGATTACTTGATCGCAGCCGTTCGTTTTCCCTAGTATGTGCTTCTGAGTTCCCTCTCTGATTTGAGCAGGGCAGCCTAGAAGGCATTTGCTAACCACTGGATGGAGTGCATTTGTGAACAAGAAGAGGCTTGTTTCTGGTGATGCAGTGCTTTTTCTTAGGTATCTAAGACTTGGGAGCCTGATTAAATTTCAAACTTTGAGGAACACAAGCCTTGTGTATGATTATCATATGCTTTTACTTTTAGGGGAAACGATGGTGAATTAAGACTGGGAATACGAAGAGCTGCACAGCTTAAAAGTGGTTCTACATTTTCTAATATTTGCAGTCAGAAGCTCAACTCTAGTAGTATCATGGATGTGGTTAATGCTATATCTTCCAAAAGTTCCTTCAGCGTATGCTACAATCCTAGGTATCTAATTCTTATACCATTTGGTTTAGTTCCTTCATATCGCACGGTTCTTAAGTATTTTGAATCTCTGCCTTTTTATGCAGGGCTACCTCTTCACAGTTTGTCTTGCCTTTTCATAAGTTCTTGAAGAGCATGAACCGTTCCTTCTCTGTTGGAACAAGGTTTAGGCTGAGTTTCGAAACCGAAGATGCTGCTGATCTGAGGTGTGCTATTAATGATTTGCTGCTTTATAGATAAAATATGGTGCTGGAATTTTCACTGATATTTCCATCATACTCCTATTCACAGACACACTGGACATATAACTGGAATTGGCGATGTTGATCCTATCGGATGGCCGGGATCACGGTGGAGGTCCCTTATGGTATTAAACATTGACAACTTTTCCTTTTACACAGAAGAGTTGAAGTTCATACAGTTCATGAAAAAGTAGCATTCTTGCATCTCTCACCAAAGTTATGCATGGCATCTTCTGTTTTCTTCTGTCCAATTTTGAGAATCACAGAGGTTCAATAACGTTGCTCTATATTGTCTAATCTGATGTTTTCTTAGGTGAGGTGGGACGATGGCGAAATCAACAGGCATGGCAGGGTTTCGCCTTGGGAGATCGAGCCCTCTGGTTCTGTTTCTATGTCTAGCAACTTGGTTCCACCTGGTCTGAAAAGATCCAGGATTGGACTCCCTTCCACAAAACTAGAGTTTCCAGTTCCACGTGAGTCTGTCATTTACACCACCAGATAGTTTATAACAGAAGCACTCATTTGTTCTATCTGTTATTACTTGCAGATGGGATTGGAGCAACAGACTTTGGTGAATCTTTAAGGTTCCATAAGGTCTTGCAAGGTCAAGAAATTTTAGGCTACAATACTCCCACTGACTGTGATGACAACACCCGTTATCATCCACCTCAGAAGAGGAGATCGTTGCCTGACTTACATGGTTCTGGTATAGCTCTGATGAGAAATGGTCCCAGAAACCGACTTATCAACTCCGAAACTTCCTCACGGGGTTTCGTGTTTGATGAATCCTTCCAATTCCAAAAGGTCTTGCAAGGTCAAGAAATATTTCCAGGTCCCTTTTATGGTAGGGCCATGGCCACCAATGAAGTTAAGGAAAGTGGTGGTTGCGGTCCTGTCGATGGTTTTCGATTGTCTACGACTAGAGATGGATGGCCCACGGCAATGCAATGTGAAAATTTCCACACACGCTCTTCCATTCCTTCTGCTCAAGTCTCTTCACCATCTTCTGTATTCATGTTTCAGCAGTCAATGGTTCCTGTCCTATGCTTTGATTCACATAACCGTGGGATTATGAACAAAAGTACATCCCATAATTCTGGGACAGCATTTATGACCGACAATAGCATGTGTCCCACTTCATTGGGCGAGCTGAATCTGCTGGGCCTATCCCATCATTCTACAACAACAGCTTCAGCGTTTTCGGGCACTAAAGATCTGTCTTCAACTACCAAAGCTGGCTGCAGATTGTTTGGGTTTTCATTGACAGAGGAAAAGAATGTTGGGAATACAGACAAGGGTTCTCCAGCAACAACTCCCATTCATGCAGGAACCACCATTGGAGCTCAATGTCCTTTGAAGTCTCCTCTGATGAGCAAGGTGGTTGGAAGCAACTGTACCAAAGTAAGTAACATATCTGCTCGTGCCGTAGAGGCAATATATTTTGCATAAACATATTCGACGATCGAATCTTCGAGATCGAACTCTGAGAGGCCCCTCTACAATCAGGCTATGTAGATGCTCAGCTTCTAATTATTTTTTTATTTTATTTTTTGTTTTTCAAAGCAAGAAAGGTGGGATAAGAAAAAGTGTCACGGCCTGATAAATCTGATCTGCATTGTTATGCAGGGGGCTCTTCAGTACCACTATGCAAATTACAGTACCTACTACTGAATGGGTCTTGACTTCTTTGGGGTTAACAAATGAAGAAGACTGCTGCCTAGTTTTATTTGTGTCTGAATTAGAAAACAATGCTTTTTACTTTGAAATCTTCTCTAGTTTTTGGGCCTCGATTCGGTATGAATTATCGAACGAAAAGAACGCTTTGCGCTTTGTTTTGATTGTAATGATACCCATTTGTCGTTGTTGTTGTTGTATCTCAGATTGTAATTTGTGTATTGTTTAGTATGAATGTTATAAGTTGCAGCAGCTATGCCAGTTTGTAGAAGTGTGAATGAGGACGCTTCAATCGTTGAATGGGAACCGTTGAACGACTAATTAAGAAAATGATTATAAGTTTATTAGTAAAGAATACTTCACCATTGTCGTGAGCGATTCTAGAATTTATGTTTAAAGTAGATAATGTTGTATCATTGTGGAAGTTCGTGATCCTTAAAAGCTACAACTACACTAGTCCATCCTCCGGTGACTATGACTGCAACTAGATTCCATAGGGTTCGTAGTCACAATGTTGAGCGCCCCGCTCAAATCGCTGCCTCGGTCCCTGGAGTCTTCTACAAGCCTCCCTCCATTTTCTTTTGTTCACATTGTTCATTTCTCTCGCATTAATCCCTTTTCACATTATTTCACTTCTTATTCATTTAAATCGAAATAATTAATTAGAAGTTTTTATTTTTCTTTTTCTATCATAAAATTATATTATTTGCTTATGAATTATTATTCATTTGATTTTCCATGAATGAAAATTAAATTCGAAAGATAATTTTGAAATAATAAAAAAATAAAAAAAAAATTTCTCTGCACATTAAATTTGTGTTTATCAAGTCCCAATCATAATAATATTGTTATGGCATGGTCGTAGAACATTTTTTCCATTACGCTTGACGTCTCTCTCTCTCTCTCTGCATTAAAACCCACTACCGTCTCTTCATTTCAGCGTCGTCTTTCGTAAGATTTCTCAGAAAGCACAGAAGAAAAGAGAAATGGTGAGCCTGGAACGGACTCCCACATGGGCAGTGGCGACAGTGTGTTTTTTGCTGATTCTGATATCCATTTGCACAGAGTATTTGCTTCATTTCCTTGTGAAACGGGTACCACTAGTATATTGTTCAGTGTTTATTCCATTTGGAAATGCATCTGAACTAATTCCGATATTTGATTTGCAGTTTTTGAGCATGAAGAGGAGAAAATCACTAAGGCGGGCTCTGGACAATATCAAATCGGGTCAGATATTACAAAAATTGTATTCCGAATTACCTCTCTATACATATATAGTTTTGATGATGTGTGTGTGTTGCGTTTGAATGAATTTGTGTAGAGTTGATGCTTTTGGGATTCGTATCGCTGTTATTGACGGTGAGCGAGAAAGCAATTGCTAACATTTGCATCCCTAAGAGTTCGAATAAAATATTTCTACCCTGCCCGACTACGAATTCGGCCACTTACTTCGTGGAAGAACCCAAGTGTGATTCACAGGTCCGCCACAGAATCATAGTTCATAAAACCATATGCAAGATCTTAGCTATTATCTTAACTCAATCGCTTCATTAGGCCAAAGCCTCGTTAATATCTAGAGACGGTGCAAAGCAAGTCAAGTATTTGATCATCTGTTTAGCCTTTGTTCACATCTTTTCCAGTCTCCTCACCTACAGTCTTGGAATCGCCAAGGTAACTTTATTTTTTCTCTTTCCCGTAATTTTTGGTATGGAACTGATAAACAACAAATATTTAGCAGAAAAATAATTTGAAAGATGAGCGAGCTGATTCAAAGAAAATAAAGAAAGAAAGTGATATTTGGATAGGTATTCATTTAATGTTGGAAAAAGAGTAGCGTTGATGATCATCAGATAATTACGTGTAGGGTAAGATGTTTAGATGAATTTATTGGGACGTGAGAAAGACTTCTGAGATAAGCTTCTTGACTAACCTTCAATAATCTTCTGGTTTAATAAGTCCCGTGACTCTTTCAAAACTTTTTCTAATAATTCAATAAATTTTGAAGTTTTCTTCATTAAGTTTCTAAACTTGTAATTCAAGTTCATAAGTGATGTTGTTCGTTGCAGATGAGGAGATGGCAGTACTGGGAAGCAAAAACCAGAACGTTGGAGTATCAATTTACAACCGGTAATACTTAATGAAATCAATATCAATTTACAAAAATCTCAGAGCTGGTCCACCCCCCATTGACTATTGTGTTTTGTCTTGTTTCTGTGTGGGACAATAATTAATTAATAAGATCCAAGAAGATTTCAATTTGCTCGTCAAACATCCTTTGGAAGGAGGCATCTAAAATTCTGGAGCGACCATCACATTCTTCGATGGCCGGTATCCTTGTTCTTCTTTTGATTCAATTAATCATCTTTCTTCCCACATAAAGTTGTTCATTTCTTTCTTGTTTTTGTTGTGCGTGTTTGAACTATAGGCCTGTTTTCTTAGACAATTTTATGAATCTGTCTCCGCAGCCGATTATCTCACTCTTAGACATGGTTTCATTGCGGTAACTTCTTCCCTGAGTTTGTATTAGATATGAAGTAGCAGTGTTTGACTAATGTTGTGTATTAAATCTCTGAAAATTGTTACAGGCCCATCTTGGGGAAGGGACCAACTTTGATTTCCAAAACTATATTACAAGAGCTCTAGATAATGACTTCAGCGTTGTTGTGGGGATCAGGTCGCATTTCTATTCATTCCATCTCTTGAAGTATCGTAGCCTCATTTGAATGAATCAAGCCTCTGACCCTTTATGTGAATGTTTACTTGTTGCAGTTGGTGGGTTTGGATTTTTTCTGTTATCTTCATATTCTTCAGTGCACATGGTAACAGTCAAAGTCCTCTCTGTTACTTTCTTCCAAACAAGAAGCTAAAAAATTTAACGTACAAGGTCCATTCAATTTGATACAGGGTTTCACAGCCATCTATGGCTTCCCTTTATTCCATTATTAGTAAGATTTGCTTATACCTTTTATAGGCTGCTTTGAGCTCGAATGATAGTTTTGTGTAATCTTCTTTTGAATTTACTTCTCAGATGCTTTTGTTGGTTGGGACAAAGCTACAAGGCATCATGACTGAGATGTGCTTGGACAGCCATGGGAAGTCCCATGTCGTCCGAGGAACTGTGCTCGTTAGGCCCAGTGACCAATATTTTTGGTTGGGCCGGCCTAAGTTGCTTCTGTATTTCATACACTTCATTTTCTTCCAGGCAATTCTTTGCAATAACCTTTTTCCAAAGTTAAAACTGTTTACAAAAGCCGGATTCTAAGTTTTTGCTATCTTTGCAGAATTCTTTTCAATTAGCATTCTTTGCATGGGCATGGGTAAGTATGCAGGATACTTTGATTTTCTGCTAGATTGTTGTAGCATCAAAGCTAATTAATGAAGTGGTGACTCAGCTGAAATTTGGGATGAGATCGTGCTTTCATAGAGAGATTTCAGATTGGGTAATAGGAGTTGCGGTGGGTGTGCTGGTGCAGTTCATTTGTGGCTATGTCACTCTGCCTCTCTATGCTCTGGTGGCTCAGGCAAGTACTAAATTCCCCTGCTTTCACGGAATTGGAATGGGTGTTCATATACTAAACGTGGGTTATAATAATGGTGTTGAAAGATGGGGAGCTCGATGAAGAAAACGGTGTTCACGGAGGGGGTAGTTGAAGGGCTGAGGAAATGGAAAGGGAGAGCGAAGAAAAGGGTAGCTCGAAGAAGGCAAAGAGGGCGCCATGGGTGCGACTGCAACTTCCCGCATTCGTCGCCGCGTGCATCAGTTGACGCGGGGGTTGACTCGCCACCTTCTTTCAGACTTGAGGCAGCGGCAATGGGAATGGCATCTGTGGATTGTGGTCGTTTACAAGGGGCGGGTGGGAACAATAAACATTATAATACTTGTTCGGATTCTGCTGCTCTTTCAAGTTGTGATGATGATGATAAGCTAAAAGGCAAACGACCAGTTGACGAGCCGGATCACAAGGCCAGCTCCTTTGATGGCTTTGACTGGGCTACCAAAATACACCGCAATTTTTCACGACATGCAATGTAGCACGTGCTCTATTTCAATTTAAATATTACTTTTTTTCTTTTTTTCTTTTTTCTTTCTCCTTTTTGGGAACGTGCATTCCATTTCTAGGAAGGATAGAATTTGATTACTATATATTTGTACATTTTATTAATATTTTGAATAAGTTTGGCCCTCTTCTTCTTCCTCTGCTTCAGGCGTGGGCAGAGCTTTTTATGTCTACCCTATTCGGTTTCTTGATTCCGAGACGTTCACCGGGGCTTCGGTCGCCCCCTGTCATCAGGTCACCAACTTCCTTGACCTTCCGGAAAATGAAATGAGATTCCCTACCCCCTAATTCAAGACCTAATCAGTAGACACCCAGAGGTGAATGAGCTTGCTTGACCTTTCAGCCAGCTGCTTTACCTAGTTCAAGAGTGAAATCAGTCCAAGAAAAGCCAAACGTGTCGTAATTTTGACTTTCATGTGTATAGCATATAGCTAGCGTTCCTTCTTTCTGAGCCAGGATCAAACTCAGAGAGAGAGTATGATTGGGCCCTTGGATCAACATTTTTTCACATTGCCGTGGATATTCAAATATCTTAGTTTTAGTCGATTAAATAATATTTAATCAATTTAAATAAGTAGAGATTTTGAATTATAATCGGCTTAGGAAATAAAATTAAAACTGAACCTTCAAGGAAATTTATGAATTCTGTTGATGTCATCAATGACGTAAGCAGCTTTATATTGTTGTTATTATTATTATTTTGAATTAACCACCTATTAAATTTGGTTATTTATGACTCTATCTATTAATATTAATCTTGCCACCAGGTAGAGTTGAGAGAATAGAGATGTCCATAAGACGAGGACGGAAAAGGAAAAGGAAAAGGAAAAGACTTTCTGTTTTCATCTGGCCCCTAGTTTATAAGGTAATATTAAATCATATTCCTTAGTACGGTGGTTTTCCACCTAAGCAAATTGTGGGAGAGATTTGGAAAATTTTGCTCTCTCCAACTGAAAGAAAGATGGGCAGCAAACGCAGCTGGGCCTTCCGGAATTAACTTAACTTCTTTAAAAAACAATTAGCCCTTTAATCACAAAAGAACATTCTGCCACGTGAGATTTCCACAACCCCCCCCACGTCATCCAACCCCTTTTCCTTGTCACCCATATCTCAGCAAACCAAACCAAGAAACCCCACGTCAATTCCTCTCCTAATTTCCACGATTACAATAAATCCAACCACGTCACTATCATTTGTAAAGTCCCATCCCATAGCCTTTGGGTTTTATTTCATTTATGTCACTTTTCATATTTTTAATACCAAATTATAAGTTATTAACTTTTATTTATAGATCGAAATTGAACACTATAAAATGTTCCCGACCGAAAGGTAGAGAGATTAGATGGGTTGCTTTGTACACTAATCATCATTAACACCTAAATTAACTCCTTATGAAATTAAATAAAATCGTCATCGGCCGTTCATACGGTGCTAAATGGAATCTGTCTGACCAAGTAAGCTGTGACGCAATTAATCGTCACCCACAGTTTCGATTACGTCCTAGATTGCGTTACCCGCGTTGACGCTTAAGTTTTCCACAGCCCAATCGGTTATTGCTCAATATAAATAAATGCCGAATGCCACTATGCCATTGTGCCAAATACCCTACATAATCTCTCTCTTTCTCTCCCTTGGATCTTTTTCTTCACCAAATTTACACTATGCACCAGGCAATTCCGTACAGGACGTGGGTGCCGGCCGCTGCGTCTTCCCGCAAGGCACCCGAGGCTTCTGCCGATGGGGCTGCGGCGAGTGTCGAAAAATTGGTGTCCAAGAACGCTGTTGTGGTTTTGGCGAGGCATGGGTGTTGTATGAGCCATGTTTTGAAACTGCTGTTGTTGGGCCACGGGGCGAACCCGGCCGTCTTCGCTGTCGGTGAGGAAGATGAAGTCAATATTGCCGGGGAGATTGGGAAATTTGTCACCGGCGCCGGAGATGGGAATGAGGGAAGAGTGCAGTTACCGGTGGTGTTTGTCGGCGGGAAAATGTTTGGTGGGTTGGAAAAAGTGATGGCGGCTCATATTGCAGGTGAATTGGTGCCGGCGTTAAAAGATGCCGGTGCTCTGTGGCTTTGATCACGACAAGGGAAATTTCTGATTCTGATGCCAACATCGGAGATTTTCTTTGAAATTTGGTAGCGGAGATTCAAAGTCATGTAAATTATTTAGAGTGAAAATTTATATATAAAAATAAGCACACCCCTCTCTCTTTTATAGCTTCATGAATCGTTTAATTGGGCCTTTCTTCTTGGGCCGATTATATAAATGGGCCGTCACAATTTTCATGAAACAATTTGGGCAATTCATCGCGTGCTGGGCTTTTAAATAAGGAAAATAAATGAAAATACTCAATGTGAGAAGCACTATGCCCAGCTGCCACCTGCCAGCCTAGCCTTGTAACCACGCTGTGTCATCGGCTTCAAGGACGGTTAAGCCGAAATGACTGAAAAGCCCCTCCAATACCCCCAAAGTTCCTGGGCTCCGTGGTAATTTTGCTCTGCTCATATTCGGGCACTGCAACATGAAAGTCTCGGAAAAACCTGAACGCTGCTTTTCCCTCCCCGATTTCTACCGCTTCCGATTCCACTATTGCACCCACTGACGTACATTAAAGCGCACAAACAAGGCTATTTCCCATTGTTATTTATGACATTTGTGGGTAAAGTGGAGGTTTTTGTTCTTTGAAGATTGTGTAGGGCGCGAAATTTGATCTCGAGAGGCGGGAAGGAAGAAGGGTTGTAGAAGAAGATGATCAAGTTTTTCAGAGGGAAAGAGAATTCCGCCGATGTTTCCTCCACGCAGTCTCCTTCTCCCTCTCTTGCGTCTTTGCCGTCTTCCTTGTCTTCAACGGGGACTGGTCCACCGAGGCCAATTCGTCTTGTTTACTGCGATGAGAAGGGAAAGTTTCGGATGGATCCTGAAGCTGTCGCTACCTTACAGCTTGTAAAAGAGCCAATTGGTGTCGTTTCCGTTTGTGGTCGTGCTCGTCAGGGCAAGAGCTTCATTTTGAATCAAGTTAGTCTCTTCTGTTCTTTATTTTGTTTAGGATATGCTCTGGAAATTACCTTTGTCATCTGGTGGGTTCATTCAAAATCTAGGGTTTTTGAGTTTTGGCCTCTAAGTCAAGAATTTGGGAGGTGTTGCACTTGTTTAGTTTGTCTCTATGGTTTCGGTCTGTCAGTTGGTAGCTTTGAAGAGAAACGTCTCTGAGCTGGAATTCAAGTTTATCACTCTGTAGGTGCGACGAAGTGGCACGTGTACATCGAGTTGATTTTTCTTTCTGAATTGTAGTACTCGAGTGGGGATGTGGGCCTTTGCTTTGTGTATTTTTTTAGGACTATGCTAGATAACTGAAAACTCTAATTCTAAGTTCCTAAGTTCGATATTATGAGAGTGCATTTGCTTAACGGGCTTTGAAAGCTAGGATACTGAAACTTACGTGTAGATTGCGGAACGAAATGAGTTTATGTATTTTTTCCCCCTTGGTTTGTGATTTATAAAGGTAAGTACGTAGTATGTAGCAATAATTTATATAGCTTAGTGTATTGACAATTTATAGCATAGAATTAGCAAATCTATGTACCAAACTATAGGCTTTGCTCTCCAACTCCAAGTTATACAAACTCAATTTTTGAACCAAATGCCCTTCAAGATTCTTATCTTTTTCTTGGGATAATTTTTGTGAATCCCTGTAGACACATGCAATTTGAATTTTTCGGGTTATTCTCTTTTCACTACAGTTAGTTTTGTTTCTCATGACTCACGGATGGAATCTATCTTGTATTTAAAGTGTAAAGTAATTTGCTTGAAGACGGCTATATTTTTTTGTTGGGGGGGGGNGGGGGGGGGGGGGGGGGGGGGGGGGTTCAGCGTTTGATTTTCAAGATATTGTGATTGTTACATAGAACATTCACGATATTTTGTGGAGCACTTTGCCTCCCTACATTTGTAGTGTCATTTTGTGGACTTACAATCAACTCTTTTCTTTTGAAGCTTCTTGGGAGGAGTAGTGGATTTCAAGTAGCATCTACCCATCGGCCTTGTACTAAAGGGCTATGGCTCTGGAGTACACCCTTGAAAAGAACTGCCCTCGATGGAACTGAGTACAATCTTTTACTATTGGATAGTGAAGGAATTGATGCCTATGATCAAACGGTATGATAGAAATCAATTCTTGCTGAGAAATTTCATTAATTTGACGATGTCCGAACAATAAACTAAAGCTTCTTTGTACAGGGAGCTATGCCATCTAAATAGTTACTCACAATTAACCTAAGTAACTACTCTGTAAACTTATCTAAAGAATGAAAATGTTCAATCAACTTAACAATTAAAAACATATAACAGTATCTGCACAGTAAAGAAGGGAAACTAAGGTAACTCTTCAAATTAATACACTACAGTATGATTTCAGTCCACTATTTTATGTTGTTTCTGGTTATCAATTATCTATTTGATGTGACGTTGATACGAATGATGGTGGTACTGTTATTTAAGTTCTTCGTGTATTGAGCTTCAAATCTGCTTCATGTTAATTTATAGTAATAAAGTACTTCTTTCACCGTGTGTTTGCCTCCTTTGAAGGTGTAGTATTACAAATTTAATTTGTTCCATCTATTTTTCTCACTTGTTCCTCAATTTTTTTTCAGGGAACTTACAGCACCCAGATTTTTTCTCTGGCTGTTCTCTTATCTAGCATGTTTGTCTATAATCAGGTAGAGGCAACTGATGTTGATCCTTATCTTTTAGAAACCTCTCTTTCTGACTATGTTGAATTGCACATTTCCTCTGTTTTATCTCTCTCTAATTGGAATATGATACTTAAGTAATTTTTTTAATGCTTCTCTCTTTGTTGTTGTATAATTTGTATCATTTTCACAACTTCATTTTTCTTTACGGAACTCGTTCTTTTTTTCTCTGTTCAGATGGGTGGAATAGATGAAGCCGCACTTGACCGTTTATCTCTTGTCACTCAAATGACTAAACATATTCGTGTTAGGGCTGCTTCTGGCAGAACTACATCTGCTGAACTTGGTCAATTCTCTCCAATCTTTGTTTGGCTTCTCAGGGTACAATACACTTCTCTACTATTAATATTCATAATTTTGTTTCAAAGTGCATTCAGACATTAGGTCATATTTTCTAATTTTTTTTCTGTAACGTGCATAATAGTTTTTGATTACATGACTTCTCAATGTAAGATCCTTCTCCTCCTTATTACGTTAGATCATTTTTTTTTTTGTGCTTATTTTATCTATTTGCTATTGTATTTATGTGGTCTACTTTAAATTATTTCATTTTGCTAACCTTGATGCTTAATTTTTTTTAAAAAGAAAAGAGAATTACTTCACCATTACCTTCTTATTGTGTTAGATCCTCTACTTGGTTTAATTTTATCTATTTTTAGTTATATTATGTGGTCATATCTAAAATAAGAATTGTGTGCAGGACTTCTATTTGGATCTAGTAGAGGATAATAGGAGAATAACACCTCGGGATTATCTGGAGCTTGCATTGAGGCCGGTTCAAGGTAGTGGAAGAGACATAGCTGCTAAGAACGAGGTATTAGATGGACATCTATCACCTTTGTGGTTTGTTGACTTTGTTTTCTCCGTTATTTGGGCTCTCACATATTCTAGGTCTAGAAAAGAGAGAAAAAGCTACTCTTATTTAAGTCGTATAAGTTCTTTTAGAACTCTCTCTTAGTTCATAATTACTTGTACTTGAGTGAGTTTTGGGAGAATAGGTAGCTGATGCATCTCTTTTGGCTGTACTTATTTCTTCAATAAACTAGTCCCTATCAGTTATATTTCTAAGGATTTCTTTTTCATAATGGTTCTGTTAATTAATAATATCATTTAAGGTTTGATGTGTCCTTTTGGTCTTCTATTACTTATTCTTTTGTAATTATGAGCATGAGTTGATAATTTTGGACTCAAGTTCTTTCCTGTGGGTGCAGGTTAGCTTCTCTTTTTGTGAGCTTGTTTTCTTTGTTGCTCTTGTATAATTCTTTCAATTTTCTCAATAAAACCTCGGTTTCTTATTAAAAAAAAAAAAAGGAAAAAGAAGGGAAAAAATAATAGCAACATCATTAATGCTCTTTCTTAGGTTTCTATGTTTTTATTTCTGCATTGTTCCTTCTGTTCTCTCCTTTCAGAGTTTCTATCTTGATCATTTGATCTTTTTCACTAATCAATGAAAAGCCTGTTTCTTCTTCACAAAATAATAACATCATTTAAGGTCCTCTGGAAAAGGAGTGGGTTCCCAATTGTTTAGTTTGTAAGATTTGTGTTGTTTTCCAATGTCTTCTGATATTTACTCTGGATATTCACTCTGTTAGCTCGTGAACATAGAATTTTAAAATTCTGCTTTTTATGACTTTTGAACACATTATACCGCTGTCATTTGTACTTGTATTTGTTGTCGAAAAATGAATGTTTTTGTTTGCAACTATTATCTGATCTGCAATTTTATCCATTTGCTGACAGATTCGTGATTCCATTAGAGCTCTGTTTCCTGATAGAGACTGCTTTACGCTTGTGCGTCCTCTGAATAATGAAAATGATCTCCAAAGACTTGATCAAATTTCTGTAAGTAACTTAGGCTTATGGATTTTCTTTACATAATTTTCTTTTGAAGCCAAATTTAACCAAACTTCCTTGATATTCTGTGGTTCTGCAGTTGGATAAACTAAGGCCTGAATTTAGGTCTGGACTTGATGCATTTACTAAATTTGTTTTTGAGAGGACAAGGCCTAAGCAAGTAGGAGCAACTGTTATGACAGGTCCAGTTTTGGTGGGTATTACAGAGTCCTACCTTGATGCTCTAAATCAGGGTGCAGTGCCTACAATAACCTCCTCTTGGCAGGTTGGTATATCTTATGAACTCTTTTTTTTTTAATTTTTTTTTTTTTTTTTTCAGGGAACACATATCTTATGAAATCTTGTGTAATGTACTTTCTGGAGATGCTTGTAAGCAGTTATTTTATTTTATTTTATTTTTCTCATTTCTCAATTTGAATGTACAGATGTCTGCATTGTCTGCACACATTTCTCTCCTTTCATTGAGATTTATTATGTGGAGTGCAATCATGTCTGAAATTGTTGTCACCTTTAGCAAATTAGGAATTAAACAAGAAACTAGAAGATAATTTTCATCCATATCATTAATTTGCAGAGTGTTGAAGAGGCAGAGTGTAGAAGGGCGTATGATCATGCTGTTGAAGTCTATACGTCTACTTTTGACCGGTCAAAGCCACCAGAAGAAGTACGTGCAAATGCTAACTTACATCTTCATTAGAGATGTTTTTGTTGCTTGATAACATTGTTTGCTGTAGGCAGCCTTGAGGGAAGCCCATGAAACTGCTGTTCAAAAATCACTTGCTGCATTTAATTTGGGTGCTGTAGGCGCTGGTCCAGTGAGGAAAAAATACGAGGGATTACTGGAGAAATTTTATAGAAAAGCATTTGAGGTAAGGAATATTATGAATCTGCTAGTTCTATGTTTTTATCTGTGTATGGTCAATTGGAAATAGAAAATTATGAAATGAGGCCTCGAACATTTTGTTTGAGTTGGTTCAAGTAGGAATGAAGACTCTGATGCTTGAGACGGTAATCTTACATATGCTTTTTTGTTGAAGGAAAGGCTGTTTGGTAAGTTGATTTTTGGCTAAATCGGGAAAATTTTATTGGGTGTATGGGAATTTTGTGAGAAACTGCAGACCGACTGGTTTCAATGTCTTCCTCGAGTCTTTATGGCCCAACTTTTTTCTAATAATTCTCTATTTTCTATTTTTAGAATGAGAACTTCTTGTCATAAATTTTAATATGATTTTGGTAGCCCCTTTTTTCCACCTATCTTTTATATCTTAACGACCTTTGGTTTCATGTTAAAATTGGAGGAAAAGAATTCACTTTTACCCTTGTATTTAGTTAAGCCTTTAAGTCATTAATTCTTCCCGACTGAACCTTGAACTTCAAGTGATGAAATTAAGACTCTCCATTAGTTGGGTTATACCATTGTAAATTGTGGCTTAATGTAGGCATAGTTGTGTCTTGATTAGAATTATTTTTGGGCATTGTTCCTTGTTGCTTTGGATGTCTTTTTAGCTGGTTTTGCTTGTGATGATTATTTGGGCCTCCTTTACCGGTCCTAATTGGGCTTTATATTACGTGTTTTGTTGGTTTAACTTTCTATTATTTATTAGTTATTTCCTAATAAATTTCTAATTTGTTTTAAGTAGGTGTTAATTTCTTCATTTGCTTCTAGGATTTAATTTGAGAAGGTTGATATTGAATTAAGTAAAGGGGTGAATTTGAACTTTCCCCCACAAACAAATTAGTAATGACGATGTTGTAGAATTGTCTGAGCTTAGTGTTCACAAATATGTGATGGGACATTCTTTCTTCTCTTTGGACATTTTTGTGCGCTATCAATGTACAAAATGAAGCAATTTTACTAGAGTATGGAACTGCATATCATCTTATATTTGACATTGTCAAAGTTTTTAAGTAATTTTTATTTTCCAATTTTTCTGGAAGTTGTCTTTAGAAAGAATTTTTTCTGCTCCCTGTTTTATTTACATGAGTTGGTCGTTGTCTAATGCAGGATTACAAAAGAAATGCATACACAGAAGCAGACTTGCAATGCACAAATGCTATACAAAGCATGGAACAGAGGTTGAGAGCTGCTTGCCATGCTTCTGATGCAAATATAAATAATGTTGTGCAGGTAATTTAGATTTTATTTGTCATTATTTTGGGTTAAGAACTATTTTTGTGGCCAGCTTCTGACAGGCACAGTTTGGTTTATTAATAAACAAAATAATGTTCAGCTATGCTGATGATTTTGGAGGTCTGGAAGCAACTCTAGTTGTTGAATTAATTATGTTTATTGGAAACTATAAACTGTGATTTGCACCTAAACTGTGATTCGCAATAACATAACAAATATAAACTGTTGTTGAATTATTGGTCTCTGTTTCTTTTCTGTGATTGAATCAGCTGAACATATTTTCATCTACTGTAATTGAACTTTTATCCTTCTTTGTCAAAGTCTCTTCTCCCATGTACTTATTGATTCATAATTGAGTTTCTCTTTTGCTTTGGGTTATTGGCATGCCTGTGCAGGTTCTTGGTGCTCTTCTGTCTGAATACGAAGCATCATCCCACGGTCCTGGAAAGTGGCAGAAGTTGGCGACTTTCTTACACCGGAGGTTTATATTAGTGTTTGTCCCATATATTATTTTTGGATCTTTTCTTGAATTATTGTGACCTGACCAATACCATGAAATTGCAGTTTGGATGGTCCTGTACATGACCTTATAAAAAGACTTATAGATCAAGTTGGATCAGAGAAGAATTCCCTCGCTTTGAAGTGCCGCTCAATTGAAGATCAGCTGAATTTGCTTAAGAAGCAGCTGGAAGCCAGTGAGAAGTACAAGTCTGAATATCTGAAGCGATATGAGGATGCCATCAATGATAAGAAAAAACTTGCTGATGACTACATGAACCGCATATCTAATCTACAGGGTAATTGCAGTTCTCTTGATGAGAGATGCTCTAGCCTGAAGAAAACATTGGACCAAGCAAATCAAGAATCATTGGATTGGAAAAGAAAATATGAAACTGTCTTGTCAAAGTTAAAAGCCGAGGAAAATCAAGCTAGTTCAGAAATTGCTGTTTTGAAGTCTAGGAGTAGTGCTGCTGAAGCAAGGCTGGCGGCTGCTCGGGAACAATCTCAGTCTGCACAAGAAGAGGCAGAAGAGTGGAAGAGGAAATTTGACATTGCTTTAAGAGATACTAAAGCTGCTCTTGAGAAAGCTGCACTTGCAGAAGAACGCACGAATAAGCAAACAAGGCTTAGGGAAGATACTTTGAGGAAAGAATTCTCTATTGCTTTGGCTGAAAAGGTGAGCCTTCATCACCCACCCCATTCACAACTCACAAACATTTGCAAGCAAGCATATTCTACCTCTACACTTGAATTCTTGGAGTGCTATAATGGGAAGTATCTGATCTTTTCTTCTTCTTTTTTTTATTTTTTTATTTTCTTCTTCTTCCCGATGCAGGAGGATGAACTAAAAGACAAGGCAACAAAAATTGAGCAAGCCGAGCAGCATTTGACAACTTTACGGCTTGAGCTGAAGGTAAACTTCTTAGATCTCAAAAGATGTTGTCAGGACATTTCTTAGCCCATTTATTTATGATTTGTGTTTACTGAAGTCAATCTCGTGGCACAGTGGATGATTTGAAATTCAAAATTCACTTTTTTAGCGAAAAAAATTAGTTAAATAAGCCAAGCCATCATGGTATATTGCGACAATTTTAGTTCCATCCGATATTATGTTTCAAGGCTTTTCCCATCATTCTCAACTCTTATATTCTGGCATGCCACAGTGGATATCAGTTTGCATCTCAATGATGAAAACAAGACTTATCATTCATGTATAAATAATGTTTCGTCTGCAGGCTGCCGAGTCAAAAATTGGGAGTTATGATGTGGAAGTATCTTCTTTGAGGCATGAAATAGAAGAACTAAAAGAGAGGTTGGAAACAGCAAATGCAAGGGCTCAATCATTTGAGAAAGAAGCAAGGATTTTGCAACAAGAAAAGGTTCATTTGGATCAGAAGTACTTATCTGAATTCCAAAGGTTTGATGAAGTTCAGGAAAGGTGTAGACTTGCCGAACTTGGCGCTAAGAAGGCTACTGAAATTGCTGATAAAGCAAGAAATGAAGCTAGTGCTGCTCAAGAGGGAAAGAATGAGATGCAGAGGTTGGCAATGGAGCGGTTGGCCCAAATCGAGAGGGCAGAGAGGCAAATTGAAAATCTGGAAAGGCAGAATAAAGATTTGGTGGAAGAGGTGCAACGAATTCGGGGGTCAGAAATGGAAGCTCGTTCAAGAGTTGCGTCATTGGAAGCCAGAGTTGTAGAAAGAGAAAAAGAAATTGAGTCTCTATTGAAATCAAACAATGAGCAGCGTACGAGCACTGTTCAAGTTCTTCAGGGCCTTCTGGATTCAGAACGTTCTGCACATGCGGAGGCCAACAATAGGGCCGAGGCTCTCTCTCTTCAGTTGCAATCTGCTCATGCAAAAATTGATCTACTCCAACAAGAGGTGACTAAAATTCGTCTTAATGAGACAGCTTTAGATAGTAAGCTGAAGACTGCTTCTCATGCGAAACGGCTTAGGGCGGATGATGGTGAGATGGGCATGGAACACGTTCAAGACAAGGATACAAGCGAGAGAATTTTAAGAGTAAACAAAAGATCTAGAAGCACTAACAGTCCCATGAGGTACACCCAGCCGGAGGATGGTGGATCAATTTTCGAGGGCAATGAGGATAATCATCATAGCCAACAACCAAATCAGGAGGATTATACCAAATTCACTGTCCAGAAGCTTAGGCAAGAACTCACAAAACATAATTTTGGTGCCGAACTGCTTCAGTTGAAGAATCCCAACAAAAAGGACATTATTGCGCTCTATGAGAAATGCGTACTCAAACGATGAGAAGATTCGTGCTTAGGATTTGTATGGGTTGATGAATGTAATCTACATGAAGACGAAATTGTTGATCTATCCTGTAGGATTAGAGAGCGTTTTCAAGTCTGGATTATGGATTTTGGCGCTGATTTTTCTCACCATCTGATTTCTAGAATGTGTTTGAATTTTTGTGTATTCAGTGTTTGACCTTTTGCGAGTCTAAGCCCGTGTATCAAGAAGAAAAATTGTGGGTTATATTTGTAGTTGTTCATTTGTTAGTTGGGAACAAAGATGTATCTAACTCGACAGCCAAGAATGCCTTCAGCTTTTGGTTCACTAGATCTGTTTTTTACAGTGCCTCTCTTCTACATTCCTCTGCTGCAGCAACTTCTCTTTGATGTAATTTTAGCTTTAGAACTCTTAAATCCATGTGTTATTGGATAATTTGTATGTAACTTGTACTCTAATGTGATTCACTTGTAGGCATTTTGGATGGGTTTTTGAGGGTTTGGACCTTACAACTTGAACTGTTGAATTCAACTTCTTAAAACTAGTTAATTATTCTTTACATGTAATTAGAACTCATCATTGGGTTGCTGCAATCAACAAAAACTGCACTAGTTTCAGGGGAATGGCCACCGCCACCCCATTGTGTAGTCGGGTTCTGATAGGAGGAGCTTTGGCGAGGCCGTTTTTGGAAGAAGACCTTTGAAGCCACCAATTGGCCGTCTTTCTCGTGCTCTGTAACACCCAGATGGTATTGATGCATTATCCAGTTTGTCTTTTGAGGCTTCCTTTGGTTCCCATGGTTGGAATACAGAACTAAAATCTTCTTGAAACCTATCACAACGCCGCCGCCCATGACTGGCCTCGTCTTCCCGGTTTTGTGCCATCTTGTGTCGGTGCCTTCTTCGTCTGCTTTAACTTTCCTGCGTTTTCTTGTGCCGGCCGTATATGCTTTTGATGGGCGATGAAAAAAATGCCGGATTTGGCCGTCGTTCCTCATTCCTGCACTTTCCCAAGCACAAAGATTTCGAATTTCATGTACGTTTAAAATTTAAAATTAAATATATCGCTAAATACATTTGCAATACATTTGCAACACATTTGCAACTATTTTCTATTCTATGAGGTTGATGGAGAATTTTCTAAAATATCAGAATTTGGTAGAAATAAGTCCCAATTGGACGGATAACAACATTAAAAACATTAGCATAGTTCCATTCTTGAAACAATTCTCAAAACTGACACATCCAAAGATATATGGGACGATAGTTCCATTCTTGAAACAATTCTCAAAAAACACATCCAAAGATATATGGGACTCTATGAAGAAGAAGTATCAAGGTTCAACTCGGGTTAAACGAGCTCAATGACAAACATTGAGAGGGAATTTGAGACACTCCACATGAAGCTAGGGGTCACTATAAACAACTATTTCTCACGTACACTTATAATTACGAACAAGATGAAGGCTAATGAAACAAAATTGATATCGAAGTAGTGGAAAAGATATTGTGCTCTATAACTCCAAAATTCAATTATGTGTAAGCTCTTAGGCTTGGTACAATCCATCAAAACACGATTCAACTGTTGAACAAAAACATATTCAGCTAATTTCCCAAACAAGAAGGCAAATTTGACATTTAACGGGAGGAAAAATCTACCAGCTTGTGCTTTGTATAGACTAAAATAAGCACTTTGAGTTTGGTATAGTCGCATTGAGAAGCATTTTTTGATATGTGGTTTTACAAAATCAGAGCATAAACCCACCTTACATACTAAGGTGGAGGAGAAGAGAATTATGGTTGTAAGTTTCTATGAATTTGAGTTTTAAAGAGAAATCAATGATGTCAGAGTGGTTGACCTGAGAAAAATGAATTTCTTTTCTTGGTCTTGTAAGTAGCATAGAAATTTGGAAGGTATTTGAAATGAGTCATTCAAATTCTATTCATAATCAATGATTCCAAGAAGTAAAGTGAGTAAAGATGAAGATGGAAAAGAAAAAGAAATTAACAGGTTGTTGTGCAAAAAAAAAAAAAAAAAATGATTGATTGTTTAACGTATGCAATAGCTACCCGACTAGACATCATGTTAGTTGATGCATGGAAAGTCGAAAAGAGTATCATTTTGGAAAGTCCAAAAGAGTATCACTTGCAAGAAGTGAAGAGAATTATACTTAATCTCAAACAAACTTGAGATTTGGAACATGATATGTTTGTGTACCAGGCAAATTTTGAGGGTGGGTGTAACAAATCCCATCGTCTTCCTCTAATGTGGTAATGAATTCATCGATGAGAGGATGAAGCTTCCACTTATCTCGTTTCACTTTCGCCTCTAAATGTTCCAAAATTTGTTGGTCACTTGGATCGAACTTCACTCCCGTCGGAGCCCTCCCCCAATCTTCCAATCCACCCTAAATTAATTAATTAAATATATCATGATAATTCTTTGAAATCTTATCCATTCGTACCGTTCATCATGTTTAAATAAATAAAATTTGAATAAATAGTCGAACTACTTAAATTAAAAAAATGGATTGGGTTTATCATTTATAACCTGGAGTTGGAGTTGGGAGTGAAGAGGATGTGCGCAGGCTGGAAATGCGACGGGTGATCGGTCATCTTGGTGGTTTCCGTCTGTTAAGGGATGAGCATCCACAGCGGAGACGGCGTCGTTTGTGTTACTGAACCACATCATCTTATCACCACATTTGTCTCCAACTTCCAGGTTTTGATTAAATGCAAACCCCATATACTTGGACCCCAAGTTAAGTGGGTGACCTTCTACTCATTTCCCCTTCCAAAGTCTATTGACTTTACCCAATAAATAAATATATGCATTAACAAATTTTGTTAATATTGAAATAAATCAATATAGAGATGCCTACTGCTTATCGAGCAAGGACGAGGAAGCCTTCCCAATTTCCATCCCGACCCCTTTTTCACTCCTCATTCATACTAATAAATTGACTCGAGTACTTCTAGAAACCTGATATACCGTAAGAAAATGAATGATAATGTTGTCATACGTGGTTTATTTATGAGAAAATATTGGAATCGGGAGGGGCAAGTTGGGAATAAAGAAAGTTGTTGAAGACGCCCATCCTACAAACAAACTTGTGCGCCAAGGGTGCAGGCTGACACAATCGCACTTTTAAAGGCAGCGGGCTAGCGATTGTGCGGCACTCACTTTCCAACGACAAGTGAGCTAAGCCAATTTGTTCTTGCGTCGCCTACGGCCAAGCGACGTATAATCGAGCCTCTAGCCTCGGTTTTGAAAGAAGGTTTTAGAAAACGAGGGTAGAGAGAGATTTTTGAAATAGACGTTATATAAGCAAGCAAGAGAGAGATAACAACGACTTAGCATATATAACCTTGGGTGGGAGAAGTTGACAACTAGTCATATCTGCCTATAGTACATTCTGAGACATTTCATGTCTGGCAGGCCTAGACATGATATTTTTGAGGCGTCGTACGCTCTAGAACTACAAAAGTAAAAATACTAGAATGAAAAGACATGACAAGGGTTTGGCTTGCCATGGGCATGCGGCCATGGACAACACGTCTTGGACGAGCATATGACCGTGACACAGGCCCACACTGCGCCACCGAGTATACATGCATGGATTTTTGTTTCACCCATAATTCACTTTTCGGACTCTTTTCCCTATCTTTAATTTCAATTTTACCAAAAATATATGAATAGTGTAGACTCGGAATTATACGAGCCGCGTGTCACGGTCATGCTCGTCCAAGGCGTGTTGTCCATGACTGCATGCCCATGACGAGTCAAATCCTTTATGTCTTTTCATATTCTAGTGTTTTACTTTTGCATTTCTAGGAAATATGACGTTTTAGAAATATCATGTTTAGGCCTGCCACACATGAAATGCATCAGGGGAATACGACTAGTCGTCAACCTCTTCCTACCCAAGGTTATATACTGTGAGCCGTTGTTATTTCTCTCTTTCTTGCTTATACAACGTCTCTTTCAAAAATCTCTCTATGCTCTCGTTTTCTAAAATTTTCTCTTAAAACCGAGGTCAGAGCCTCGGGCATATGTTGCTTGGCCGTAGGCGACGCAAGAATGAATTGGCTTAGTTCACTTGTCGTTGAAAAGTGAGTGCCGCACAATCGCAAGTCTACTCCGGTTAAAGAAGTGCGCTTGGTCAAAAGGGCGAAAAATGTCAAACAAAAATTGGTTGAGAGAACGGGTCCCTCCCACCGCCATAACAAATCCTCCAATTTATACACAAATTTCCAGCCAAATTCCACCTCTTATTTGAAAATTATAATATTCCCATATTCAAAGAATTTTAAATTTTTATTTGTATTTTTGTTCAGTTTTCTTGTAAATGGAATCAACTTCCTGAAAAGTCAATATTTCCAACTTTTTCTAATTTTATTATAACTCAAATTTTAATAAGGTTACGTAGAAGAACTATGAAGAGGACATGAACATAAAGAATAGATAGTATTAATTATGTAATTAAGTATTATCTACATAAGAAAAAGGAGATTGATCCATTACTTAATTAATCAAACGCATAGCTGAGCCTCCAGATTGTTGAAAATGGCAACCACTTGACCGATCGCCGGCCTGCTCTTTCTGCAGTTCCCGACACAAGCCAGAGCAACCTTCCCCATTCTCATCAATGGCTTCAAATCAGAAGGGTACTCGATTCTTGGGTCCAGTAGCTCACTGAACCTCATCTCCTTTATCAATGGCAGCGCCCACTTCACCAGCCACCCTTCCTCGCAGCCCCTTCCACTCAAAAGCTCCAAAAGCACAACCCCATATCCGTACACATCGTTTTCCTTGCAACTCCCCTGCCCGCCTTTCCCCTGCCAGTACTCCTCGTCCACATACCCTACCAATCCTCTTTTCTCTCTCGCCGCCAAGAAATTCAGCCCGTAATCGCTCAATTTCGCGCTCAATTTCGCGTCGATTAGTATGTTTGAGGGCTTCACGCAGCCATGGATCACGCTTGGGGCCATTGATTCGTGTAGATATTGAAGTCCTCTGGCTGCCCCTGCTGCGATTTTCACGCGATGGCTCCAATTTAAGAGAAATCCCCCATCTGGGTTTTGGTGTAAGTACATGTCCAAATTCACGACGCCGGCGTATTCCATCACGATGATTCGTTCGCCGGGGGCTTCGGAGTAGCCGGTGATGGTGACGAGATTTGGGTGTTGGGCAGAAGAGAGGGATTTAACTACAGAAGAGAATCCAAATCCAGCGTTATTATTGCTTAGAACCAACCATGGGTAGATTCTTTTGACGGCGATGAGCTCGCCAGTGTCCAATAAGGCAGCGTAGACGGTGCCCAATCGGCCTTCGCCGATGACGCGGCGGTGGCTGAAACCTTCAGTGGCGGTGTCGATGTCGATTAGCGTGTAGGATCGGATAGAGGGCTTTGACGGCGGCGGGGTTTCGTCGGCGAGTTGGCGATGACGGTGGGTGTTTCTGCAGATGAAGAAGAGGAGAACAGAGAGAAGTGCGATGAAAGAGGAAGAACAGAGTGCCAAGATGAAGTAATAAGCAAGCTTCTGGCTATGCTTCATTTTGGCGTTAATGGATAAAACAGAAGAAGTGGGTTTCGGCCATTAAAACAGAGAATTTCAGAAAGAATTGCAGAGGGAAGGGAGAGAGATTGAGATGAGAAAGGGGTTTGAAAATTGGGTGAGAAATGTTCAAACTTTTCGTTGTTTATAGTTGTGGTTGTTCATAGTTGGCTGCTTCCACCAATTTAATAGATCAAAATGTCAAAATAAATTAAATTAAAATTCTAGGATTTTTTTTTTTTAATTTTATAATTTCATAAATTAATGAGAATTTAGTATAATTAAAATACATGATAGTTTTCACCCTAATTTATTTTATTTTTTTAAAACATAGTTTTTACCATTTCTAATGCTTTAATTTTGTTTGGTGGGACCATGGCTTTGACTTTGAGTTGATCATAGCTTAAGCATTTAATTATGTTCTACTTTTTATAAAAAGTGCATGTGTTTTGGTTCTGGTTTAACAAGTTTTTAGGACTCAATTAATTATTCTAATTAAACTACAAACCTAACTTAATTCAATCATGATTTCTTTTGGTTTAGTTTGTAACCACTCGAGTGGATTGTCAGATCTCACATCAATTAGAAATAGGAACGTAACTCTGTTTGTAAGGACGTGGAAACAATATGTAATAGGCCAAAGTAATAATATTTGCTAACGGTAGACTTGGATTGTTACAAATGGTATAAGAACTAAGCCTCGAGAGATATGCAAGTAAAGACCCTAGCCCCTAAGGGCGGTGGATTGTGAGATCCCACGTCAAAGCAAGAACATTGAGTCTCTAAGGGAGATGGATTTTGAGATCTTAGTTGGAGAGGGAAATAATACATTTTTTTTTATGAGGGTGAAAACCTCTCTGAACAGATGTATTTTCAAAACTGAGGCTGATAACAATACGTAATATGCCAAAATGGACAATATTTGCTAGCAGTGGACTTGAGTCATTTCAAATGGTATTAGAGCGGTCTTGGATGATGTGTCACCAAAGCATTGGCCTCCAAGGAGGTGGTAGATTGTGAGATTCCACGTCACTTAGATAGGAGAATGAAGCATTTCCTATAAGAGTGTGAAAACACATCTTTTTGGTGTACGTATTTTAAACCCTTGAGACTAAGGCTGACTGACAATGATACGGAGCGAGTCCATTCTCTGCCTTGCTCTTTAGAACGACCACAAACTGATACCAACTTAAAGAACTATACCACATTTTCACTATCTGAAACGTCATCCAAACAATATGCCTTCAATCTTCCCTCTCTCCCTCCATTCATCGGGTGGCTATCCATACGAACTTCTTCCAACAGCTTAACCACTCGCCGCATGGCTGGGCGGTACACAGGTTGAGGGCTGCTGCATTGGAGCCCAATGTTGAGGACCTTCAACATTTCCTCCATGCAACACCAATCCAATTTGGGGTCTACAATATGCTTCATGCCTTCCTTTTCTAAACTGTTGCATACCCATTTCACTAGACCGTTTTCTTCGAACTCGGGGTCAGTTGGCCGCCGCCCTGTTATCAGCTCAAGGATCACCATCCCGTAGCTAAATATGTCACCCTTTTCGTTCACTTTCGATGAATAAGCATACTCTGGAGCAATATAACCATAAGAACCAGTAACCACCGACATCGATTTAACCTCGGATACGTCGACAGCCATAGCTATTCCAAAATCTGCTATCATAGCTCCGAAATCAGCATCCAACAAGATGTTATTAGACTTGATATCTCTGTGTACGATTGGAGGAACACAATCATGATGAAGATAAGACAGCCCCTCAGCAACATCCAAGGCTATCTTGTATCTTGTTGGCCAATCCAATAACGCACTTCTACTGTCATGAAGCATATCACCTAAGCTTCCATTAGGCATGTATTCATACACCAAAAGCTTGCTGACTCCATTGCTACAACAACACAATAGTTTCACTATGTTTTTATGTCTGATGTTACCCAAAATCTCGACTTCTGCATCAAAAACATCTTCACTCCAAACTTTCTCGAGATCGAAGCTCTTGCGGTTGTTCGACACCTCGGGCCAAAGCTTCTTAACAGCAATGGTGGAACCATTGGTGAGAGCAACCTTGTAAACTTGGCCAGAGCCGCCACTGCCTATCACGATGTGTTCATCCAAGGAACCCACAATCTCGTCCTGGCTAAAAGACAGCTTTTGAAACGATGTCATTGTCCATTTCGATTTCATGTTTAGACTTCTTGAGGCGAGGAATTTCTTGTACTTGACGTGGAAGAAAGCCATTCCCACAAAGAAAATTACACCTGCTGATACAAAAACGGATCGCATCATCCAAATGCAAACTCCATCCCCATCGCAATCTCCTCCTCCTCCTCCTCCTCTTCTAGATTTAATTGGACGACACGCTCCACTTCCATCCCTACACAAATCAGGATTACCAAGAAAGCTATTTCTATACACTTCACTCTCGAAATAGGAAGGAAGCGTCCCATTTAAGTGGTTGTATGATAGATTAAGAACATTGAGGTTCGTATTCTGTAACCCATATGGGATTTCCCCTGAAAATTGATTGCCTGAAAGATCGAGGTAATTAAGCACAGGCAAGTTAGCAATTTCCCGGGGAATTTGCCCAGAGAAGTTATTATTAGCCAGATTCAGCTCATTTAGCCTCTTCCAGGCATCAAGCCTGCTGCTGATCAACCCCGAAAGCATGTTGTTTTTAAGATTTAACTTGGCAAGCGTATGTATTTTCGTGAGGCTCTCAGGGAAATTCCCTACGAACTTGTTATTCTCACCGGCGAACTCTACCAGATTCTCCAAAGACCCAAACTCCTCTGGAATTGTTCCTGAGAATTTGTTGTTAGAAATAAGAAGCAAACTCAGCCGCTTGGAATTGGCTATGTTCTTAGAGATTGGACCAGAGAAGCTGTTGTATGCAAGTTCAAGCAGAACAACACCTGGAAGTCCCCATAAATTTTCAGGTACATGACCCGTAAGATTGTTGCTCCCTAATCGAATCCTGGTTAGGGAGTGGCAATCACCGAGACTGGACGGGAGTTCGCCGGAAATGAAATTGTTGATCATCATTATTTCCAACAGTTTTCCATTCTCACATAAGGCCTCGGGAAGCCGGCCGGAAAAGAAGTTGTTGGAAATGTCCAACGATTCCAGAGGCGAATATTTCCCCAAATGTTGTGGTATCGCCCCTGTGAATCTGTTTGAAAATAGCTTGACCTCTGTCAAAGTCCTCGACCTCCCCATGCTTTCCGGCAAGCTACCCTCGAACTTATTCTCAAACGCATTAAGGCTTTCGAGCGGCAACTCAAACAAGTCGCCCGGAATAGGCCCAGAGAACTTATTCATCGAAATATCGACCAACCGCAACGACTTGAGTTTCGAAAGCCCATCTGGTAGCGCACCGGACAAGGAATTGCTAAACAACTCAATCTGGGACATGTGGGTTAACTCCGTCAGCGCTGGGGGGAACGACCCAGAAAGATTGTTAATGCTCAAATCAAGAAGAACGAGATTCTTGAGCCGTCCCAGCGAGTCGGGAATCTCCCCCTGTAAGTTACAACCCGTCAACCAAAGAACCTCAAGATTCACTAGATTACCCAGCTCCGGCGGGATTCTTCCCGGCTCAAAACTGTTGTAAGATAGATTCAACATCCTAAGGGTGGTTATGTTCCCAAGAAACGGAGGGATCACACCACCCATAAGATTCAAAATAAGGGAAAACGCCTCAAGTTTCTGAAACCGAGCGAAGGTGGGTGGTATTTCGCCAGACAAATTGTTGCCGGACAAATCCAAGTAACGGAGATTAGGCATATCAGCTAGGGAGGGAGGCAGAGAACCGGTTAAGAGATTTTGACCCAGGTCGAGATACTCGAGATTTGTACAGTTGACGAGGTCCGGCGGAAGAAGGGAATGGAAGCTATTATTGTAAAGAGAAACGTAGAGGAGAAGCGGAAGGTTACAGAGATGAACAGGAAAAGGGGCAGAAATTCCGGAGCTGGGGAGGTCGAGGGAAATGACGTGATGATCTACATCGCAGATGATGCCGTACCAAGAACAGGGGTCCGGGTCGGCGTCGTGCCAGGAGGAGAGGGCATTGTTATGAGCGTCGACGGAGCGCTTAAAGTCAAGGAGAATTCGACCCTCTTGGTTGAGAGCGAAGGAAAACAGAGGGAAACAGAGGAGGAACAGGAGGGGACGTGAAGGCATTGAAGAAAATGGGGGAAGAAGAAGAAGAAGAGTGGGCGGTGGGGTTCTGATGACGGGAGGATGGTGGAGGTGGGTGAGTTGAAAGAAAAGCTCCGGGGAAGAGGGTGAGTAGTGAAGAAGACGGTAGGGGAGGCGGTGGGGTTCTGTTTCAGAGGATTTTCCATTTTTGAGGCAATGTTACAGCTCTTTTTCAAACCGTAATAAGCAAATCCTGGTTGGTGGGAGAGAAGAAGATGAAAAACAGAGAAGAAGACTAAATTATTAAAAAAATAACCTTCGTATTTCCTTTTTTTTTTTTTTTTCTTTAAAATTTTAATTCTATCCTTAATTATAAATGCTTTAAAATTATCTTTTATCTTTTCAACCATTTCAATTTTAGATCTTTTACAAATGTCTAAAATATTATTGATTTTTTTTTTTTTTTGTGCCAAATTTACTGTTTTTACTTTTTCGTTTTTTTACATTATTTTTTTTCTTCTATTTTGTTGGGTTAAATCAAATAATTATTTTGTAAACTGTTTTTTTAGTTAAAAAAAAAAATTATATTGTTAATTAAAATAATTTAAAAATAAATTGTACGGATGATATTTATTTTTTAACATTAAATTTTGAATAATTCCTAGTAATATCGAAATGAAAAGATTTAAAAATATTAAAATTTTGAATTATATAGACCGTTTGAAATGGGCAACGACTCAACGGTTTGCATATGCGTGAACATGAACACACGAGTGAAGCAACAAAACTCCATTGCCTCAATCTTACTCCATTCTTTCTATATTCCAAACAAATTCTCTAATTCCGGCGTCTCAATTGCTTTCAAGCCACCGCTAACTTCACTTTTCCTCCACTCATCTTCCTCTACTTCATATTAATACACTTCAAAACTCCCCCATTTCCATCAACTCAACCTTCAAAGCCATGGAGATCAAACCCGCCGACCAAGAAACCCAATCTCCAAACGATCAAAACCAACCCCTTTTACGAGAAACAACGACCATCCCATCAAGAGATGAGAGAACCCTCATCCAAAAAGCCATTTCCCAAACCTTTCGAAGCACTGCTTCTTTGGCAAATCTTCTCCCCACCGGAACAGTCCTCGCCTTTCAACTTCTTTCCCCAATTTTCAACAATCAGGGCAACTGCGACTCCATTTCCCGCTACCTCACCGCCGCCCTCCTTGCTTTGTGTGGACTCTCCTGTTTTCTTCAGAGTTTCACTGACAGTTTCAGAGACAGCCAGGGGAATGTTTGCTACGGATGCGCTACTTTCAGAGGCATGTGGATTATAGACGGCTCCGAGGAGCTGCCGGCAGCGGACGCTGCCAAGTATCGGCTGAGATTTATTGATTTCTTGCACGCTTTCATGTCGATTCTGGTTTTTTCGGCCATTGCTCTGTTTGATGAGAATGTGGTGAGCTGTTTTTACCCGGCGCCGTCTGATCAGGCGCAGGAGATCTTGACGTCTTTGCCGGTTGGGATTGGCGTGTTTTGTAGCATGTTGTTTGTTCTTTTTCCCACCAGACGCCATGGAATTGGCTTCCCCATCTCTGCCACTTAACGGCGGAGTTGCTCCATTATTCGCCGGCATTCCCTCTAATCTCGTTCCATCTATTATAATACAAAAAAATAATTTTTAATGTGAAATCACGTCTAATAGATATTATTTGAAAGTTTATTTATTATTATTTTTTGGAGTTTGCAATGGCATATAAACCACGAAGTAAGACAAGTGGAAGTGGATATGATAAGGAGATATCTGAATACAGACAAACCCCTTCAGGATTTTGACAACTCAGCTTCTTCCCATCTCTCATTCGCTCTCTTTCCCGATAACTGGACCCCACCACATCCCCATTCGCATCCACACACAATCCCTCTCTCTTTTTCTTCATCCCATCTTCCGCCACGTCACCCTCCCTTCCCATTAACCCTCCCAGCTGGCGGTTGCACGAGCCCATACTCTACTGCTGGATGCACTGAATCCAATGATACAATAATACGCATCACAACGAATTACCGCCAGAATAAATCCTCGTCGTAGCCAACGAAAGAACATTTGCGTCTCTCTCGCTAACATTCACTCTGTGCTGCTGCTGCTGCTGCAGTCATGGAGTCCCACGTCCTCTCACGCGCCACTTCCTTCGCCGGCGGCATTTCCAGTCTCCGCAAGTTGCATAGGGAGACCACCACCAACAACCATATCGCCTTCGTTCAAACCAGGCCGATCGTCGAGGGAGCTAACTTGATTTGGGGACGACAACTACGGCCGTCTCTACTTCTCGACAACCTCTCGACGCCGAATCTATCCTCGGCCAAACGGGAGACGCTTCGGCCTACTTTTGCGGCAGCCTCCTCTTCTTCCGCCGGAGGCAGCGATTCCGCTGGGTGAGGTTCGTTTCCTCAGTTATGAACCGGACTGGCTCCCAGATTCACCTTCCAACTGATCCTATTTTCTTGCAGGGAAGCGAAGGTTGCTCCAGTGGGTTTCTTTGAGAAGTATCCGGCGTTGGTCACCGGATTCTTCTTCTTCATGTGGTAGGTTTAGGTGTAGTCTGTAGTGTAGGTCCCGTGTCCTGCACGGCGGAGACCGGGTTGCAATTATTATGTCACGGCAATTTAGAGCTGGGTTGTGCGAAATTACCGTGGTATCCTTTTTTGTTTTGTGTAGGTACTTTTTGAACGTGATTTTCAATATCCTCAACAAGAAGATATATAATTACTTCCCCTATCCATAGTATGTGATTTTCATCCTTCTATGTTTTCTATATATATATGAATAGTTATTAATATATCCAGTGTTTGTCTACGTGGCAGTTTTGTGTCGGTGATCCATTTGCTCGTCGGAGTGGTGTACTGTTTGATAAGCTGGGCTGTCGGTCTTCCTAAGCGAGCAGTAAGTCAACTCTTTTCAGCCCAGATACCAATTTTGTCTTCTTTTAAACTTTGTTCATTCAAATTGCTGCCAACAAACTTGGTATTTATTCTCCTAATGATTTTTATGATAAATTGTTTGTTGAAGTATTGATTTAATTAAATTTACGGGCCATATAGCCTATCTGGTTCGAACATTTAAGCGGAATATTTTAGCGTGTAAAAGCTGTTAAATAAAAGCTATCTTCCTTACATTTAGTTAGGTTGTTTTGACGTTTCAAAACTTATGAATTCACGCCAATGGAAGAGCATAATTTTAGCTACCATTTTTGGCCAACGTTGGGCAAAGTCTTCAACCATCAGTGGTATATCATTTCGGAGGAGCCAATCTTATCTAGAGAAGCGTGAAACACACACATCTTGGGGACAATCCCGGGTAGGCTCACTCACTCCTCCACGCCATCGCCGTGATGATGACGGGCGTTGAGTTGTTGTTGAGCGAGAGTGATAAGGGAGACAACGACCGCCATCGTTCAATACGTAACAACTACAAGGTCTCGGGGGCACACGCGCGGGCGGTACACGGGCACTTAAACTTTCCTGCTCTAGAAAAAGCTACAGAAGGAGGAGATGGTGCACGGTTTGCCGGCAATCAAAGGCGTGAACAAACTGTGCGACGGGTGCCTCATCGGTAAACAGAGGCGCGCACGGCGAGAGGCGGTTAAGCGCATTAAAACGCGAGCGGAGGCCGAATATGAGAAGAAGATGCGAGTTAGAATCAGGTGGCAAAGGGCTACATCTAGAAGCAAGGAGTGGACTTCGAAAAGGTAACGGGTGCCTCATCGGTAAACAGAGGCGTGCACACCCTTTCCGTCTAGAACATCCTACCGCGTCGATGAGCCGTTGGAACTTGTACACGGCGATATCTGCGGGCCCATCAAGTCGGCGACCCCAGGCGGTAAGAGTCTCTTCCTCCTGTTTGTTAGTCGATGACAAAAGCCGCTTCATGTGGCTGACCCTGCTGCAAGCGAAAAGTGAGGCGGCAGAGGCTGTTAAAATCCGTCCATCTGGACTTCGAAGAGGTATTTGCGCCGGTGGCAAGGTTAGAATTCGTCTGTCTTTTGCTGGCAATTGCGGCACATTACTCTTGGGAGGTTCACCATATGGACGTGAAGCTCGATAGTACCTTACTGTCACTGCAATTCAAGCGATGTGTCTCTGAGCATGGCATGTACACGCACGGCCATGGCAAGCAGCGACTGATCGTGGAAGTGTACGTCGACGACCTCATAATCACTGGAGGCGACGTGGAAGTCCTCGAAAGGTTCAAGAAGGAGATGTCAAAGAACTTCGAGATGAGCGATCTCGGCGTACTCAACTACTACCTCGGTATCGAAGTGCAACAGAATTCTACCGGCATCTCCATCTGCCAAAATGCGTACGCGAAGAAGCTGCTGGACACAACTGGGCTTGTGGACAGTAATCCTACAAGGACGCCAATGGAGGCCCGACTCCAACTAAGGAAGGCTGGCACTATGACGACAGTCGACTCCACCAATTACCGCAACATTGTCGGGAGTCTGCGCTATCTGATAAACACTCGTCCTGATCTTGCTTATTCTGTCGGATATGTGAGTAGGTTTATGAAAGCACATAGGGAGAAGCATCTAGTGGCTGTCAAGCGCATCTTGCGCTATGTAGCCGGAACTAGAGACTGGGGTGTAAAATACTGCGCAGGGATAGGAAAGGAGAAACTCAAGCTGGTCGGTTACAGTGATAGTGACATGGCCGGTGACGTTGATGATCGTAAGAGCACCAGCGGAATGATCTACTTTCTCTCAGGCGGCGCGATCTGCTGGCAATCAACAAAATAGAAGGTAGTTTCTTTGTCTTCCTGCGAAGCAGAATACATCGCCGCTTCAATGACAGCAACACAAGGGGTCTGGCTTGCGCGACTAATGGAAGAACTCATCGGGAGGGAAAACGATCCACCAATGCTATGCGTAGACAACAAAGCTACGATCTCCCTGATCAAAAATCCAGTTTTGCACGACCGGAGCAAGCACATAGAAATCATATTCCACTACATTCGAGAATGTGCAGATCGAGGGTTCATCAAAATTGATTTCATCCGAACAGAGGAACAACTTGAAGACATTTTCACCAAGTCCCTGGTGCGGGTAAAATTTGAAGAACTACACTCAAAGATCAGAGTTCAAATAATAAGGTAGATATAACACAGCTTTTAGGAGGACGTTGTTAAATAAAAGCTATGTTCCTTACATTTAGTTAGGTTGTTTTTACGTTTTAAAACTTTTGAATTCACGCCAATGGAATAGCGTAATTCTAGCTGCCATTTTTGGCTCAAATTCTTTGCACATTTTTTTATTTTTGTAATTAGGTTTATTATTTAAAGAATTCAACAAATAAAACATCCAAGTCTTCAACAAATCTCTCCCTCTCTCCTTTTACTTTACCCTATTTTGTCGAATTTTTCCTTCGGTCAGTTTTTTTTTCTCGTCGACGTTTTCCTCCTAATTGTCAGAGTCAACAAAAGCTTGGTACAAGGGTAGCTCTGTTCTCAACCCTAGGGATTGTTTGTTTTGGCATGCAGCCTATTGACTCAACCCTTCTGAAGTTGCTGATCCCTGTAGCTTTCTGTCATGCACTCGGCCATGTCACTAGCAATGTCTCATTTGCAGCTGTAGCTGTCTCATTCACACACACAGTCAAAGGTAAACCACCAAATTTACCAATGATTCAGTTTATGGCGGCATGTTCCTGGATTTTGTTGTTTCGCTGAAAATCTTGTTCAATCATTTTCAGCTCTGGAACCGTTCTTTAACGCCGCCGCTTCTCAATTCATTTTGGGGCAATCCATTCCCATTACCTTGTGGCTTTCATTGGCTCCCGTTGTCATTGGTAAATCCTTCTACCTTTACCTCTGCATTTTAATGTCATATGGATTTGGTTTCACGTGACGATGGTTTTGTTTTGGATTGATGAATGCAGGTGTGTCAATGGCGTCCTTGACTGAGCTTTCATTTAACTGGACTGGCTTCATTAGTGCTATGATTTCCAATATCTCCTTTACCTACAGAAGTCTTTACTCAAAGAAAGCCATGGTATCTTCTTCCTTTGGCTCTTTTAGACTCTGCTATCTCCAACTTGAACTGATCTAAGCTTTGTTTACAGACTGACATGGACAGCACCAACGTCTATGCCTATATTTCCATCATTGCTCTCCTTTTCTGCATTCCACCTGCTGTAATTGTAAGTTTCTCTTACCTATACTAACCCATCAACTTCTAAACTTCTACATTTATGGCTGACAGAATATCTTGTTTACGAATAAATATGGTTTTCGTTAGTAATTACGATATGATATTGTCCACTTTAAGCATTAGCTCTTACGACTTTGTTTTTGGTTTTTCCAAAATACCCCATACCTATAGAGATAGTATTCCTGACTTACAAATCCATGATCTTTCTCTTAATTAGCCAATGTGAGACTCCCTCCCAATCATCTTCAACAATTCTCCCCTCAAACTAAGTACACAATATAGCCTCCCTTGAGACGTATGGAGCCTTCAAATAGTCTCCTTTTAGCTGAGGTTCGACTCCTTCTCTAGAGCCCTTGAATAAGATACACCAATTATTCAACACCCGAGTCACTTTTGATTGCACATTCGAGGCTCACAGTTTTTTTGTTCGACACGTGAGGATTTTATTCACATGACTAAGTTAAGGGCATGATTCTGATACTATGATGAGCTCAATGAGAACAAAAATCTAGTGTGTTACAAAAAGCCTTGCACCAAGGGAAATGTATTATTTACTTATAAATTCATGATCATCCTCTTAATTAACCAATGTGAGACTCCCTCTCAACTATCCTCCCCTCGAACAAAGTATACTATATAGTCTCCCTCAAGGTCTATGGAGCACTAGAACAGATTAAAAATTCTACGTATTTACAAGCCTACGAGTGGGTTGAAGCGTAGAATACTGATATAATTAAATTTTATGTAATTTGTGGTCTTATAGGTGGAGGGGCCTCAGCTGCTGAAGTTTGGTTTCAACGATGCCATAGCCAAAGTTGGTGTAACCAAATTCGTGTCAGATCTCTTCTGGGTAGGGATGTTTTATCACCTTTACAATCAGGTACGTTGCCTTTTCGTCTGTTTGGTATCTGAGAAAGGCTGCATAGTTCAATGGTTTGAAAGCGAACACTTATGCTTTGAATAACTCGACAGTTAGCAACCAACACCCTGGAGAGGGTGGCACCACTCACCCACGCAGTCGGCAATGTGCTGAAACGTGTATTTGTGATCGGATTCTCCATCATTGTCTTTGGTAAAATACTCTTTTCATTTTCTGGTTTCAATAGCTGCAAGTAATGTGGCATTAAAACATTGTGGTTGCTTGGCAGGCAACAAAATTTCAACCCAGACTGGTATTGGAACCAGCATTGCCATTGCAGGAGTGGCGCTTTACTCGTACATCAAGGCTAAGATGGAAGAAGAGAAACGAGTGAGTTCTATATACAGTAGCTTACTTGCTTTTGCTTCTTTCTCCTCTCTAAAACAAGCTTTCTTTTGTGGACAGCGAACAAAGGTGGCTTGAAGAAGCAGAGCAGCAGCAGCTTGGGGATGAGGGGAGGATTTGGTGTCGTAAATTTTTAAATAATTCCATCAACAACAAAAAAGATGAAGAAAATTACGATCAGATTCTAAGCCCAGACATTTACTGTCTCATTTTATTTATTTTAAAACAATGCCACTATTTGCCGCATTGCTCCAACCTTTCCTCCCAATAACATCCGCAAAATTGTTCAAATTATTCCGAATTTCTTTTGTCGGGACTAATTTAAAAAAAAAAAAATAGAGATATATTTTATTTTATATTTATCTAAAGAATACGAATCTAGGACCATGAGGTAGATTTTTTCTCGTAGTCTAAAGTACCCTATTCTAATATATAATTAGAATTTAATAGAAAAATTCTTATACTTAATTTGTTAGATACGAATACAAATTCTTACAAATAAGGTTCGTGTGGTTAATTAGAGCATAGTTGATAGAGGTTCTTGGTCAAATTTTTAATAAGATTTTAGATAATAATTATGATCAAAGTCATTGAAAAAAAAGATTTTCTTTAGATTTTGAAAATAAATTAGAAAAAATTAATGTGTAAAAATATTAAAAAATAATTTAAGGATGATTTTGCCTTTTTAAAAGATATAATAATGATTTTTTTTAAAAGAAAAAAAAATTAAAACGAAAACATAACGTGTTTGGTTTTGATGTGAATGTGAAAAGACTAAAGGCAGCAATGAGAGACGAAGCAGCGAGGTTGGCGGGTAAAGGGGCCGAAGAAGTAATTCGTGGAGTTGGAGCCCATGTTTGCAATTTAGGGTTCATGGATTGGATGGAAGAATGAAGGTGGCTTAAAAGTTCATCAAAATTCAGAAGCACATGGGGGAGAGGAGTTGGGGATGGTGTGATGGTAAATTAAAAAAAAAAGAAAAAAGGAAAAAAAAAAGAAAAAAGTGTAGTTTGACATTCATTGATTTAAAAGCGTTTAATGAAAAGAAATTAAAGAGAATTATGGGAGATTGGATTAGAGTGAGAGGAGACGGTTGGTTATTTGTTCCTGAATTTGCTTTTTCCTATAATTTCTTCCTTCTTTTCTCATCATTTATTATTCTTTTATTATCGTTATTGTTATTCGATGATGATAATTCTTCTATACTGCTTTTCTGTTCCTTGACTATTACGGTATTTAGGTTAAGTGGGGAAAAGGGAATTCGTAATTCCATTGTTTCGCCCTTTTCAATTTTGTTTTGGAAGAGTGTTTTTGGTTTTTTTTGATTCTAGGGTTTGCCTGTTCTCTTCCTTCGATCTTCATCTTCCAATTCCATGGAAGCTGCTGCCTCGGACGGCGAAAATCACAACCACAATAATGATGATATTAACAAAATTAGCAACTCAAGGGAGGGTCTTAGCAAGCCCAAGCGCCAGATGAAGACTCCCTTCCAGCTTGAAACCCTCGAGAAGGCCTATGCTTGTTCGTTCACAAAAGCTTTCCTTTTTTTCTTCTTCTTCTTCTTCTTCTTCTTCTTCTTCTTCTTGTTCTGTCAATTTTGAGAATTTGTTTTTAACTTCTGGTGTTTTGATTTTGTCGTGTTTGGTTGATTTGATCAGTGGACACGTACCCATCAGAGTCGACAAGGGCTGAACTGTCGGAGAAATTGGGGCTTACCGATCGGCAATTGCAGATGTGGTTTTGTCACAGGAGGTTGAAGGACAAGAAGGAACCAGCGAAGAAACCCCGGAAGGTGATGGCACCGGCGTTGCCTGATTCTCCCATTGATGAATTGAGAGTAGTGGCCGAGCCGGGTAGTGATTACGCTTCGGGCTCGGGCTCGGGTTCGAGTCCATTTGGTGATGTTGGGTTGCGTAATGTGGTACCTAGAAGTGTTGGAGATGATATGCCAATGATGAGAAGGTATTATGAACCTTCACGGTCTGTTATGGAACTTAGAGCTATTGCTTGCGTCGAATCGCAGTTAGGAGAGCCATTGAGGGAGGACGGACCTATTCTTGGGATTGAATTTGATTCATTACCACCTGATGCTTTCGGAGCACCTATAGGTATGGCTGATTTTTATTTTTTATATTATTCTATTGTTATTAACCGTTCTTCTTAAAAATTTCTACTGCATGTAATGGACATTTTATTTTTTATTTTAGAAATGAGTTTATTGATGTATATATGTATATAAAGAGGACAAAAGCTCTAGAAAAGCCTAAGGAGTTACTTAAAGAACTTCATTTGGCATTAATCATTGATCGGTGTGTACAATGAGAACCAAGAGAAGAAGCACACATTTTAATTTCTTGTTTTAGTTTCTTTTTTTAGTATTGGTTTAATTGTTTTAATCCTACTTAAAGTACTGTCTATGATATTGCAGCATGTTTAGCTGCTCTTGCAATAGGTGTAGCCTTTCTGATGTTGTGGTAAGTCAAATATCAGTTTGATAAGCAATGAGAACAGAGCACCCGAACATGAAAGTTGAATTGCAAATAGGAGGTTTTGATCGTCGACTTACTTAATGTTCTCCAAGAATTTGGTTTAATTGGGAGGCTGTGAACGTGGCTTAGTTTAAGTTCTACAAGAATTTTATGAGAGGGGCCTCATTGATCCTCAATGAACCCCTTGTTTTTTTTTTAGTTCAACAATATGCTGGTGAAATATTTGAACCTCTAAACTATGCTCATGTTGTTTACCTTCTCCAAAGAAGTCAGACTTCTTATTTGAAGGTTTTTCGGCTGATTAGTTTAGTTACTGGCATTTACAGGATCGAGCCAAGAGATTGAGGGTGGTGTGAGGGGCCATTGTGCCAAACCCAGTTAAAAAGATAATTGCTATTTTGGCTTACTGGTTTCAGTGTTTTCCTTTAGCTCCTTCTTGTGGTATAAGGTTATTGTGACTGTGAGTATCACTGGCTTGCTAGTGAGACTCCAAGGTGATGTGAAGTGGAACTCTTGGAAAAATTAGTTTTTCAAACGGTCTTTCTTTGTTAGATGGGTTGTTTGTCTGTTTGTTTCTCTCTCCTTTTTTTTTTTATATTTTTGGATAGGAATCATTTGTTGTGGCTTTATCCTTTTTTGAGTTTGGTGTGAGGGGCCTTACAGGAAAGCTCTTGGTGTTAGCTTGGTCCCTATCGCAAAATATAAGAAAAAGATGAGAAGCGTTTTAATTAGTTAAAAGCACTTCTCTCCAGCCCTAATGTGATGTAAAGGGTATCCTTATTGACCTTAGTTTTTTTTCAAACTTGTATACAGACTACCATCTGATGCTGTAAAGTTGATTTGTGGTTTTCATTTATTTGAACAGAAAAATTTCCATAATTTTTTTTCTTTAATGGATAATAACTGCTCGAGAAGAATTACTTGGTTCATTGTACTTGTTTAATTATATCTCAAAAATCTATTTGTTCTGCATTAGCCGTACTCTGTTATGATCACATTTCCTCCTAGAATGTTGTTTTGTTATCTTCTTGAGTACGTCAGTATGACTTGATGCTAAACTCCCGCAGTATTCTTGATGACAATAGTATTTTTCTGATCATTTTGTTACTTCTTTGGATTACAGTGGCAGAGCAGCAGAAGCGATCTGGCCATTCGTATGGGGAAAAATACGAACAACGGGATGCTAAATCAAATAAAGTTAGTCTATTTTGTTACTTGAATATGGTGCTTTATTGTACTTTAGCATTTCTACCTAATGATGACATGATGATTCATCGTGATCTAAACCTTTCCTCATATTTTTTCTATTCTCTCCATCTCATTTGTTTTTAACGCTAGTTTTTTATTTATTTATTTTTATGTATAATGTTTTCTATTGGGCACATCACAAAAAGAGTCCTCACTTCGTTTTTCCTTTGCATTAATCCCCTAGAGAGTTGCTTTAGACTGTCTTTATTCTTTAGAACACATTGACATTTGAAATATATGTTTTTAGCTCCCCTAATTGCTACTACCGTAGTGAGCCTCTTTGAATAAAATGTCAGTACACGTGTATATATAATATTTGTTAAGAAAAATGAAGGAATACAATTTCAGTACACATGTGTATATATAATATTTGTTAAGAAAAATGAAGGAATACGCGTGCAAAAACAATTAGTCCACCTCAAAAGAAGCTTAAATACAGAAAACAGAAACAAATATTGTTATTATAAGAAAGGGCTCTTATTTTACCTGGGATTGTTATAAAACTCCATGGTAGTAACATAAACCCAAAGGAAATGTTGTAGTCCACACGTCCCATAAAATCTCAACCCACTAAATATTATCAAGCTAAATGATCCGCAAGGTGATAGCAATAGAGGCTGTCCTCCACTGGGCTCTTCCTTTCCCCTTAACAGCAGGGTCAGTTCTCCCTCCTAAACAGTAGGTAAAACACCACCTCCAAACAACTAGACAGAAAATCGTTATAGAAGGTGCAATGAGATGATTGTAATGAATTTTAAATACAATCTGATCATTCTCAAACACAGATGTTACATTTAGTTAATATATTTACTATGGAAAAAGATTTCACGTATGCTGTCTATTTCTATTGGTTTATCATGTTGAAATGGATTGAATTCTCATGCAGGTGACTGCAAGGGGATTCACAGAATATCCATTTATGCCAGACCAATCTAATATTAGAGCTGATGCCTATGGTCCAGTTGCCCAATCACATTATCCAGATTCATTAGTTGAGGTTACATCAGCCAGGACACCGTATTTTCTTGGTCATGAACAGCCGAACAGGAGCCACAATTACCATGGTCAGGTCTCAAGGGTTCGTCTTCTGTCTCAACAGGAGAAACAGGCAGTTACAATTCCATCTCCTGCTGAAGATAGCACGTGTGTCCCTCCAAGGGATTCTTTTGCAAGTATCAGAATGAATTCTCAGTTTACTGAACACCCAATTGTTGGACAAGAAAATTATGTGTTGGCTGATGGGCATATTTTTCCAGAGGACGTCATGATTAGGATGGAAAGGAAACGCAAGGTATTCCTAAGTATTCAAAAGATGCTATGGTTTTTTTTTTTTTTTTTTTTTTTTTTTTTTTTTTTTTTTTTTTTTTTTTTTTTTTTTTTTTTTTTTTTTTTTTTTTTTTTTTTTGTGTGTGTGTGTGTGTGTGTGTGTGTGTGTGTGTGTGTGAATGTCAATGGAATCATCTTACCTCTAATGGTTTCCTTCTGTAGAGTGAAGAAGCTCGTTTAAACAAAGAAGCTGAAGCCCATGAAATAAAAATGCGGAAAGAGCTTGAGAAACAAGATATTTTGAGGAAAAAGGTTCTTATTTTCTCATTTATTATTTAAATTATTCAAATTAATTATGTTGTAATTTTATTTTATAATTAAAAACTATGTTTACAGTATGTACGTTGTTTTACTGAAAAAAATGGAAAGAAACTTCTCTTACAGAAAAACAATTATTTATTTTTCTGGTAGAGTGAAGAACGAATGAGGAGAGAAATGGAAAGGCAAGATCGCGAAAGGAGGAGAGAAGAGGAAAAGTTACTGCGAGAAAAGCAGCGGGAAGAGGAGAGATTGAAGCGTGAGGAAAGACGTGAACATGAACGGAAGGAGAAGTTTCTGCAGAGGGAGTATTTAAGGGTAGGTTAAGAAGGTTAAATGTTTGTCTCTCATTAGCTGCTGGGTTCTTACAGAAATAACTAAAATACGTAATAAGTGCTCATTGCTCACCATCATTATTATAACTGTAGGCTGAAAAGAGGAGGCAAAAAGAAGCTATTCGCAAAGAAAAGGAAGCAGTGAGACGCCAAGCTGCTATTGAGAAGGCTACTGCTCGTAGGATTGCCCGTGAGTCTATGGAGCTTATTGAGGATGAACAACTTGAACTGATGGAGCTGGCTGCTGCAAATAAAGGATTCTCCTCCATATTAAGTCTTGATCATGACACTTTGCAGAATCTTGAATCATTCCAAGGTTTGCATTGTTTTGAATAGCCACCTATTTAAGAAACTAATATCTTTTTATATAACTCAAATATTGTAAGATTATGTAGTACTTGGTAGTCAGGCTTGTGAGCTCTATGTCGTTGCTTGTTTGCCAGTTCAATTCCATCTCCCTCCATTTCTTTGTATCTCCAAATGAGTGAAGTATATTTATATATTCATAGCCCAATTAATTTGTATTTTTGAAACTGGCATACCAATTAGTTCATCGAAATGACAAATCAGATTACTCCAGTTACTTATGTACAGAACAAATCATGTACCAAACTAATAAAGGTCATGTAAACAATAAATGGCTTAGAGAAAATGAGTTCAATCTATGTTGTCACCTACTTAGGATTTAATATGATAAGACGGTTGTCTCGTGAGAATAGTTGATGTGCGCGCAAGCGTCCATGAACACTCTCATATATAAAAGAAAAAAATGTAACTTCTGTTCTTATGATAAGATGCATTTAGGACTCTTGTTCTCGGTTGACTAGGCTATTTTCTTAATATCATTATTGTCACTATTATCATTATTGTTATTACTATTTTATAGATTTCTGAATCTTACAATAAGCTGTTGACATATTATTTTTCAGATTATCTAGGTGCTTTTCCACCCAAGTCTGTGCAATTGAAAAAACCTTTCGGCATTCAGCCTTGGATCAATTCAGAGGAGAACATTGGCAACCTTCTCATGGTACATCTCAAAATCTCCTTCTTTGTATAATTTAACGAGCCTTTTAAGAGGCATGGTAGTGTCGTTGCCTCATGATGGTTTTTTATTTTTGAACTGTTGGAGATTATTTCTACACCCATGCTTTTGTAAATGCACTTCCATGTTTTTTAGAATATGAATTTTTTGGGTCATTTACTTGTATGTATGCATTAAATTTAAAAGTTACTTGTTTACTGTTAAATGCAACCTTATTCTCTTAAAATACAAGATTGTAATGTTGCACAATTTTTCTTTTAGAAAGTTCTCGAGTGTTGTATCTTCATCAAATTCCCAATAATTTGTCTGGGATTAAGGATGTAATTTGATTTCACATTTTGCATTGAGAATATGTCTGTTATTTCCAAAATGCTGTCGGCTCCCTGCTAGCACTTTGAGTCTTTTGGTTCTGTGCTTCAAGCAACTTGTAGTTTCTGTTGCATCAATTAACTTCATCTTATAGCCTTTTTTTCTGCAAAGTGGCAATTGCAAAAACTTGTCAAGTTTTGATGCTGAAACATCTTTCTGAGAGGAGAAATGGACACCTAAATATCTTGTGTTTGTTTTTCAGGTATGGAGATTTTTCATTACATTCTCTGATGTTCTTGAGCTATGGCCCTTTACCCTTGACGAGTTTGTGCAAGCTCTTCATGACTATGTAAGCCACCCCTGTGGACATTTTCTCCCGAATCAAATATTTTCAAGTTTGCTTCCTACCCATTTTGACACCTTTCTTAAATCAATCCTAGGATTCAAGATTACTGGGTGAGATTCACATTTGTCTTCTGAGTCTGATTGTAAAAGATATCGAAGATGTTGCAAGAACACCTTCTGCTGGATTGGGAATAAACCAGAATGGTGTTGCCAACTCGGGAGGTGGACATCCTCAGATTGTCGAAGGGGTAATCACTTCGAATAATATAAATTATTTGTATATTCTAAGATGGTTCTTTCTATATCTTATTCAGAACCATCTGTCATTTATTTTATTGTATCAGGCATATGCGTGGGGATTTGACATTTGCAACTGGCAGAAACATTTAAACCCATTAACATGGCCAGAAATATTTAGACAACTAGCACTATCAGCTGGATTTGGACCTCAGTTGAAGAAGAGGGGTTTGGCATGGTCTGAAATGCGTAGCAACGATGAGGTCTATTTTTTTATTCTTTTGCAATGGGAATTTTTTCTATGTAATAGAACTCTCTAATTTCTGTTCTTCATTACCAGAAAATTTGTTGTCCCTAAGTAGAAATGTCAACTAGCAAGTAGGGAGATGTTACTGTTGATAGTGAAGGGGCTATTCTGTTTAACTGTTAATACTAAAAAAATCTTTGATCGATCATTTGCATCAGCTACATATTCTGGATTCCAAGGCAATGTTTGTTCATAGATATCCGTCTTCCCAAATTATTATAAATATGGACCTTCCTTTAGTACTTGCAAGAATTTTCCTTTTCATATTCAAATGGGACCTTTTCAACTGTCAATTTTTTTTTTTTTTTTTTTTTTTTAGTTGGTCTTGATTTGTAGGNTTTTTTTTTTTTTTTTTTTATTGAGTTGGTCTTGATTTGTAGGCTAAATGTGGTGAGGATGTAGTTTCTACTCTCCGCAATGGTTCAGCAGCTGAAAATGCATTTGCTATCATGCAAGAGAAAGGTTTGCTAGCTCCTCGGAGATCTAGGCATCGGCTAACTCCTGGAACTGTCAAATTTGCTGCATTTCATGTCCTTTCACTAGAAGGAAGTGAGGGGTTAACAGTACTAGAACTTGCTGAGAAGATACAGGTGAGCCTAATATTTCTGTTGATTGAGAATTTTTATAAAATACCTTTTATGCTGTCTGGTTTTAACAAGAAACCTTACGCATGTCATTTATATAGAGATCTGGACTTAGAGATCTGTCTACAAGCAAGACACCAGAGGCTTCCATTTCTGTTGCTTTGACAAGGGATACGAAGCTTTTTGAAAGAATTGCTCCTTCCACATATCGTGTGCGAGCTCCTTATAGGAAGGATCCAGATGATGCCGAGGAAATACTTTCAGTAGCCAGAAAGAAAATTCAGGTATTCCAAAATGGGTTTTTGGTTGGAGAAGATGCAGATGATGTTGAAAGAGACGAAGAATCTGAATGTGATGATGTTGATGAAGATCCTGAAGTTGATGATATGGCGACAACAGCTTTGGTGAATGAAGATGTTAGCAAAGGAGATGCTAACTTAGGAGTTGACAATGAGAATGTATGCCATGATATTGCTGGAAATCTACAAAATGCAGTTGCCAAAGATATACCGTCGTTCCCCTTAAGTGGCTCCAAGGACACAAAATATTTAAACATACCCACAGCGCAGTATGCTGCCATTGATGAGACTAATATTAGTGATCTTGATCAAGACAATATGGAGATTGATGAAAGCAAGGAAGGTGAATCATGGATTCAAGGACTTACAGAAGGTGAATATCATGATCTTAGTGTTGAGGAGCGCTTGAATGCCCTTATTGCCTTGACCAGCATTGCAAATGAAGGAAACTCTATTCGCCTTGTTCTTGAGGTAGATGTTACTTCCAATTTGATATATGGAACTTCTTCATGATAGTTATTAAATGTTTTAGATTCTTTATTTTATTGGAGGATTTAAATTCCAATTATGATGATTATATAGGATCGTTTGGAGGCTGCCAATGCTGTTAAGAAGCAAATGTTGGCAGAGGCTCAGATTGATAAATCTCGTCTAAAAGAAGAGATCATTACTAAATCTGATTTTCCAATTCACATTGTGAGCAAGGTGGAAACTGAACACAATGGTTCCGCTATGGAGGGTGGGCAAAGCCCTTTTCCTGTTACCGAAAAGAAGAACGATGAAACAACCCCAAGCACTGTAGAAATCCTTGGTAATGTCTCTAATGAGAGGGCTACTTCAGTGCCGGATCTTTTCCCAGGCTCAGATAACTTTTTGGCTCAGCAATGTGGACATGCTTCAAAGAGGTCACGTTCACAGTTAAAATCTTATATTGCCCACAAAGCTGAAGAAATGTACACATACAGATCTTTGCCTCTTGGTCGAGATCGTAGGCATAATCGATACTGGCAATTTGTTGCGTCCTCTTCAAGCAATGATCCTGGTTCTGGTAGAATCTTTGTTGAAATGTATGATGGAAAGTGGAGGCTTATTGATTCTGAAGAGGTAGACTTATTGATTTTGTGGTGTTTGGTCAATCTTATATAAGATCCTGCCTTTTTTAGTTGCTTTGATTCTTCTTTTTTAGCATTAGATTAATCAGTACTAGAATGTGTCATTAGAGGAAGAGGAAGAAGAACTTGGCAGTTACTTTGTGAAACTTGTTAATACTTGCGCATATGCTTTAGAATTTTCTCATATAAGATGTTTGTTATACTTACAATTGTTTAACCTATTTCATCTCTCAAACGGCTGATTTTTTTGGGCCAACCCTTTGTGTCCTTTATGTTTAGATTCTGACATCCATCTTTTTACCTTTGCCCATTAATTGTTCTCTCTTATTTGTAGGACTTTGATGCTCTTTCAATGGCTTTGGACACACGCGGGGTTAGAGAATCACACCTACGCATAATGTTGCAAATGATAGAGACGTCATTTAAGGAAAATGTTCGAAGGAGTCCGCAGTGTGCCAACGTGATGGTTCAAAGTGGAATTGCACCTAAACATGAAAACGATGAATTGAGTTCTAGTCCTGATTGCAACACTGGTTTTAACAGCCCTGGCAGTACCGTTTGCGGTTTAAATTTGGATACAGTGGTAACATCATCTTCATTCAGAATTGAGCTTGGGAGACATGAAAACGAAAAGAAGGCTGCATTTAGAAGGTATCAAGACTTGCAAAGGTGGATGTTAAGAGAGTGCTTTAGCACATCAACATTATGTGCCATGAAATTTGGAGAAAAAAGGTGCATATCGCTGCTGGACATTTGTGATTCTTGTCTGTGCTTGTTTGAGTCCCAACATTCTCACTGTCCTTCGTGCCATCAAACTTTTGGCACTAGTGAGAATGATATTAATTTTCTCGAACATAAACGTCACTGTGAGATGGAAAGGATGTCTAACCCTTTGGATGTACACATGTTGGATGCATCTCTTCCCCTCAAAAGTAGGTTGCTCAAGGCCCTCTTAGCTTTCATTGAGGTGAGCAGCAGTAACCATTAAAGCCATATTCAACATAATTCCTATTTCATTTTTAGATTTGAGGGCTAATGCCTGCAATTTTGGCTGCCTTTACCTCTTTCGGCACTTGTATATCATTAGGGCTTACTTTTTCACAGGTACATGTTCCGTTAGAAGCTTTTCAATCGTTCTGGACAGAGCACAGGAAAGATTGGGGTGTCAGGATGAAATTATCACCATCTATTGAGGAGCTTCTACAGGTAATTCTGCACCTTCAAGTGTTGAGCTCACTATAAAGTTGATATAAACCTTCAACCCTTGATCTTCAAAACTACTGGTTATCTGTTACTTCCATAAACCCCCATCATCCTAAATCTGGGTTGCTTGTGCCATGATCGAATATCTTCCTCTACTACTCCCAAAGTAATTTAAGTAATTTGTTACCACGTGATTGAACCAACAGGAACTTGTGTTAACGTTTCTAATTTTTCTTTTTGACATCAGTCAGATGCTTGAAATTAATGGTTGATGGACTTTGCACTACTGCTTATGCTTAATTCGGTGCTGTTTGGCAGCATAAAGAAAATGGCCATATTATGCTGCTGCCAAATGGAGGAAATATTTAAATTCTAGTAACATATTTAACATGCACAGTTCAATGTGCATCCCTGACGGGTTCCTGTGTCTAATCATTTGCTCAATCTTGTATTTTGTATTAGAATTTTGGATCTGTTCATATCAAATCTGCTAATCGTTTCTAGTTTTTCTGCTTTCATGATTCTTCCAATGGATGAAGCTTTAACTGCTATCTCCTGTTATTGAATCTTACAGATATTAACCCTGTTTGAAAGTGCGGTTAAGCGAGACTTTCTAAAATCAGACTTTACTACAACAGACGAGCACCGGGGCTCATGTTCCGTCTCTGGGACTGTTATGCATGACCCATCCGATATTGGGTCTGTTCCTACATTACCCTGGATTCCACGGACTAGTGCAGCTGTTGCTTTAAGGCTTTGTGAGGTAGATGCATCAATTTATTACATCGGGTGTGAGAAACCAGAGCCTGACCAGGACAAGGAAGTCGGAGAACATATGGTAAGTTACTTTTTCTCTTATTGCTTTCTTATTGCAGTTATAATAGGGGATGTATCATGAAATAAGTTGATACATGTTTGCTTTGTTCTTCGTCGGAACATATGCCTTGTTGCCAGATTATCCTTCCGAACTAATTTACTTGTCTCTGTGCAGAACTTTTCCAACAGATATGTCCAGGTTAAGAATGAGGAGCGGACTAAACTAAACGACTTGGATTATGATGATCTAATGAAGAACGAAAACTCAGCCAATCCCAAAGGTTTTAGGACCAGCTACAAACGCAGTCGAGGGAGTCGAGATTATGGACGCCGCAAAAAGTGGCAGAAAAAAGTTAACGGATCTAGATCTGGCCAAGTCCGGCAAAATGTCAAGAGTAACGAGAAGATGAATCAAGGACAGAGGGAGCTGGGACAAGGAACGCAAGTTATGGGCATACGGGGCCGCCGTACGGTGAGGAAGAGACGGGCTGAGAAGAGCATTCCAGATGACGGACTGCTGGGGCTAATGCCTGGTAGTAGTACTCATAACATAGATGAATCCCCAAAAGATTATCTTGGGGAATGGGAGGATGAAAAAATGGATAGATTCATGGATATGGAAGATGAAGAGGAGAATGTGATGGAGGATAAAGAGAACGTTATGGAAGATGAAGAGAATGAAGAGAATGTGAACAACAACGTAGAAGCAATGGAGTCGGAAGAGGATGGGCAGGGAGTTGTTGGGTACGAGGAAGGGGGTTGGGAATTTGGGTTTGAAGGCACCTCCAACTCCAATAGTAGATGGAACAATGGTGATTTAGAGATGGGTAGCGATGAGGACGTGGATTTATCAGAGGATTACAATGGCACTGAAGAGGGGGGAAACGATGATATAGAGGAGGAGTTAGATGTTGATGATACCAGCGAGGAGTCGGATTGTTCACCAAATAGGAGGATAGTAGGCAACAACAATGGTGGTGCAGAATCCGCTGTTTCAGACGACGACTATAGTGAGTGATTAAATAACAAAATATCAGACCCCCACCTTGAGAAGCTGCGTAATTTTGAGATACCCTTCACTACCGGCTGAATTTGTGTACAGGGGAACAAAATAGCAGTTTCCCCCACCCAACCCAAATATCAATTTCTAGTCTTAGAGATCCCCCCATGTCTGCCATTTACCTCCTAGATCATCATACCTAGTCTAAGTCTAATTTATTGGTCGAAAATGTATCATTCCTCTTAGAGTAGTGTTATTTGATAATAAAAATTTGTAAAGATATAGTTGCTACAGGTGGGGGGGTGGGGGAAACGGAAATCCTTTGTCTCTCTTGATTACTCTGTAGAATTGTCGAAATTTCACAGGACTCCCCTGTTTTAAAAGGGGTATTCTCTTTGTTCATCTAATCTTCTACGTGCATGTTCATGCGCGCACTTCGACAAGAACCAACAGAATTTCATCATCATACTAAAAATTACCTACAATTATTGTTCAAATATACGAGAACATACACAAATCGACAACTTAACAAGCTCAAATTCAGCTTTCATGCAAGAGTATCCACATTTATTGTTTCTTCTATTGCCACACCTCGAGACAGTGAAGCCTCGAGTAGCAATTTAAAAACAGATTTGCATTCAATTACAGAGACCCTCATACGATACTAAATTCTTACTAGAGTGCGGCACGCGACATAGTCTTAAGACACCAAAAGTTTCATAATCCCAGATTTCTGCTCTGAAGTCAAGTATGTGGGGAATTTGATGTCGAACTTGATCTTCAAGTTTCCTCTTTTGGAATGATCCTTCGGTATTGGCATGCCCTCCTTTGGAACAACCTCCACATAGTCTGGATGGATGACATTGTTAATAGGGATGGTCAGGCTCCTTCCATCTAGTGTGGTGACATGGGCCGTGTAACCTGTTAGAGCTTCAGCAAGAGAGATTTTCCTTGTAACCACTAGGTCATTTCCGTCCCTTGTGAATGTGCTGTGTGGCTTTTCATCTATAACGAAAACCAGGTCTGCTGGAATCATGTTTGGTTGCTCGTTCCCTCTCTCTGGGAATGTTATTTTTGTGCCCTTTTTCCAACCAGGCTTGATTTCTATTGTTAGAATCTCTTCCACAGGCAATGTCTTCCTGCAATATGAAGTAAAACGAGGAGTTATTCATTAAGTTGCTTCCTCTCAAAACCAAAAGAAAAACAAGAAAATAATGGAAATGAAGTGGACATACCCACTAGCATCAGCTATTTCTCTGGAGATTTTCATCTTCTTGGTGGTGCCTTTGTAGAGATCTTCAAGGCTACAGGGCAGTCTCCTTTCAATTGGAGCAGCTTTTCGCGGACCTTGGCTCATCGGCTGGCCATCGCCAAATGAAGCGAACATATCATCCCCAAACATGCCGCCACCAAATGGCCTCGAACCGCCCCTCATGCCCATGCCACTGCCGCCGCCGCCGCCGCCCATTCCTCCAAACGGGGTCGAAAATCCAAAGAACTCTGCAAAAATGTCATTGGCATTTCTAGGGTTGAATCTGAACATCGTTGGCCCATCCCCAGTTTGGAAGAACGATGCACCGCCTGGACCTCCGGCGCCCGGAGGAGGTACCTGACCTTTCAAACCTTCTTCACCATATTGATCGTAGATTGCTTTCTTCTGCGGATCACTCAAAACCTGCCACAAGTTTCAATAAAATCCATAATTGAATTCAGGCATTCGAAACATCGAAAAGAACCATTACTAATTCCTAAAACACATGGAGGAATCCGTTTGTTCGACTAAAAAAATCCTCAGAAACCAAAGAAAACGAAAACCGAAAAACCGAAACGATGAATTCGACCGCGAAGTAACTAATTCCCACAAAAGAAAGATCGATCGAAACGGAAGGGTTTACCTCATAAGCCTCAGAGATCTGCTTAAACTTGGACTCGGCATCTTTCTTATTGTTGGGATTCTTATCGGGATGCCATTTCATGGCAAGTTTCCTATAAGCCTTCTTCAAATCATCATCTGAGGCGTTCTTGTCTACCTGCAAAATCTTGTAATAATCTACACCCATGTATGTGTATCTTCTCAACCTCCTAGTTGTTGTTGCTCAAAATCTGCAAAAAAAAAAAATCGAAGCTAGAATTGAAATCTAGTACACGCTTTACAGAGAGCTAATTGCGGTTCGGAAAATTGGAGTGCCGAAAAAAGGCGTCGGGGCATAGAAAAGGATGAGTCCGGAAGAACCACAGAGATCCAGAAGGCCGTGGAAGCTTCCAGATGGTTCTCTGGATGATCAATTTAGAAGGCAAGGCCAGGCACGTGACTGAATATTCATTTTCTCTCTTTTTACAATGTCAAATTTCATAACTGTTTTTGTTAATTTAGTTTGGTTTATTAACAATAAACCATCATCTTAGAACATTAATTTTATCTACCTAAGCCCAAGCCCAATGGACTAGAAACTAAGCCATTAGGCCCAAACAACAAAAGGCTCATAGGCCCACTTATAAAATGAGCCCAACAAGGCCCATGTCTATCTCTCCCTCATCCTTTTTCAGATACCGTTCATGTTCGTTCCAGTGAAAAAGATTATGGAAGACGCACCGTGGACTCAAAAGCTTGAAGCCCTAACGCATATTCTGCTGTGCCCCACCACCGCTCCGCCGCTTGCGTCTCAGTTCTTCATCGCCACCAAGATCCCCTGCTACCTGAATTGGGACTACCCGCCGCTCCTCTGCTCCAAACCTTCTATTTTCCCCTTTCCCTCTCTTCACCTTCAATGGGGCTTCTCTCTGTTCCTCAAAAGACTCTCCCGATTGGGGCTCCCCATGACCTCTTGGCGATCCAAATGCCCTTATCAACTCCCCCCGCCGTTGCTTCTCGCTCGAGGCGTCGACGGCGCTCAGTGGGACGATGAACAGAGGAGAAACTACGTGAGAATGAGGCTGAGAAGAAAGCGTCTGGGCAGCGATGTCAACCCCTTAATCCCAATTATGATTCCCAATATGTTGCTGTTTTGTCTTCTGCTATGGAAGCCATTATCTTCCACTCATTAATCCAACATCTCTTCTAAAATGTGGGTTTTCAAAGTGAACACAAATTTAAGCTTCCCATTGGATCCTCTTTGTTTTATGATTTTATCTTTACTTTATCTTTATCTTTATTTTATTTTATTGTTTCGCTTTATTCTTTATTTCTTTTATTGTAAAAAATAAAATAAATAAAAACCACTCTTCCGCTAATCACGCTCATTCAATCTCACTAACTCCAACCAAAAAACACAAATAGTCAACTTTAAAAAATAAAAAAATAATAAAAAGAAAAAAACCTAGAATTTCTTTTTGAAAGGTGTTTTAAGTTTGGTCAAGCAATGGAGCTTTATCTTTAATAAAAATACATCCTTTAAACCTTTTTTTAATTTATTTTTTATACTTTCTCTTTATTCTTAATTTCTTTTTTACTACCTTCTTAATACTTACTTACTGCCCAGCTTTTACCCTTTTGAACTCTTCAATTCCGTTTTTACATTAGGTTTGAAATTATTGGAGGGTAGGAGGGGGTAGGTTAATGGAAAAAAAAATATATTCCTTTTTTTTGCAATATTTAATTCTAGAAAACGTCTCATCTGTGCTTGATAAAGGTAGGCAGGATGGCATGGACATACAGTCATTGACAACACGCCCTAGACAAACAGGATCATGACATTTTGCTTATAGTCTATAATAAACTTATTTTAAAAAATCTCACTGTTCCGTTTTTCGATCGTAGGCAATACATCGGTACGTTCGGAGAAAAGATTGAATTGAAGGGCACATGAAGGTTGCACTAAATGCCATTATTTAGTTTTTGTCCCACCCACTCCCACAATCCCCACATGATTGTCCTACTCCTTCATGTCCACAATTTCCTTTTTCTATCCCATTCATCATTTATGGATATTTAATTTCATCCCAACTTATTTACCAATATAAATTATTAACCATTTACAAATGACACGTAATCAGAAAGATCACGAAAATGGTAACTAAAACAGCGACTTTTTCAAGTTCTCATAAAAGCGTAGGGTCCACCAATATCAAAATTCGCTCCAACCCACTTGCAGTCTAATGAGTAAAGAAGAGAGAAGGCCTATAAAAACAAAATGCCACCCATCCACCTCTCCTTCACTATACAACACAGTTCCACAACACAACACAACACAACACAACACCTCCTGTCAATCAATCCATGGCTTCCTCGACCAAACTCATTTCTACCCTCCTTCTCGCTCTTCTGTTCATCCAAGTTCATGCAAGGGAAAGCCATTTCTTCAGCAAAGTACCCAACAATGGCGGCACCTTCTACACCAAAGAAACCCAAATCCCCAACAAGGAGGAGGAGGAGGATCCTTTAACAAACCCACAAAAAACCAGCGGCACCCCACAAGACCATGACCCCAACTTCCTCCCTCAAACCCAAGACAACAACTACGGCCTCTACGGCCATGAATCCGGCCAGCTCCCTCCAAATTCCGACGACAATTTCTCCGGTGACCGCCCTGATGACAATAAGTACAGAAGAAACGACGCCGTTTCTTACAAATCCGAGTCGGAGGAGTTCTACGACAACGACAATTTCCAAAACGGCAACACGAAGCCGTACGAGAATTCGTTTTATTACAACAAGGATCTTTACGACAACGGACGACAAAGCTTCCGCAACACCCGCCTTTCGCGAAATGATTACACTACAACTCCTTTATACAACCAGGAAAAATACCACGACGACGACGACAACAACTTCTACTACAACAGCAACAACAACAACAATGCCAACAACGTGGTACGACAAGGGATGAGCGACACGAGATTCATGGAGAATGGAAAGTACTATTATGACCTCGACAGGGAGCCTCACCATTACAGCAGGTCCAGGGGCTATTTCCGTACCAACAACAACAACAACGGGAACACATACAAGTACGGTAACTCCATGGGAAGGTATCAGAATCAGAATGATGAGGCAGAATTCCAGGAGGAACTGGATGAGTTCGTGCCATAATTTTCAACCCACTGCTCAATTAAGGGAAAATGTCTTTACTTTGCTTTATTCACTTCATATTTAATTGTGCTTCTGTTAAAAAAACCATGAATCTCACCACTCCCCCATAGATTAAAGCAAGCATATATCTTTAATGTGCGCTTATTACTTACAAATATATATATATAAAATCTTTAAGTCATATGATGCATTGAATGCGGATGTGGAAAATTACAAAGCTTTTGCAAGAAATACCACATGGGTTTGGTTTGGGGTTCATTTTTACCTGATGGGAGATGATAATATCTGTTAGTAGATAATGGTGGCTAAAATACTTACTCAAAAGCATACCATAAATGAGTAGATAAGGTGTCGACCTTATCAAGGACCTGCCTGTTCTGAATTATTGTCGCTAAGTGACGAAACCCCATTTTCAAATTTAAATCTGGGAAAAGAAAATCCAAATCCAGTCGGTCTCATGAGGATGTAAGAAGATGGGTAGCGGAGTGATGAATTCAATGGGGCCGTCGGACAGCTACGGCGGTGGTCCATTATGGCCAGTAGGGAAGATGGGAACACCCACAAAGAATTGCACTTCTTTTTTTGCTTCTTGTTGTTGTTCTTCTTTAGGGATTTGTGGGGATTGCAATATCATCATACTCCATAGCTGCAAATATTCTCTCTTTTTTCAACTCATTAACCCTTGCACTCCTTTTAATGTTTACCTCTTTCTACTTCGTATTGTCATTGTCATTTTGTATTTGCTATCATCTATTAGTCTTGTAAATTTAAATATATTTAGAAAAGATGTTGAAAATTGAATGACTGATTTGGACCAGCGTCTTTTTTTTCTTTCTTTTTTAAAGCTGAGCTCGAATACGGTGCGAAAAAACGAACCAAGCGGCTCGCTTTTGGCTTTTGTGGGGCTTTCGTGGGTGTGAAATTTAATAAATGAAACCTGACGCAGTCTATACAAATTTTATAAAGTCTATAATTTATTGTCTTCGTTTTGAAATAAATTCCAACAATATTATTCACTCCCACCATTTAATTTCCCCAAACTAAAAACACCACACAAACAATAATAATTATAATAAGTATAATACACATTCAACTTTACACGGCGTTTCCAATTTATGAATGTTACCCAAATAAGTTCTTATTTTACCTTTTTTTCTTATTTCGGTCTACTCGTTACACGCTTATCGAAATTATATCTAATAAACTAAGAGTTGTTAAGCATTATTGTGGTATCGGTTGAATATTATATGAGCTCACATCTTGAGTTTTGACCAATTATATAAAAAAACATAGCTCTAGTGACGAGTATACGTCAATTATTACTTTTAAGTCAGCTTAAAGTGAGTGGTTGTCAAATGAGCACAGTTCAAAAGTAATCGACTCAGGTTCCTCTTTTTTAAGTTCAAATTTTCAAATTTTCACATGATAATAACAAACCATAAGTATCTTTATTTTGTCACTAAAAATGGATGTTTCATGCATACATGCATTATGATATGTTTGATTGATGTTGAAATGTAACCGAATGATACTTAATGTAAGCATGTGGCTGATTTAGTTATGGGTTGAGCTAGCAAATACCTAATTTCATCTCAGCCAAGCTTTGAGCTCTGAATGTTATCCATTTTAGCTATATACCATTCACTTATGCCTTAGTCAATAACTACTATAATAATAAGGCTTAGGCAGTGGTTGGCCTAATTATTGTCCTAATGTGACCTAATAGGATATGTTTAGGTAGGGTTATGTGAATTATTTTATTACCCCCACAAAAGACATAATTACAAGAAGCCACATTTAAGTTTGTACAAAAAAACCGAATTAAATTTAAATGGGATTCAGAAATAAATAAATGTGTAATGGTGGAGACACGACATGGCGTGTAATTGAAGAGACGATAATTAGATGGGTGTGTGCAATTTCAGGCGTTGCCGACACAGCTCACTACAAGAACATATCGCCCGATTCAATTTCATTAAATTCATTATTTACTTTTGTGTAATAATTACTGCCAATGCCTACTGACTTTCAAAATCAGCCCCATTTCTTTTTTGTTTTTGCAAATGTGGCCTCGAAGATCAATTGCTTAGCTTGGTTGCTTACTTTTTGGGCGAGCTTCTTGGCCTCTGGTTGGCTGTGGGCTTGGTTGCTCTGACCCAATTGTGTCCTTTGTCAAGAAAGACATGTTCGGCTTCCACCCAACAATTGTGTTGGGCTTTGCTCGCTTAGTTCGAACTTTCTTTTTAACCAATGTCATCACAAATATTTCAATATCGGTGTCTGAGAGAACATTTCTTATAAAATCATGCTTTTTAAAATTGTGAGGTTGACGACGATCGTAACGAACTAAAACGGATAATTCCTATTAGCGGTAGGTTTGAATTGTTGCAAATGATATCAGAGCCAAACACGAGGCGATAAGTGACATTGGGTCCCCAAAAGGTGGGTTGGAGAGAGTACGAAACATTTATTATCATGATGTGAAAACCTCTCTCTCCAAACCTTGAGGGGGTAGCCTAGAATGGAAAATTCAAACCATTGATGCACTCGGTATCCAAGGAGGTGGGTTGAAGAGGGAAACAAGACATCTATTATAAAGATGTGGAAACTCCTCCCTCCAAACCTCTGGGAGAAGCTTGGAAGGGAGAGCTCAAAGAGAACAGTATCTCGATGTGTATTGAGTCTGCTGCATATTTTAAAATGTGAGACTAACAAGTTACGGAGGTTTATTCTAACATGTTGCACTAAATTTGTAATATATATATATATTTTGTTAAATTGAAAAAAAATAATTGTTAAGATATTAAGGTTTATTCATCATAAGTAGAATTTTGGCACTAAAACCAAAAATTTCTTCAAAAAATTTATATGAAGATGGATCCGAGGGTTTAATAGTAATTAGAGACGAGTCATCCACATATTTGCGCCATTGGATCAGAGTGATCTGATCTCATAGGTTCTGAAGTGTGTTCGTACGGTACGAACGCATACACTGGAATACCTAAAGCCGAAGTAAAGGGCTAAAACCTCAAGAAAACCCCAACGAAGAAATTTCCGAATTCCTTTGCTAAATCCCTAAAGCATGTCCTCCGCCGCTGCCATGGCTGCTAGATCAGCCTTCAGATCAACCCTTGCCCGAGCCACTATCTCCCGCAGACTTACCAATGGCGCCAAAGTGAAATCACCCGCATCTCCGTTCAGCATTCCCAAGCAGAATCCACTCTCCCAGTCCCATCGCATTTTGAGGTAAATTTTCGATAAAACTTCTTTGGTATTTCGAATTTTGTTATGTGTCTGATGGATTTTTATCTCGAAGATCTCCTGTTGAAATGAGTTGCTGTGTGGAATCGTTGCTTCCTTACCACTCTGCTACTGCCTCTGCATTGCTTACGTCTATGCTTTCCGTCTCTCGTCGTAGCTACGGTTGGACTTCTGAAGGTACTTTCATGCTCTTATCGCCGAATTTTTCTATGTAAATATCTGAATTGCTTGTTCGTTCGTTTTTTTTAATTGAGTTTTCCCTCTTGTCCTGTTTAGCTTTAGCTTTGGGTTGGTGATTCTACCTTCTTTTAATGGCTAGGTTCTTATGGTTCCCTTATCCCTAATCCAAGGTGGGGGGGTTTATATCTTAGGTGAATTCAAAATGTGGTTGAGCAGTAAATGTTCATTGAGAATTTGAAAGAACAATGTTGTTCTGTGGCTGGAGAATCTTTAATTTTCATTTTCCTCAACCCATCTTTTACTCTCTTGCGCGATGAAAGAGTGCACATTGCTTTTCCTTTTGTAGGACAAGACGAGACTATTTGAGGTCTCAGCATGAACGGTGGAATGACTGGATTTAATTTTGTTGTCGACTTTTTGGAAATTGTGGTAAAATATTTCTCGAGTGGATTGTGTTAGAAAACCATTCTTTTGTGGTGAATCCGAGCTCAGAGATTCAACCTTTTGTTCCTATGACTTTATGGAGTTAGTGGTCAGATTGATGGCTGATGAAATTCCAAATAAATTATTGAGTTCAGATCTTGTTATTTTGAATCTTTAAGTGGAAAATTTTATTTGTATTCTATTTGTCCAATGGATCCTTAGGGCTTAGACCAATATGATATTCTGGTTCCATGTTTATAGTCTAAGAATTAGAATTCACTTGCTATGTTTTATGCTTTTCTTCTTTCAATGCTCTATGGTATTACCATCTAGCCACTGTCTGAATTTTAAAAATTAGAACCTAAAGAGCTCAATCTTGTTTATTTTATTGGGATCTTGAATTAATATTAGACCATAGTAATTAGTTAGCTTTGTGACGAAAGTCAGGTTACCTTGAATTTTCTTTTTCGTTTTGTGTTCATTGATGGCATTAATTTTAGTAATATGACAAGGGTGATATTGATTTCTTTTACCACTCAGATTGCAATGATGATGTATGATGAATGTCGGATGGTTCGAGCACTTGCGCTCTAAAGACAAGATGCTGAAATAAAGTCATGTATTGCTAGTTTTTTCGTGTGCAAGTAGTTCAGTGACATTGGGTTTTATAGCTGTAGGAAGAAACAAACTCATAACTGAGTTCACGTAGGTTGATATTCATGTTGGTGAGGCATAATTTTGTTATATTCACCATTCCTAATGACAGTTCACATCCTTGAGTTATCCTTGCTGTATAACTGTTCTTTCTCTTGAAACTTTGGGGACTTTACTTGAGTTCGTATCCTTCAAATCTTACTTTCTATAAAATGGTGTTATTACATCATTGTCACCCTGAAAAGTGAAACTTCTACATTTGCTTTTATGTTGTAGATTCTTGAATGATGAATGCTACCACTGAGCAGGACTTACCTAAGGTAATCAATTCTAGGTTAGCGTCCCCTCCTGCAACTAAAAGATTATTATGAAGAATCATACTGACATTAGCATCAAAATTTTAGTGTGGCATGCACGAAATGGATCCAATAGATTACAGAGTGCAGTTGAAATGAGTCCTAGTGCCAGGAGAGTGCAAGGGGAATAGTTTACGGGGTTTATAAACATATAGAAGGTCCTATGCTGGTACTTCTTGAAAGAAAATTTTATGTAGTGATTTACAAATGAATTTAGTTCTCCCCAACTGTTACTATGACTGATCCCTTAGGGGCATTACTTTTCATGATGGTCTTCCTTCTTGAAATCTCATATCCCATTGAAATTTGCTATCAGCCTCCCTTCAGCTCCGCCCCCATCTTCAATCACATTGTCTAAAATAGGTTTCAGATATGTAATCTCTAGAATGTAACCTTGTATCCATCATCAATCTTTTGCGCCTTTATGTATCTAACTCCACGTGTTTCTTTCTCTAGGATCGTGAGAGATTGCTCATTGCTGAACTTGGCTAAGCGACTTGCTGTGTGATTCTTTACTGTTTACTTGACTTAGAAGTCCTAGGGGGGTGGACACCTTTACCATTTCCAAGCTGGAGAATAACAATATACATGTTTGTTAATCATGATGTTTTAGCCATAAAAATTGAACTTTAGATGAGTTGGTTACAGTTTCTAGACAATGTTTATAATCGACATTTCCCCTTTTTCTTTTTTTTTGTATTGTAGATGGATGATTACTGTCTGTTGAGATGCGGTGCATCGATCATAGTTTCGAGAATTTGAATGGAGACTGTAAGATTTTTTTTACCAAGATATGATGATACGTGATTTAAGATTTCCATCTGTAGAATTATGTTTTTATGATTACCTGCAAGTAACAGTAAGTAATTTCCTTATATTTTTTTCCCCCTTTCACCCTTTTTGTTCCAACGAGAGCAAAACCTCCCTCCATGTTCATAGGAAAGGGTGTGTGCTAGATTCTTGGTGTGAATTCATGGTAGCATTTTAGGCGAACTCATTTAGATATTGATTTCTATTTTGAGTATTTAAGACCTAAAAATATATATTAGTTCATAATTAGATCTGCCTATTTTAAAACAATAATCAAAATTTAAAGGAAAATGATTTTCCAACCCTGAAACGCCGATTTCCCGTTTTAGAAATTCTCCATGTATATCGGTACCTTGCTTTTTCAATAAATTATTTATTTATTATTATTATTACGATGATGCTCCCATCACTGGGTACTCAAAAAAGAAAAAAACAAATCCTTTTCTCTTCTGTCCAATGGGAATCTCTTGGTTGATACCATCATTGTTCTGTTTCACCATTTTAACCTTTTGGCTTCCATAATTTTATTTCTTTCATTTATGTTCTCTTTTTAATAGGTTTATTTATTTATTTATTTTTCTCGAGTTCCACATCCTATAAAAAGTAATTTCTAAATTGAAAAAGAAAAAATACACATGAAAGAACAAAAAAAAAATAAAAATAAAGATGAATTACTAATTTAACTGTTTTTAAGTTCAAAATATGCATATTAAGATAATCAAAATAAAAAAAGGAGGGAAATTGAGCATATTTATATAGGGGTAAAAGAGATGGATTAGAAAGAAAAGAAAGAAATAAAGGAAAGAAAATGCGGAAAAATGTGAACCACGAATAGGAGGAAAAGAAAAGAAAAAAGAAGTGGCGAAATTCGCTCGCATGGCGATGAAAAGCTGAGGCATTACCCTTCTCTGTGTGTCCACCCAAATGGCTGCTACTCCCGTCTCTCCTCCATTCCTCACTTCTGTTTCTTCTTCCACCTACTCGGGAAGGCACTCTCCTCTGTTTTTCCCCACCTCTGATTGAGATTGAAACTTTATCTTCCAGTTTCGTCTCCTTCGTTGCCAGAAATGGATTCCGATTTCTGGACCTCCCGCCTCGCCGCCGCCAAACGCCACTATATGTTGCAGCATCATCATCAAACCTCCAACTTAGGTTTAGCAGCCCTTCCGTTTTCATTTTCTCATCTACCTTTTTTTGTTTTGTTCTTTTTTTTGCTTTCTGATTTGTTGATTTGGTTCGGCTTAGATCTGTTGGGAATCGATGATTTGGAGATGGACGATGACGCTCGCCCCCATTTTTCATGTCCTTTTTGCTATGAGAATTTTGACGTTATGTCCCTTTGTTCGCATCTGGAAGACGAGCACTCTTGCGAGACAAGAGTCACGGTACGTATTTCCTCCTTTCTCTTTTCTGCGTCCAACCAAGTTTATATGCTATTCACCTGGGACTAGGAGGATGAATTTTTCTTCATGCTATTATGATTGTTTCCGTTTATGCTGACAGCTGCTCGATACTGATGCTGATGCTGAAAGTTTTCAGCGTCTCTACTCGCCTAGGTTCTTTATTAGGCTTACATAAGATTTATGGATTTTGAAATTATAGAAACGATTTCCAGTCTAGTTCATTAGAGATTTTAGCAATTGTTGTTCTGGACATTCTGTGGTTATAGTTCTGCCAATCCTTGGAAGTTGTTGTGTGTAAGAATTGTTTTAGGTTAATCTTCCATTTTCTTGTGAAATTATTTTTCTTCTTACCCATTATTCGATGAGATCCCCAAAGTATTTTTCTGCATTTTTAGGTTTTTGTTTTATGAGAAATTAGGCTTCTGCTTAATTTGTATTTTCTTTGCAGGTTTGTCCCATTTGCTCGGTTAAAGTCACGGGGGACTTGTTGAGCCATATAACATTGCACCATGGACACTTGTTCAAGATATCCTTTAAATTTGATACTTGTTCTTGCGGACCACTGTCATTTAAGTGGTATATTTTTGAGGAGGAAGCTATTATTTTTACGATGCCCATCTTGTTTGCTTAACAAAGGATCACCTTCAGAGAGGCTGCAGGTTGCGTAAGATTGCCATCCCCAGCAGTCAGGCATTGTCTCTCTTGAGCCGGGACCTTCGCGAGGCCCATCTGCAGCTGCTTCTGGGGAGCAGTGGTTACCGTACAAGCACCACTAATGGGCCTAATGCAGCTCATGATCCGTTTCTATCCTCACTTATTTTGAATTATCCTGCATCTGAAGTTGAAGATATCTCGAAATCCATGCTAACCAGTGCCGAAGACACATCTTCAGAGAATGTGGCACCATCACCTATTTGGAAATCAAGGTACTTGTTCACATCCCTTTCTGTTTTTTTATTTTTCCTTTTGTTTTGCTGGATTTCTCTCTTATTGTTGCTCCTCAAACCACTATTGTGTCTGTTCATCAAAAAGGGTTTTGGTTAGATCAAGCAACTGTTATGCCTCTTAGTTCCCTTGTATGCCATGAGTGCAAAGGTCCTTTGCTTTAACCTAATCCTAGTAGTTCCATCGGCCTTTACAGCTACTTGTGTTGCCATAGTCAAGTAACAAAGATCTGTCTATTTTGCATCAATGGAGGAATTAATCTAGTTACGGCCTCTGCTTACCTCTTCCTGTTGTTTAGTATCAACACATTTCTTCCTCTCCCCAGGTTTGATCCTTCTTTGAGCCAGGAAGAGCGGGATAAAAGAATGAGACAAGCTATTGGGAGAGCAGGCTTTATGCGGGATATGCTTTTCTCAACTCTCTTAGAGGATTAATGAAAGCAGTAAGTTATTACCAAAATGATGCTAAAATGAATAAATTAAGAGACGTTGAATTGATTCTTATGGCTTTATTTTTCATCGACCCAATATGAAACTCTTTGAGATCAAACACTCTTTGAGTATGGTTGATGATAATGTCCTTCATTATAACCAGTGAATAAATTCCATTGAATATAAAGTCTGTTGATTTATTATGGTTGTGCTGCAAGAAGAATTTGAATCTAAAAATTTCAGAATAATGAACGACAAGAGGGGAGCATTGTTATGCTCATTGGCGCTCGAAGGTCGGCCGGGCAGTACCAGCAGCCAGACTACACAACGCCATACAAGGAGAAATTTGGATGGTCAACAACACAAACGTAAGAATCTCCAATTGGATGGCAACTACTGGGGATAGGCCTAGAGCTAGTTCGAAGGAAATTACAAATGCTGTTCTTTTAAAACCTTCTCCTTTCATTGTGACACAACTATGTTGATGACCTATCATTTTGAATTTATTATAGAGTGTGATGATGAATTGGATGTTGGTGTTATAGTTGAGATCAAAAGATGCCAATGTTCATGGAAGGGAACATTACACACATGACAGTTACTGCCTTTTGTCATTTTCAATTCATTTCGGTTCAACAGTCAATGTCGATGGGTGTGTGCGTTCGTCTCAATTATATGTAGGTACATACAAATATTTTTGAAAAATCCTAGAAATTACAGAATTCTTAAGAATTATTTGGTTTACAGGTTTATCCAGGTCTTTCCAGATTGAATCCTTAATGTGAATCTTTAGCTAATACAGAAACCATAACTAACTACCCTAAGAAAATACAGGCATCAAATTTGGTCTAAACCAATGAAATGAAAGTTCCATACATTTTTATTGCCAATATTTTATACTTTTAGTTGAACTAAAAAATGATTTTTGTGGTGCATAAATAAAGGGCGGCGGTGTGATGAAGTGGAGCAATTGAAAGAGTCGGTGTATGGGGACAGACAGAGTTGCCGGCATGTGGGCCGACCCATAGGCCCATAGATCCACAGGTACCCCCCACTTATTAACTACTCTCGGGTCAGGTGCGTTCATCTCCACCGTCAATTCTCCCCTATTTGCATCAGACGGTTCCAAAAAAATGAAAAATAAAATAATTCCTTTTTTGGGAAAACCAAGTATAATATGAAATAAAAGAAAAGAAAATAAATCTGGATAAGAATGTTGTGAAGGGTGACGTGCCCACCCGATTCATCCTTTTTCACTTTCTTCATCGAAAGAAACCCTAAAAGCTGAATAAATCGGAGTAAAATCATTCTCTATTCTAATGGCGTTGGAGCTTCTCGTCTTGGGCTGCACCGGAGTTGTGGTCTTCCTCCATGGAGCCAATTTCTTCTTCCACGCTCTCTGGCAGCATTTCACCGTCCGATCTCTCAGGTATCCATCCATCCATCCATCATCCCCCTTTTCCCCCTTCCAGTTTTAGTTTCTATCTGGTTTGCACCTTCTGCGATCGTCGACTCTGGGCATTTCCCTCTGTTTCTGAAGACGACGCTCTATGGATCTTTCGGTGATTCCACTCCCAATTTTTATGATCCACTAAACCTAAGTACTAGGATTTTGATGAATGTTGGAGTATCCTCGGCGTAATGTTGGGGCTAATCTGTCGATTGTTTTTCTTTTCGTGATTTCAGCTTCTTGGGCGCGATTGGATGATAGAAATTTGAGAAGGCGAGCAGTGGATCATTTAATTGGAGATGAACAGCAGCAGATTGAAGACTATAGTATATATCCGACGTTGTGATTTAATCTTTAATCTAGATTTACGCTGTAATTTGTGCTGATGACGACGAATAAATAATCTAATTTACACGATACATATAGATTAAATTCTATGGACTTCGATTCTTGTGGACTGCATAGATCTTGCCATTCATCAACTTGTTTTTCATACTCCATTTCCATTTCCATGTTTATGGAGTGGATTACAAGTATCAACTAGTTTATGATTTCTTGGCTGTAAAGGGAAGTAAATATCATGCAATTTTGCGAAACTGGTTTTGAAAGATGAATTTCTTGAAGAATATGAATTGAATTGCATGAATATCGAAATTCTCAGGGCTTTTTGGGTGGAGATCTGAACACCCTAGAGTTAGATGAGATCAACAATGCCTTAACCTGTTACACTCATCCTTCAATTTTATGCCTCCAATTGGAACATAGTTGATTTATATAACAAAATCGGACAAAACTATAAATATGATGATTTTTCTATAAAGTTTTGGACATATCTCCTAATTAGGTCTAACTCATATGTGGTAGATTAAGGAGAGAAATAGTCCTATATAGGCTGATTAAGAAAAAAAAATCACGGGTAAAAACAAAATCACGAGCACTTATGCTCAAAGTGGACAAAATGATAACATTATAGAAGTTCGTGATTTCTAACATAGTATTAGAGCTATGTCCTTAATTTAATCATGTCAATATAACTCTCAAAATGTCAAATAAATAAATAATGTATTAGAACTATGTCCTTAATTTAATCATGTCGAGATAAATGGTTCAAAACTCCATTTAAAATTGCATCCTTCAAAGAAAAACTCAATTTAACTAAATTAGTAACGTTGCAAATATTGGGCTTGTTATGGAATTCTTGAATTGGCATTTAATTAAATTGCTTCAAAAGTAAAAGAAACGGACATTGTCAGTTGTCACGGGTCAAACTGACATCAAACACGCTACTTTTTTTTAAACCCCTTTTTTTTCTTTAATTTTCAGGTCAACGTTTTCCAGTCTTTCCGTTAAAACTAACTTTCTGTTTTTTTTTTTTTTTTTTTTATAATAATTCTATAAATATATTTTTGTTGCTTTTATTATTTGCTGCCACGAACGCAACCAACCCAATTTATTATTATTATTAAATTTGGATCAATAAATTCACCTCCAAATTACAAGTCAATTTAAGTCAGTAGTCTGATTATCACTTTGATGGCGTCAACTTTCCGGCACCCCCTCCGCCGCCTTTTCCGCCTCTAATATTGACTTTTCCCCCTTCTTTTGTCCTTTTTGCCATTTCCATTCTCATATTTAAAAAAAAAAAAAAAAAAAAAAACAATCCATTAGTTTAATTTTTAAATAATTTTCTCATTTAAATATTCGTTGCACACAAATAAAAGTGGAGTATAAAATTAATATTCTTAGTGTGTAAATAATTAAAAAAAAAAGACGTGCATAATTAATTCAAAAACTCGGTTGTTGTTCCTTCCACGGCTGAATTGGAATCCTAATTTCAATTCGAATTTCATTAATTACATTTAAATAGATTTTATCGTCCTTTAAAAAGAAAAAAGAAAAAGGAAAAAAAAACAAGAAGACACGTCATTGCTTTGGCGTCAGAAGGTGCGGGGAATGTGTGCGTGTGCGGCAGCCCATAGTTCGTAATCGTGGCTGCGGAACCCACAGTTTGTCTGCCAACGCGTTATTAGGCCATTTCAACGCCACGCGTCCACCACTCACTGGCTTAAACCACACGGTCAATGGACCGCTTCAAACCCCTCTTATCTTCATCTCTGTGTGTGGAGCAGTCGTAGCCCCCATTTATTTATTTATTTTATTTTATTTCCCCAAAAAGAAGACACGTCATTGCTTGAGTTTAAAATTAATTAAATCCTAGTCACGAGGCGAATTGCCAGAATATGCCGACAACTTTTTTCCACCTGCTGCTCCGCTACACGCGCTCTTTTTCCTTTTCTTTTTTAAATTAATTTTATTTATAATTACGCCCTCCTGAATTTTGTCTCCGGATTGCCCCTGCTTTTAAATTTGTTATTATTTAATTTCTTTTAATTAATGTATTTATTATTTCTAATTAACCTAATTCAATGCTAAACGCTTGCGTTTTGACTCCCACATTTATTCTATTGAATTGGAGACCACCCCTTTCTTTCCTTTCTATTCATACCATTAACACTATTATTATTATTATTAATATTCATTAACTTCCAATTTTATTCCTAATATTTTCTTAATTTTCCGTTTAATATCTCTAAATTACTTATTACATTTAAAATTATATGTTTAGAGTTATATTAACCCAATTTATCATATGGGTTTTTTTTTTAGATGTCAAAGAAGTAAAAAAGTTATTTATTTATTTATTTATTTATTTATTTATTTATTTGACGTTAGTGAGTAGAAGGGAGGAAGTAGAGGGTACGCGGGGTGGTAATAGAGAGAGCGCGTGGTTGAGGGTAAAAGGCAAACGTAATCAACAGTAATGCAAAACGCGCCCATCCCTGTGGATCTGCTGTATTGACAACCCCACATGACACTTAATTCGGGGACTGGATTGCGAAATTACCACCACACCCTTCGGACTAGCCGCCCCTTTCTCAGTCAATTCTCTTCTTGACTGTGCCCCCCCCCTCTTATCTCCACACCCTCGGCCCCATTTCATCATCGTAATCAATTCCTCGCCGATTCATTCCCCCAATTCTTCATCCCTTCTATAAATTCCCACCATCCCGTCTCCACTCCTCGGCATCTCGACCCATTTGCCCCCCACTTTCATCCATCTCTCTCACCCGACACCCATAAAGACGGGGAAAAGAAAAGGCAGAAATCGCCGGCCCCTTTTTCATTTCTTTCATTTGATTTTCATCGGATTTTGGGATTAATGGCGCCGAGGGAAAAGGCGGTTGCCGTCAAGGCCAACGTCGGCAACGTGAAGGAAGTGCATTTTAGAGGAGTGAGGAAGCGACCGTGGGGGAGATACGCCGCTGAGATCAGAGATCCCTGTAAGAAGAGCCGCGTTTGGCTCGGAACCTTCGATACGGCGGAGGAGGCGGCCCGAGCCTACGATAAAGCCGCTAGGGAGTTCCGCGGTGTCAAGGCCAAGACTAATTTCCCTATGCCCTCCTACGATCTTCTTAACCTTAACAATAAGATTAACATCAGCAATAACCAGAGCCCGAGTCAGAGTAGCACGGTTGAGTCCTCCAGCCGAGAGCAACCTCTAATGGTTGATTCCTCACCTTTGAATCTCAATCTCGGTCACGGCATGCCCGGACTCACATCCACCGGAGCCGTCACTTTCCCGTTCCAGCGTTACCAAATTCCCATGATCGGAGAAGTTTTTTCCCGCGGCATACCGCCGTCAAACCACGTTCTGTATTTCGATGCCGCCCTTCGTGCCGGAATGATCAAGACCCATCCTCATCCAAACCAACGGCTACGCTTCGACCATCATCCCGAAGCCGTGAGTGATTTCCGCCGCGAGTACGCCGGCGGCGGTGTTCAGAGCGATTCGGACTCCTCCTCCGTTGTAGACATGAACGGGCAGGACCTCAAACCCAGAGGCGGCGTCGGCGTTGGCGGCCTGGATTTGGATCTGAACTTTCCCCCACCAGAATCCGCCTGAATTTTTTTACCCACGCAAGAAAGAACGGCTGGGATTTATATTGAAGTAGTTCCCTTTTTTGTTTCAAAATATGTGTTTTAACGACAATAACTTAAATACAAAATGTTAGAAGTGGAGAAGGAAGATGATACGATTGTGAATACAAATCCGTCCGATCTCCTCATTTTTGCAGCACAGAGTAAATGAAAACCCATATATGGAGTTTCTCATCCTTCTCATGCTGTTCTCCGGCGAGGGATCTTTTTGCAATATTATTTGTGTATTTAATTTCCCTTCAAATTAATTTTGCTGTAGTTCTCAGTTTATTTATAATATCATCTTCAAATGGTTTCTACTTGAAATGAAAAAATTCCTACAAAATTCCTTCTCCCATTACCAACAGTTCAGACCAAAAAATGAAAAGCAAACCGCCGGTGGTTTAGAGATGGAAGGGAATTTGACACGTGGAAGTCGTTGTCGTGGTGGATGGAGAAAACACAGACAACACGTGTAATCAAATATTCATCCGTCGGCGGCTTTGGTACAGTTGTGTGAACCAAATTTTTTTCTTTTTTTAATAAATAATAATAATTGAGATGGGTGTGGGTGTTGCGGTGGCGTCCCCCACACGCTTGAGAAAGATAAGGAAAAGGTGGGGGCACGTGCGTGGCGGCCAATGGAGGCAGCTGCTTTGAATCCGGTTTTTACGCGTACGACACCCGAAGGGGCGGTCTCGTAATGGGGACCACTCCCCCAAACGAGAAGTGGGGGATATGCGCGGCTGCCGATTTTACCTGCACATTCAAATCTCTCCATCCTACTACCCCTACACCTATTCACTTTATTATTATTAATAATAATAATATAATGTAAAGTTTATATTTTAAAAATTGTGGTCCCTATTTCAAAAACCTTCAATTTTGATTTATTTAACGGAAAGAAATTAAACATAATATTAATTTATATTCTAAATAAATAATAAAAAATTCTTAACTTGGGTATGAAGAAAAAACGCAAATTTAGAAGGGAAAAAAAGGAGGAAGGTGATTGGAAGATTCTCCGTTTACCCAACCAAACCAAATAGCAATATTATATTATTATATTATTATATTATTATATTATTATATTTGTTTTGGTTATAAAAATAATAAATGAAACGTAGAAAGGGAAAAGGAAAAGGAGTCAATAGAATTGCAGGCGGCGGAAGATTAATGCGGGAGAAATATGCTTATGGAGATTAGGTCCGCCGCACTCATAATATTGTACGTATTATTATTATTATTATTATTATTATTATTATTATTAAATTGGTAAAATAAAATCCAAATAATGGGAAATTAAATGTTCAAACTTGGGGCAGGAGCAACGTACGGCGCGGGGTGAGGGCTGAGAACGTGTTGACGTGTTGGACACAGACAGACAGATGGTCACACCGGCAACTTGGCGTGTTCGGCCGGCAGTGGACCCCACCACCTTCTTTATTTATTTATTATTATTAAAAATATATATAAAAGCGGCCGAAATGTGAGAGATGCCTTATGTCTATGATGTGCCACGTTTGGCACCCTAATCTAGAACACAGCCCAGCCACCTCACCACCTCGCAACATTAAAATAATAATTATAAAAAGAAAATGAGTGGGTGGCGGCGGCTGCTGCTTCCGACGTGGACGTTGCTGCATTTTGAGGCGACACGCCACGCCACACACGAGTGAAGGGAAAGGCATAAGAAACGACGACGGTTTGGGGTGGATGGGGGGCGTACACAACACACGCGACGAAAGAGCGTGGGTGGGGTGTGAGGAAATATTGAGAATGGGATTTGTATCCCATAAGATGGACAGAAGAAAGTGTGTAGGTTACCCTTTGATTTGATTTGATGAAGAACGTGACACTCAAGGCGAATCCGGACCCACTCCTATGTACGCCCTGATTCCACCACGTTTCACTCCCTCCACCTCGCCTGATTTCGACACGTGTCCCCCCATTTTGAATTATTACGAGAAAATAATTTTATTTCATACAGAATTGGAGTCGTATTCCCAGTGTTGCTTCATCGTTGAATATGTATGTTGCTCTCTCTCTCTCTCTCTGTCTCTGTTTCTATCTGAATGTATTTGGTATGTGGGTTTTGAATCGCATAAGTTTAAGATATAGATTTAGTTCAAATATTAGATGTTTAGCTATCAATTTGATTTCTAGGGCTTAGTTTTTGAGATGCCATTAAAGCTCTTGAATCCTTAAAGTTGTCGAGTGTCGTAGAGGTTTGTTACATTGTAGCTTATCCTTTATACTATACTCGAATCATTTCTCCTTTTTCACTCATCGATGATAATACGATGGATGTTGATTTAATTGAAGACAATTGTTTAGGTCTCTTGGCTTTTGTAAGACTAGTGGGTACCTACAACTTATCTGCCTTCAATTCCCAGTCCTTGTACCTATAAAGATTCCTCTTTAGAAGGTTTTATTTTCATTCATCACATCATTTCTCACCATCCATTCTCAGGAGGATTTGGATTAGGATTTCGAATCTAAGTTTGATACCTAATAGTCCCAACATTCTCCTGCATTTCCTGTCATATGGGTACATTACTTCTCGCTTCTAAGAGGGAAGACTATCCCCACACACCAACACGAGCATTCTAACATGCTTTGGCTCCACTTATATGCATCCTAGGAAAATTTCTAAGAGGTCACTCAAACATAGAATTGCTCCAAGTAAAGCATGATTAACGTTAGAGTTTCTATGATTGAGCCACTAAAAAAGAAGGTGCACCTTGTTGGTATACGTAGTGACTTTAACTTCTTTTAAGTCTGTCTTAGTCATTCTATCCTCAAGTTCGTTTTGGTTCGGTTGTAGTCTTGGTTCATTCATGTATCCCTCTTTTACTCGGGTGTCACATGCTCACCAGTTTCTGCCTTCATTCGTCCCTGAACCACATCTTATTAGATAAGGTATCGTTTTAATACCATTTGTCATGACCCATGCTTAGGATTCATGCCTAGGATTCAGCACCTGATGACCCCAACATTTTCCTACAACAGGATGATGTTACTTCTCGTTTCTAAGAGTGGAGGCTATCCCCACACATACCAACACAAGTTTTTCAAGTATGCTTTGTTCTCACTCATATCATTCTAGAAAAATCAAGAGGCTATCTAACATAGAACTACTCCAAGTGTAGCACGCTTAACTTGGAAGTTCTTATGATTGAACCACGGAAAATGAATTCACTTATGTACTTCTCCTTCTCCTCTCCTCAGTGTCACATCATCCCTTGGATGAAAGACTCTACAACTTCTCTCTCCCTCTCGGTGGGAAGACTTTGATGCTGAATCTAAAGTTAGCCTAAACAGTAGGGAAGGGGATTCAGTTTTGATTGCACCAGAGGGAGGATTCACTTTTGAGCGAACTTCCTGATTGCCAGAAATTGCCTTCTACTGGTTTTGGTGCATCATTTCCCCTTAATAGAGGGGTTTCTGCCTCAAGGAATGGGTTGCCTACTGAGTTTAGACTCTCTTCGGATGGCTTAGCCAAATTGGGTGTGATGGAGGAACCTGCTAATGTTGCATCCCCACGCTTGCTGAACTATCACTTTTCTCCAGTTTTGAGAACTTCTCTGAATCAAAATACTACTCTTCTAACTATGCTTCTCTGTCGTTGTTAAGACAAAGTGAACCTACTGCTCTTAAGTTGTCCTGAAAATTTTCGGTGATTAAGAAAAGGGTCTTTGTATTATGGCGTGCTTTGAGCGTTGCTGTATATATATACAGAACCATATTCAGCGTTTTCTTCACTTACCAATATGTATCCAAAGTTGCTGTACTGATTTTGCTTTAGATATATTGGCCAAAATGAATGTAGTCCAGCAGCAGCCTTAAACTCGCTGGCTCAGACCGTGGAACAACCTCCATTCCACCCAAGCAAACTCCAGATTCTTCCAGTGGCATCTTATTCTTCATACCCAACTGAGAACAAAATCTGGGCCGTTCATAGAGTTGAAGAACAACCAGAGGGTATCCACGTTGTGCTAATATATCATGTGTCCTTCTGCACTGGACCCCAGCCCTCATTTGTTCTTATATTTTAACAGCAGGCAGAGATTCCACGTGTAGAGCAACCCATACACTGCTCTGTATCTGAAGTAGATATTTTTGTTTTCTGCTACCATGTTTTCTGCCTCCTCATCCTTATCCATTTCACATACTCTTTTCCAGCTAGGGTTGTACCTCAACTCAACTCAAATTATAGGAGTTAGTTTGGGTTGGATTAATATTTCTGAACTTGAATTGATTTGGTTCGGTTAAAAACGAATTCTTAAGATAAAAACTTTGGATTGATCCGAACCAAATAATAATTTATAGAATATATTAAGAATTTTAGGGTATTTGACTTCGGCCGTCTGCACTATTTTATCATGCAACAATCACAAATAACTTTTGGTAAGTTTATACTCGTTGCCTTTAAATTTTCACTAGGAATATTGGGGGTAAATAAAGGAGGTTAACCCTTTTTCATTTTTATCTGACGAGGAAAATAAAATCTCTAAAAAAAAAAAAGAAAAAGAAATGGCCAAAGACACTTTAAGCAGCCAGTGCTCTATTTATAAAACCATACACAAAACTAGGGAATTGGGTTCTAAACCAAGTGGGAGGTGAAGTGAACAACAATGGTTCTGCTTGAGAAGCTTTGGGATGATATTGTGGCTGGACCTCGCCCTGACCGCGGCCTCGGCAAGCTCAGGAAAATCACCATTAATCCCCCCATCGTTAAAGGTTTACCCTTGAATCTTGAGAATGAGAATTGTTTCCTGTTTTTTACCATTTCTTGGTTGATTATTGTTACTATTGGTTTCAGATTTGGATGGAGAGGGAAGCAAAGGGTCGATGTCCATGCCGAATAGTCCGGCAACACCCACCACGCCGGTGACACCTACGACGCCGTTAACGGCGGCGCGTAAGGACAATGTTTGGAGGAGCGTGTTCAACCCTGGTAGAAACCTTGCCACCAAGACTATTGGTGCTGAAGTCTTCGACAAACCTCAACCAAACTCTCCAACTGTTTACGACTGGTACGTACCGCCACTTTCCACCCTTCCTACTGGACGGAGTATAATCAAACCTTTAAAATCATAGTGATATTGGTTTCTGAGGCGTCCTGTCCTTAATATTCCCAACAGTTGGTGGGATGATAAAAAGATTCGAAAATTCCGTTCAGATCCAAGCCGTCAGATCTGTTGACTGCGTCACGATCCTGACATCTGAGCCCTCTGTTTTGCCCTAGATAAGACTCATATGAAACTGTTGGTTTTGTGACTACAGGCTCTACAGCGGTGAGACCAGGAGCAAGCACCGTTGATTGGAGGCTCCGGCGGCGTTCACCGGCGGTTTCATGTAAATAGCGTCGTAAAAAGTGTTTGTTGACGTGGACCGGTGGGTTTTGGATGTTTATGTGTTTACGTGTCCTAACTAGGTTTTGACATCTACCAAGCAAGATTTTATATAGTAGTGTTTAATATGTGTGAGTTCGTAGTTAACTAAGTTTTAAGTCTGCTGTCGCGGCCGATGATCGGACGGCTTCTTAATAGAGTCCGCCGTGCACGGCGGTGATGAGCGACTCACGATTGTTATGTTAAATAAATGTGGTCTTTGTGTTCTTTAAAATTTAATCAATCAGTTGATAGAGCAAGATTATGATGAGATAAGCATTAAATTGTGATAATCCCTTCGTTACGGAAAGTGTATGGGAAAGTTGGTAATGGAGTGGGCCCACCACCCGCAAAAGATCTGGTAGTGGGCCGAGTGTATTTCCCGTCAGGGCCCACAAATGTGGAAATTATGGAAAAATCCAAAGAAATTAAAATATTAAAAAACAAGCGGTTTATGGATAAGGATAGAGTCAGAATCAGTAGTGAGCTTAGGTAGGAGGCTACAATTATTGCACTACACTAATGAATTTAATTTTAAATCTTTTCCATTTTATCCCGAGGGAATGGCTACAAAATTCCCAAAAATGTCCAACTCAAAAACTAATGGAATTTGGTTAAATCGAGATTCATGTCCAAATTTGGTTGGCGTTCTTCAAGTTTTCTTCTGAATTTAAGCTGTTTGATCTCATAATTCAAATCTAAATTATGTTTTTTTGGTTTGAATCAACACAACCAGATTTGACTAAATTTTTTTTGCACGCAATCTCTCGGAAAAGTTAACCGATTATTTGATCCCACTAAGTTTTCAATTGATATTTCCCAAGGCAACAACACTATTTGTCCATAAAAATATTGGAAGGAAATCAGAGAAACTCACATATTCAGTAACAAACTATCGTGATGAGATTTGAGCTGAGATGAGACGCAATGTAACGAAAATCGCTCTACATTGTCAAGGCCATCCATATTTCATGGTATCTATATTCGCCCATCACAGCTTTTATCAGTATCGCCTCAGTTAAATACTGCAAGGATGATGAGAATTGCACAGGTATATGGCGCGTCTATTACAGGCGAAAGAGGAAACCCAATAGCTAATGGAGGTGGTTAGATAACAACACATTCAGATGGGGGAAGACATGGAGTTGGAACTTCTTAAAGCATTTGATATCTTTAATCGACACATGTATGAAAATTTACCTAAATCTTCATTTCAAGGATGAACTGGTAGTAAGCACAGTATGTCTGTCGGCATATAAAGGTTTGATGGCCTTTTTCTTCTTAGTCAAACAAATTCGTCTTCACAGAACGCTAGCCCTTTTTCTGATATGCCAAAAGCTGGAATCAAGGCAACAAGCTTAAAATGTTGTATAAAAGGCTTATACAAATGCTTATTCAAGTAGTGGGTGCACTGTTTTCAAGCATTTGTGTGCTGTAGGTTCAAGGCATACCAGATAGCCACAAGCTAGCCGGTGTGTTTTGAGTTTGTCCATTGATAGCGTTTCTTGCTGGTTTAATATCTGTGCACTTTCTTTACATGGGTCCAGAAAAGCTCCCGAGGTTGAAGGATTGATTTTCATTTGCAGCTCTTTCACCACGTACATTTCAATGACATCAACTGAAAGCGCGGTTACAAGAGCAACCAACTGCAGAAGAAAGGAAGCTCAAGAATCAACTAAATAAATGGATGAAGTGCAAGTGCTGTCCATTTAATGAAAGATTACTTGACGTAGGTGTCCAATCGTCACAGATGGCCTGCAGCAAATATATGGACTTCGCAACGCGGGTATTCTAGTTTTATCCATGGAAACGAGCATAAGGTGGACGTCCAACTAAGATTCAGGAAGAGAAGCCAAAAGTCATTGATGGATAGAAACAATAAAGGAACGTTGGGCTTTTAAGCAGCTACAAGAGGTATAGCAGCAAGCATGTCATTCAATAGGCGAACCATTTATACGTTAGCATGTCCATAGTTTATTCATAAGGAAGTTTAGTAACAACTCAAATTGTTGTTTTTACCTCCTCTTCCTCACTGATATTTTCCGAGTTTCGAACATAATCTGACAGCTTGGTGATGCGGTTATTCCTGGAAATTTTACCGCCACCCCCATTAATACCCCCATATCTAGTGTGACTCCTTATTCCACCTTTTCCCCAAGAATGTTTTTCTGAGCTACTAACAAGCCCCATCGATGCACCAACTTTTTCTTTGTTCACTTCACAATCATTTTCGTTACCGCCACCATCTGCTCCAGTAGCTGAGGAAGACTGGGAAAATCTAACAGGACCACCTCTCCTGGACCTTTTATTAGGTCTAGTATCCATACGCTCATCAGCAGAAGATGAATTTTTGCTGGCATCATAATCATTTTCGTCCTCGTTTTCATCAAAGCTTAGACTCTCAATATGATTTTGGAAGCTTTTTTGTCCTCTAGAACTTAATCTCCTCAAAGGCTTTGAACGTTTCCGACCCAAAGCTTCAGTTTGTCGTTTAAGTGTCTGAGCAATGGAAGATTGGATCTGCAAAATAACGACCAAATATGAAGATAGAACAATCAAGTGTGATAAAGATACCTGATATAAGTACAATCGATAATAGCCATGTTGATTTTCAGCACTAGATGTTTCCAAGTCAAATGTAATCGAAAAACACAACAGCTAAGAAAAAAATGCTCCTATTTCATATCCCGATGCTCCCACAACTTTGCGTTACATATCTATCAAATAATGATTTAAATAATTCCTCTCTCTTTTAATCAATTTCAGCATGACAAAATCTGTGGATTCTTGACCATTGAGCAATGTCAAGTGAGCCTATCAACTCTGGAAAATGAACAAATGCATGTCCATAAAAAAAAAAATAATCCTCAAAACTTAGCCTTCTCACCTGCTTATTACGAGCTTTCTCTTCTTCTTGAAAAGCTAGTTCCTACAAAAAAAATTTAATTAATATTGGAGTATGCAGAAATGACGATAACAATCATCAAACACCAAGCTTCCATGATAAAACATAATATTCCCACCTCCTCCTCATATTTGTCGATATCTGGATACAACACAGCAATTAAGGTATCAAAATTTGGATCATCTCTCAAAGAGCGTCGACTGGCACAATGAGTGCGGCAAGCAGGGCACTCATTGTTACTGCAGCAAATTTCAGTAACAATTTGGTTGAAGGAAAATTGTGCAACAATATAATTTAATTTCTTGAGCTGTACAGAAATTAGCAAAATCAAAATAAAAACTACATAAGAACATACCCTAAACGCATTGATTTGTCAATGCATTCCCTGCAGAAGCGGTGCAGACATTCCATCACTGTTCTGGTTTTTCTGATGATTCCTGCACATTAGGAATTGAAAAACTTTTATCGATCTCCTAAGAAGACTATGCATGCATAAACATGGAGATGACCTTCCAACGTAAGCTTTGTGGTTTCCTCACCAAATCCACCTAAATATATTTCCCAAGCATGCTTACATTTAGAATGTCATTGCTCATAGTATTTGGATACATCCACTAAAAATGTCTATTTTCATGAATGTTTTGATTTGGAATTTAGTTATTTTTTTATGGAAGAAAAAAAAAAAAAGATTCTTTGGTGTGCCTTTATCAGATAGCTGTGTGTGCATGAACTGAAAGTAAGGATCAAGAAACTTTACAATATGAGCTTGAGTAACGAGTTGATGCATAAATTCACTAATTGTTATGTGTATACATGCAACACTATCATAAAAGCAGTGCCTCCAAATGAACTTATATGTAGCCTGAACGGTAAGATTTGATAAGGCAGAACACCAAAAGAAAATAAATGAAAACCAAATTCCATAACCTCATACGCTCAAGAATTCACTCCCTCTATGGTCCAATTAGTTACTTTTTGAAGGAACTACCTAATCACAAAACGCAAAACTCCATAACAAAGTCCATGTTAGGACAAATAAGTGAAGGGGGAAAAGTTTGTCATCTTAACTTCTAATTTACTTGTGGGGAATAAGAAAAGCAGAAGGATGGCAATTATTAGTGTCGCCTAAAATATAAACACACGTTCAAAGGTCCATGGAGCCGGAAAAATTCTATCATTTTAGAGTTAGAATTATATGTAAGGCCCATGGGGGGTGGGGGGCGACAACTTACACTGATAACCTTTCTAAGTCAAAGCAAATATGTGAAGAATGAACTGTATGCGTTCATAATTTGATAAAGAAGCCACATCAGAATCCATTTCTAAATCAACAGTCCATTTAAAGAACCAACCTGAGATTTAAATTCTTGCTATCGCTCCCAGATTCGGAATTTTGTGACAGTGGAACGCAAATCTCAGGTTGGTTACATCAGAATTGATTTAAGTTCTCTGACACAACTTATGAACAAAAAAATCAATTTTGTTACATCAGAAAATATTCTTAGATCAGATGGGCCGGTGGCACTTGATTCAACACTTAATAAAAATTAATCCTCTCATTCTTCACATTTCATCCCGGACAAATCAAGCTTTTCAAATAACCTTACTGCTAGGTATCTTACAGTGCATATGTACATTTATACTAACAAAAATAAGTTCATCATATAATATGATTGATATGACAACAAAACGTCTCTTTACAATTCAAACTCAAGATATGACAACAATCTTACTTGTTAAAATCAGTAAAGGCCTGGATGACACGCTTACACCAATATTAAACAGCAAGATTGTTTGTAGTATGCGTGTTTAGGTCTTTAAGAATATGAATTGTATAAAGAATAAAACCAAATGTTCAAATCAATAGTAATTTTGTCTTATTTGAGATAATAGGTTCATCAAGAAAGGATTATTAAAACATACCTAAGCAAATAGGACATTGCACGTCTCTCCGAATGTCTGACAATTTCACGGCTACAAATCTGGAAAATAAAACCAGACAGAAGATTTAGCATGTCGGATCAATGGCAAGACATCTGAGATCGTGCTATACTGTTCACCAGGCAACTAAACAACCGATAAACAACTTTTAATTCGGACACATATTCTACAACGCAACCCACCCAAATAGTTCGTTCATCGAACTAGCGGAAGAGTACCGCTCAAGTTGTCAAAATTTTGGGTAAAATCGTTCTCAATGGAATGTCGGGTTTCCCGTCGTTAACTTTTAGGTATTTGCGTAAAATTGGATCCAACGATGAATGGCGGGAATTAGCAAGTTTTTTCCGTGAAAACTTCTGTTACAGTAAGCTCGATTCCACGTTGAGTGAATGCTTGATCTCGGATCATGTGAGCTTTAACATGGTAGAGAAGCTAAAACCATGTGAGCTCCAACGTCATTACCCACCCAGCAACTCGTAGCATATGTAAAAACAGATTGATCGCATATACGGCCTCAAGAACCTACTTAGCCAACAAGATCCAGCACCCAATTCCACTAACCTTAATCGGAAAAGAAACTAAAATTAAAAATAAAGAAAACTCCGGTGCAGGATAAAAACCGACGAAAGCCTCAGACGTGAAGACTACACAGCTGGTCTTCGAAGGCGGTCGTAGCAAGAACTTACAGAACAATACCACGAAGCAGACCATGCAGATCCCAAAACAATCCCAAGCAGTTAAGCACCAAAGAACTCCATAACCAACCAGATGAAATAAGTCAACAGAGAAAATAGAGTAAAAAGGAACAGCGCGAAGAAGATGACGAACAAAAAGAAGCAAAACAGAGCTCATAATAAACGGAACATACTCGTCCTCATCTTCTTGACTGGATGAAGAGCTTCGATCGGATTCTGTAGAAAGAAGGAGCAACATAGAACACCAGGAACTCAGTACACGCGCAAGAAAAGAATTAAACAAACAAATAATAACATATATGGAATGCAGGAACATGAAAGATTGGGTTGCATCATGAAAATTTAGGGTGCTGAGCAGAAAAAGAAGCGTACCCTCAGATTCTCCGTCTTCAGAGCGATCATTGAAGGTATCATGGAGTCGCGGCAAAAGATCAGCATGAACAGTCTCGTAAACGCGCTTCCGAGCCGGCATTGCTTTGGGTTGAAGCAAAATAAGTTGAAGAAACAACGAAAAGAAGTTGTAAGTTCACCAAAATTGACGTTGGTAGAGATGATGAAGGGGGCGGTGGAGCAAAATGGCAGAGCCGAAGGGGGGAAGGAGCCTCGTGTTCGTGGTTTTTCTTTCAACAAACCAATTTCCACGGCATCAGATTGATAAAAGAAAAGGCACACCAAACAATTTTGGAACGGTCCTTCATCAAGTCTACATATATACGAATTTGCATCCACCACAATCAAGCTATTCTAGGGTATTTTAGTAAATCTGCATACACCCATTTGTTCCAATTTTTCCTTATAAACATCATAAACTCATTCTTGTACCTTTTTTTCCCTCTTTCATTTGTCTGCTTCTACATTCTCTTTGCCGCTCCCTCCTACCAAATTATACTCCTATGTCCGATTTATGTTTTTTCTTAAACTTTAAAATAAGTAATCCGCTAAACATAAATAAATGGATAAAAATGATCGGCAGAAACCCGGTCCCCACAAAATTCTCGTGGGGAATCCATGTCACAATCTCCACATAAATAAATAGAGAATTTCACAGAGATCGATAATTAAATAAGTAGTGAGAATGGAGATGAGGAAGCCTCAGTGTCCCCACCACATCTAGACATCTCTACTTGTAAACTGGGTCGATCCTAAAAAAAAAAAAATAATAATAATAATAATTATATTGATAGTTTTTTTTTTTTTTTACTACCGATGGTTCTTGATACAATAATTTCTCTCTATATATATTTATTGTATATTCACTTTATTAAATTTTGGTCGGGGAGATATTTTATGGATGGTCAGTTGGGATAACATTTTTAAATTGAATATAAAGAAGGTTCTGTTGAGATTTGATAAGTTTATTGAAGTTGGGTGATAATGTTAGTTAATGCTGACATGAGTGCGATTTAATTTTTTTGCAAGTTCCGTTTAAAAACATTAATTTCTTGACGGGAGTTTGTTCAGATAAGATGGCATCCACGTCATATTTTGTTGTTTAAATCGTGGCTGAAAGTGAAAGATGGTCTTCTACATAGGAGTTTGGAATGGTCTCTTCTGACTTTTTAGCATAGATATTTGTGTTATCACTAACGGATTTCACAACAACTTATAAATTATTGATATGATTAAATTAAATTAAATTTTGAATTAAAATAGGATTTAAACATAAACAATATTCAAAGTATTAAATAAATAAATAAAAACACCAATTAGAGAGAGCAATTATCTATGTGGCATTGTAACACACGGTAAAAGTCAATACTCAATGACACGTCAGCTTTAGATAGTAAATCTACTCGAAAGGTCGAGTCATAGTGTGTGTACGTCACAACTGCCACACGCCTACCTCACTTTTTACCGTTCCACGTCAGCTTTAACAAATACCCTTCATTTCACCTTATTTACAAGCTCACTGCAGCTTTTCCCGTCATCCCATGGAGGCTATTACTGTCATTTCACAGAGCAGTTTGAATCCCTTAAATCTCAACAGAAATCAGCTAATAACTCCCACTTCTTCGATTAGTTTTTGCACCATACATGGCTCGTAATCTCAGACTCCATGCACTCATAGTGCTTCTGCTTCTCGTCTCCTTCTGGACTCCATCGTGTTCGGAGTCAATTCCAACTCCTAATTCCCAATGCCAAACTCAGCTCCAACAAGGCTGCCATGACAGACCCAAGTCCCTCGAACTCAAGCTCATCGCCATCGCAACCATTTTAGTTGCGAGCATGATCGGCGTTTGTCTTCCCCTGTTCTCCCGCGCGGTACCGCTGCTTCAACCAGAGGGAAACCCCTTCGCAATCGTTAAGGCATTTGCCTCCGGCGTGATTTTAGCCACTGGGTATATGCACGTTTTGCCCGATTCGTTCAATTGCTTGACATCCCCTTGTTTGCCGGAGAACCCATGGCGGAAATTCCCTTTCACCACATTCATAGCCATGATTTCGGCTGTGATGACTTTAATGTTGGACTCGTTTTCGATGAGTCGATACAAGAAAGAGTTGATGGAGGCTGAAGCTGCAGAAGAAAAACAGAACGAGGGCATGGAAATCGATGACAACTTGGGGAGAGAAGAAGGAACCGATAAAAAACTTGGTCCGAAATTGGTACGACACCGTGTTATTGCGCAATTATTAGAAGCAGGGATCGTCGTGCATTCGGTGGTGATAGGGCTTTCAATGGGGGCTTCGGAAAATCCGTGCACCATAAGGCCGCTCATCGCTGCTCTCTGCTTCCATCAGCTGTTTGAAGGGATGGGGCTTGGAGGGTGCATTCTGCAAGCAGAATACGGGTTGAAGATGAAAGCAATCATGGTGTTGTTCTTCTCGATCACGACGCCATTTGGAATAGCATTGGGGATTGGGTTGTCGAATGTGTATAGTGATAATAGTCCCACGGCTCTTATAGTTGTGGGGATTTTGAATGCTTTATCTGCTGGGTTGCTGAATTATATGGCATTGGTTGATTTGTTGGCGTATGATTTCATGGGGCAGAAGTTGCAAGCCAATCTCACGCTTCATATATCGGCTTACGTTGCGGTTTTTCTGGGCGCTGGAGGCATGTCTTTAATGGCAAAATGGGCTTAGTTTTAATGCGGATAGTGTTTTTTGATCATTGTTTTTTTCCTCGGAGTTTTAAAGATTACTGTTTATAGAACACATGCCGTTGATAAATTTGAAAATAATCATGGACAGTGAAGAACATCAAATTACACGAAAACCCCAAATTTTAGTTTCTATTTGTTTATTTCATGTCAAGCTTACTTACCATTACTTTAAAGAAGATTAAATTAAAAAATGATATGCTGTTGGAAGAAGAATCTAGTTCATCGTGACAGAATGGAAGAAGAATCTTCTCTGAGAAGAACTTTGATTGATTTATACAATAGAAAAAATCTGAAACTAAAATCTAAAATCTAAAATCAACCTCAAATCCATCAGGAAGAAGAGGAACAGAACAGCTTAAATTTCTAAATTTCTCAGATTCTTTCTTATCTTCCATTTCCAATTTCCCGATGAATTAATTTTCCCGGTAAATACCTATATTATTGGCTTTCTGTTTCAAAATCCGTAATGCGTAGTTGAGGAACTCGTAGTATTCCAACACGATTTTCTCCAGTGCTTCCAGAGTGTCCAAACTTGAATCAAACGGATCAAACGATTCTTCTTCAAGTTTCTTTGTCGCTGTTTTCACCTCGTGAGATTCTTCTACAGATTCTTCTTTGTTTTTCCCTTTCTTTTCTTTTTCTTTGGTTGGAAGAAGAACTTGGAAGTCTGCTAGACTTGAACGATTCGATTCTTCCTCGTCATCGTTGATCGGATTTTTCTTGATACCGTTTCGAGAAAGTGATGCATCGTTATCGAGATCCTCCGCATTTTCTTCTTGCATTTTAGGCTTGAATCCGCCATCGGTTTCTTCGTTTGCAAGGCTTCGATCATCTTGTTCTTTCTTGAATTCTGGATCTGAGTCCTCCATGACCAATTTGTTCAACCGAAGGACAATGTCTTCGTTCTGCTCGACTTCTTCAGGTATCATGTTGGAAACCGAATTCAAGGGATTTTGCTTGTAAAAGACTGATTCAGGGAGGCGCAAAAATGCAACTCTGATCCGCTTCGGTTTCGTAACTTCAGAACCAGAGGAATGCTCTCTCGCCTCCCGCTTTGTTTCCCATTTATAGCCAACGAAAAAGCAATTTTTACCTAATATTAACCAATTCTAAATGTAATTACCATTTAATATTAAGCAATATTTAGTTTTTATAATTATTATTTTATTTTAGTAAGATAACACTGTCGAATATCTTTACCCCCAGGCCCAGAGTCAACTCACACGCACCCATATATATAATGACGCAGACTCACATTCCCCCGTTCGCGGCCTCGTTTCGCGCACTCCTCGCCCGCGCGCCCCCCAAGAAGGTCTACTGCCTGATTGCTTCTACCGAAGGCTGCTATCCTCAAGGATCTCAACGCCGTCTTCTTCATCTCGATTCTTCACTGTACCTCACAGGTAATTCATTCGGCCCGATTTTTCTTTAATCTTCTGTAACTATGCTTGAATTAATACTGAAGTTTGCTTCATTTCTTTCTATTTTTTTTTTAAATTTATTTCTCTTTAATCTTTTTGTAACTATGTTTAGATTAATAACGAAGCTAGCTTCATTCCTTCCTTTCTTTCTTCATTTCCTTTCATTCCTCTTCTTCTTTCTTTCATTTCCTTATCTCCTTCCGTGCAAGGCATCTGAATCTGATGTTAATTTCTCGGAAATTAGCATCGAATATGGTCAATTTTATGCGATTATAATAGATAAGGGCGTTCCGTGGATAATCTTGAACCAGATGAATATGGAAGATAGTTTTGATTAGTTGCGCCTTCCCTGGGTTGACAAATATTCATTAATTCTTGGTGTAACAGTAATTTCTCCAATGTATTTTGACGTACAATCCAGATTAATCGTTGAAGTTATTTTGAGAGGTTATGATTTTCGACTTTTGCCCAATTTGATTTCTCATTGAGAAGTAATCAAGTACTCAGGTTGTAATTCATACAATTATAAACGAAGTGATTAATATCGAAGCTCAAACTAAGACGGAAAAAAAACTAGAAAATGGATAAGTCACAGAATGTAATACCTAACGTAGACAAGTACCGAACATAATTTCTAAAGATGTTTTCTTGGTCACTTTTTTAACGACATTGGCTTGGAGGAAAAACTTTTGATTTTGATTGTTATCCATACTTAGGTTGTATAGTAAACAATGTAATTTTTTATTTTTTTACTCCCATTTTAATTTAGTTATTAAAAATATTCTTACGTTTACGAAAATGATGAAAAGTAAGAATGTAATTGATATTTAACAGAAGTTGAGGTTTTAGAAAACGGTGAATAGAAATTTCATTGAAAATTAGATAATTTTCATTTATGTTCAGAAAAACAAAGAGATTAATAATTTTATTAAGATTTTAAACAACCAAGGAAATTAATTTAGTATTTGATGTGAATATGGATTTTTATGACAAAAATAAAGATTATAAACCTATGTGTAAATGATCTATTTGCATTTTCTTTTAAATTGTACAATCCTATGCGTATTGGTTGGAAAGCCTCTGATGATATGCTAGTGGCTTGAGGAGCTTCGTAGGGTGTAGGAGAAACGAGTGACTTGTAGATACAGAAATCAGTATCCTTTCCTAATGCAAAATTAAGACCAGAAAATCCAGATCAGTGAATTCAAGAGGAGTGTTGTGAATCCTTTTGTTTAATTGGGGTAAGTGTTATAATGTAGATGCCTGGCTTAGCTTATGTGATTTTATAAATTGCAAGTTTCTACATGAAGCGAATAGCAGATTCATTTTATTAGCTGTCCTTTGAATTCTAAGCTTATTTTCATGGGAATGGTGGAAACTGTGCATAATCGTTTGTGCAATTGAACTATTTGTATTTGTACTATTCCTCCAAACCAGCCTGTCCTCCTGTCATGGCTACGCGGGAAGTTGTGGATCATGCCAGAAATTTTGCCGTCATGGTCAGAGTCCAAGGCCCTGTGAGTCCTTATCTTTCTTGCCCCTTTTCCATGTTCCCGTGCTTGCAATTTCCGTTGAGATGGTGAAAAATCAGTGCGAGCCTTATGATTTAGGACCCGAAGGGCCTGAAGATGCAAAAACATGCATTCCATCAGTATCAGTGAGAACCTTCTTATGTAATAGATTTATTTAAGGGTTGTATGTTTTTAACTTGGAAAAAGATTTATTGATTCCCTCTATCTTTTTTGGCATGTAAAGTTCTGGGAGAACAACTCTTTCAGCATCTGGAATGATATTACCTGAAACCCTGTATGACACCAGGGTCGCTAAGCATCTTGGTAATTATAAGGATCAATTTGCAACGTTGGTTCTGACTGTTTCCTCCATTTTTGAGCCTTTTATGCCACTTCAGCACAGAAATACTATTCACAAGGTTAACTTCGTTTACAATGCTGTAGAGGGGGGGAATGTATGTTCTGGTCTTGTTTTAGTTATAAATTATCGTTTCCCCTTGTCATATATGTCATTACCTGGGTTAATATATTTGATTATCCAATATATGAGCTGCAGGGAAAGCCTGAGCTAATTCCTGGTGTTCAGATTGATATTATGGTTGAGGTATAATTTATAAGGTTGTAATTGTATATTTGATAAGTTCACAGCTCTTCTTGAATGGTTAATTTGGCATTTAAAATCACACATTATTAATCCATTGCTGCACAGGGTAACTCATTGATGGAGAGAGATTCTGATGTTAGTAAAACTCCACATTGGCATGCTGCCCACTTGTTGGCTTTGGTAGGCATTCATATTTTTTTATTAACTAGTTGGGGTTCTAACAGTTTCATGAAATCCAAATTCGACTTCTCTTTTTTGAGGGCAATGCTTAGATCGCAGGGTAAATTTCTGTAATCGTGGATAAAATTTAGCCTATATTTTTTCTTATGTGCGTTTTATTTTGAGCTACAAGTTTGCTGATCCCATTGCCGTATAAACCAACATTACATAAATTTAGGATTACGGGTCCTTCCCAACAATGTCATGTTTACTCAGCTACTCTGCTTCCGATAACAAGCAAGTGCACTTTTTTTTTCTATCTTTTATCATGTTTTTGAGTTTATTTATCTGGCATGCAATTGTTTTCATGTAATTTAGATACCATGTTTGCAGTATGATATACCTACAGCTGCTCTTAAACCAGTCATGGATGCTTCTTTGGATTCATTACATCAGAGATGGGAGGTCGGCTGGTCTTTGGCCTCATATAAAAATGGTTCTCCATCCTTCAGGGATTCTCTTCGGGGACAGGTTTTAAATCTTCTGTCTTTTACTAATGAACTAAAGCAAAACTTGCTTGAAGAAAGAAATGAACCTAACTCTTGATAAATGAAATTTAGCGGTTGTTCTAATTATTATTCTGTAAAGAAAAATTTCTCTAGGAAGAGCCATTGTATGTAAGTCTTCAGAATGGTGAGTGATGTTTGGGTTGATAAAAAAAAGGTTGAATTACCATGGTGTAATCATGCGGAGATTTCACATCCGGGAGTTCTACTTCTGGTTAGAACTTCAATCACCATATACACATTCCTCTCTCTTGTAATCTATATAACACGAGACATCTCAGTTAACCGTTATAGAAAACTAAAAAAAAGGTTGGCTTGCAATGTAGATAGAATCTTGTTCGGAGGTTCACCTCAAAGAAGCTGCATTTGGGCATTATCAGATTGAAATTCGCTTGTAACAACCATTCATTTTTTAAAAAAAAGTGAAAACCTTCAATTATTTTGGTGGAAAGTAGAACTAAAAGGGGACACAAATGAGGATTAGAACAAAGCCAAATATAATGCTTGAAGGAGACACCTAGCTAGATCAACTAAGCTTTCCATTACGCTTCACAGAGTTGCCCCAATTTGTACTAATTATATTTGGGGAACAATCACTTTAAGAGAGCCAGCGATATTCAGTTGAGAATTCATTATTTAGTTCCTTTTAGTAATATATTCATTGGCTCTTCTCAAGTATTGTTCTATTTATCAAAGATTGAAGCCACCAATTTATCTTTTGTTTTGTCACCATATTTTTGTCCTTTTCTTTTCTTTCTTTCTTTTTTTTTTTTTTTTTTTTTTTTTTTTTTTCATTTTAGTCTCCTGAGTGTAGTTTCTTGTTTATCTTCAGATTGAAAATGACGAGAATACCTTTGCTGGGAGCCAGAGATATTTGGATACGGAAGGATCTAACAAAAATAATGACTTGACAATAAGAATTGCTATTCTTGGTGTTCCCTCATTCTCAAAGGTGAATCTCTACCTCTCCTTACCTGTCATTCATTAGAAAATTGCTCTTTTGTAAACTGCAGATAAGCATTTCATGAATATTCGTAGCCTTATCTCCTTGACTTGTAGATGTCTACTTTTAGTTATTATATTTGGACTCTTTCTAGGACTTGCCAAACATCCGTTTATCTCCCTCAAGGCAGCGAGGATCCTTTCTTCTTGCTGTTGGTTCCCCTTTTGGTGTTCTATCACCGATGCATTTCCTTAACAGGTAGGTCAATTTTCTCTAACATTTGGTTAATAAAGTTTTATTGTTCTTAAAACTTGTCAAGACTAGCAAATTATTAGGACCGTATTCACGTTGAACTTTGTATAATCCTATATGCTAGTGGCTGTTCCTCTCATGTTTTTCTAGTTCAGCTAGTATTGATATCAGCATGACGAAATGGTATACTGGAATCTCAGTGATGACTTTAGTAGTTAATTGATAGATAAATTCTGCAGATGGCTGTAGAAGATTTTTTTTTTTGGCAGCATGTTTCTGAATTTGCAGTCTATTTTCTGGTTGCCGAGCCAAATTGCTTTCAAGGGTAAAATATACTACCAAATAATTCTGGTTCAGTCTATATTTACTTCATGCTGTAAATTACAGATGATGAGTTATGGGGTGTTGAAAAGATTATTACCCCCCTCCAAAAAAAAAAGAGTCTAGTTTCCTCATACAATTTGTAAAGCAAAAGAGACCATAGAGCCTTTTAGTTAAAATTTGACAGTTTCCTTGGACCAGTACCTTCAATATATAGGCTCATCATGTCAACAAATTGTTTGAACTGATTCTTGGATTTGAAATTTGCGCCGAGTGATTTCTGCAAAAGATGGGTTTGAAAAATGCTTCTTGTCATTTATGTCTAAAGCTCACACACGAAGACATGATATTTCTTTGCATTTTTTGTACTCCAAAAGTTAGCTGCTGTATTTTTTGTGACTAGTAGTCTTTGATTGTTTGCTCAAATTAGCATATCGGTTGGATCAATTTCCAATTGCTACCCTCCTAACTCGAGCAAGTCATTGCTGATTGCTGACATGCGGTGCCTTCCTGGTATGCAGATCTATCTGTTCTATGATATTCTGTTTTCTTCTGGTGGTTTCTTTCTTACAATTAGGATACTTTATCTGTTAGGAATGGAAGGCTGTCCGGTTTTTGATGAACATGCATGTCTGGTCGGTGTTCTGATTAGACCACTTGTGCATTATATGACTGGTGCTGAGATTCAGGTATAACGATACTGCTTGCTTCTCTTTATGTGCTATTAGTTTAATATCTCCTGGAGTTATTGCATTGTGTGAGACTCTAGCCTTGGGTAACAGCTGTTGATTCCATGGGGAGCCATTGCCACGGCTTGCAGTGGTCTACTTCTAGGGGCTTATAATGCTGGAGAAAGGATTGACAACGACAATGGGTGTATTAATGCTGTGGGGAATGAGGCAATGAATAAGGAACACAAATTTGAGGGAGCCTTTTGCAGTATCCAAGAAAACTCTAGTTGTTCTCGTCCTTTCCCATCTAAAATTGAGAAGGCAATGGCTTCTGTTTGTCTTGTTACAATTGGTGAAGGAATATGGGCATCTGGCGTTTTGCTCAATAGCCAAGGCCTAGTACTCACCAATGCCCACTTGATAGAGCCATGGAGATTTGGGAAAGCAAATGTTAGTGGAGAAAGATCGATTGAAAATGCCAAGCTGCTGCAGTCCTACACTGAGCGTTCTCCGTGTTCAATGCACAATGGTGTTTTTGGCGGCAAAAAGAGTGGAAATTTAACACAAAATGCCTCTAAGAATGCAAATATTCTTCTCCAGAACCAAATTGAGGGTAGTAAGTTGAATTTTGCTAACTATGGTCGTAGAAACTTGCGTGTTCGCTTGAATCATGCTGAGCCTTGGACATGGTGTGATGCTAAAGTGCTGTACATCTGCAAGGGACCTTGGGATGTTGCATTGTTGCAGCTTGAGCAAATTCCAGAGCAGCTCTCATCTATTATTATGGATTTTTCATGGCCGTCCGCAGGATCAAAGATACATGTTATTGGACATGGACTTTTGGGACCGAAATCGGGTACCTCTTGTCAAATTTGTTGTGTGATTTAGTTTGGCATGTTAAATTGGTGTTAGAAAAAGTTCTGTTAGGATTAGGGATGAACCAGACGGAGGAATATTTTCAGTTTCAACAGTTTTTTAGCAGTCACCATTATTATTTTTTAATGGGTTACTTGATTGCCAAAATGGATTCATTGGAAGGAAAAGGATTTTTTATTTGCATTACGTAGATGAATTTTAGTTCTTTTTTCTTTTTTCTTTTTCTTTTTCTTTTTCTTTCCCTTTTTAGATTAACTGAATCGAGTTTGAATTTTGTTAGGCTTCTCCCCATCTGTTTGCTCTGGTGTGGTAGCCAATGTGGTGAAAGCAAAGATTCCCCCATCTTATCATCAAGGAGATTCATTAGAATATTTTCCGGCGATGCTTGAAACAACAGCTGCAGTGCATCCTGGTTGTAGTGGGGGTGCTGTTGTCAATTCAGAAGGGCATATGATTGGACTTGTTACAAGGTACAGTGCAACAAATAAAGATCAATCTATCCACATCAGATTATGCTTGATTATTGGATTTGTTCCTCGATTCTCTGGTAGTGTATGAAAACAGTCCATTAATGTTATCGCTTTATTAGGAAGATACACATAAGTGGGAACAAGTTAAATGATATGCCTGCTTTTTAGTGTAGTTAGTTAATGATTTCTAATACCGAGCCACCATCAGTTTTATGGTGGATTACCTCTGGAAGTTGATAATTTCTGTGAAATGTTGATACAGCAATGCGAGGCATGGGCGAGGAGCTATTATTCCACACTTGAACTTCAGCATACCTTGTGCAGCTTTGGAACCCATTCATAGGTTCCTTAGAGGTGCGCCAGCTGAATCAATCCTACTGTGATTTTTCCAGCTTTTTTTATTTACGATCCATGACCATAACTTGCCACGCCATGTGTGCTAATTCTAATTGCTGTGTTTTTTCCATTTGCAGACACGAAGGACCTCTCAGTCGTAAAAGCTCTGGATGAACCAGATGAACAGCTTTCTTCTATATGGGCATTGATGTCACAGCGATCTCCCAAGCCCTCTCCTCTGCCTGATCTGCCTCAATTGCCAGGTGGAGACCATGAAACAAAGGGGAAAGGTTCTCGATTTGCAAAGTTCATTGCCGAACGACGAGAAGTATTCCGAAAGTTAACTCTTCATAGCGAGGAGGAAAAACTTCCATCTAATGTGATCCGTAGCAAGCTATGACCATTCAAACTTTGGGCATTCTACAGGTTGAAACGTCTGATCAGATGAAAGAAAACTGATGGGAACTGCATCACAATGATTAAAAACAGCGTTGCTTTTGGGTTTGAGTGTGTTCTTCTATATCTTTATATGATTGGCTCCATGGCTTCAGAGATGAAGACATTTAGCTACGATTCTAAATGTTCTGAATCGATTTTTTTATTTCACCAACAGGTATTTGAAATGAACCGCCCTTTACGATTAATATTTTTCCTTTACGCATGGTCTTAAAAGTTGTATTGAACTTCCATTTTTCATGTTTCTTCCACTACTAACTAGAACCTACACCACCACCAAATATTACTATTTGTCCTTTACGCATGGTCTTACGATTAATATTGAGCCTTGTACGGAGATTGAGCCCATTTAGGAAGTTTCCTGCAGGAACCAGGCCTACAGGCCCAAGTTTTGCGTCGTCATTACGGACCTTTAGTCTTTCACCTGGGAAAAATGGGCCTGAAGTTGATTCCGCGATCCAAAGAAGAAATATTGTCCAGATTGGTTTAATCGTTGAACAATATATATATATATATTAGAGGATTGGGTTGAATTGAAGGTAAGGGAAATGCGTGATTATGATGAAATGAAAGGAAGAGATGGGGAAATGAGTGGGGTGTTTTTATTACACAAAAGTGTGATAATGAATCAAAGGACAGAGATGTTTGTGTCTGCAAGTTGGGTTGTGGTCAGCCATTGATGGCTGCATCTACCTCTCTGAACTAGTTTCTTTCTGATCTCTCTTGATTGATGGGGACGGCGGCGGTGGCGGTGGTGGGAAGAAATTGAATGAAATTGTGGCTGTGCTGTGCTTATGGACCCCCCCCCCCCCCCCCCCCCCCCCCCCCCCCCCCCCCCCCCCCCCCCCCCCCCCCCCCCCCCCCCCCCCCCCCCCCCCCCCCCCCCCCCCCCCTCACTAATTCCAATTCTTACTTCTCTTTTACGATATTCTTCCTCTTTACCAAATTTATTTAATTTATATATTTATGGAAGAAATAATAATAAATAAATAATTAAATGGAGGAAGCTCCACAGAAGTTGAGGAAAAGCATGGTGCACAAATTTCCAAGTTCAAACATTTTCCATCCACTTTCCCTCCTTTCCTAATCTTTCCATCCATTTTCTATTTCATGGATTTCACATTCCTTCCCCACTTACCGGGTAGGAGCGTTGGAATCATTCGTTCTCGTCTTAACATTCTCCTTGACACATTGTTCAATGTCTAGCTTTAATACCGTTTATAAACAAATATTATCTCTCTCTGAATTTTTACTTCTGGATTTCTCTTCAATATGTTAAAATGCAATCTAATAAGAAGATTTTTTCATACTCTTATAATAAATGTTTTGTTCTCCTCTTCAACCAACGTGGGATCTTACAACATAGTGAGAAACATGCGTTCGAATTATTGGCTCATCTAGCCTAACCTAACATCATTTATGAGTTGCTCGTTCAACCATCCCTCAAAGACACGATCCACCCACCCAATGAAGAGATTAGATTTAAGAGACCAAGCTGAGGTAGAGATGATAATATCATTATTAAACAAGCAATGACTGTTTTCCTTGTAAGTCCCATTGCTGCAAAGTGCAAATTACAGAGCAAGGTAGTGAAAGGAGGGTAGTTCCAACAGGCGTCCCATTTTAGAGCGAGAGTGGGGTGAGGTGTGTAGGAGTATGAAAATAAAGTGGAAAGCTTTTGGCAGGTATTCTTTTATGGAACAAACCAAAGATTCTTTCAACACGCCAGCCCAGGCTTCAATTAAAAGCTCCATTAATCTTATAAACCACATTACTTTAAGCTTAACATAAACTGAGGTTGGTAGCACAGATCAGAGTGTACTCTTACTTTATCCAAAACAAAATCCATTCCTTCCCTATAACCCCTCCTTTGCTCTCTCTTAACCATTAATTACTTCCCTTTACTTTTATCTCCTTGTCTTTTCCTTCCCTTTCGAATTTTCCCATCTCTTTTATGGGTTTTTTTTCAGACCCACCACGTGAAATTTCATTACAAAAACACTAGCTTAATAAAGCTCTAATTTTTCACAAGAACTCAAGAAACCCCATTTATAAAATATCATAAAACTTGTAAAGATCAAAACTTTCACTGCCTTTGAATGTTTCAATCCCCTTAAGAACATGATTTCAATGATTTGTTTGAGTGGAGAAAGTGTGTAGCAACTGCAACATCATTTCTTTCTTCAACTCTATTCACAAATGCCCACAAGTTTCTCTCTCTCCAATTATTATACTCAACATGACACCCCCCCCCCTTTTTGTTGCTTAGCTTTTGGAAGAGAATATCTGGTTCTGTTCTCTTATTTTACCCTAATGCAACATCTAAGCCTCTCTCTCTTCTTCTTCTTCTTCAAGCTCAAGCTCTTCTCTTTGCTTTTGAATCTGGTAAATGATAAAAAAGGGTTGATCCATAATGGCTTCAGCTTCCCGGATTATGGATAAACCCCGTCAAGAACAACAACAACAACCACCACCGGTAGCACCGGCTCTTAAGTGCCCTCGTTGTGATTCTTCCAACACCAAATTTTGTTACTACAACAATTACAGCCTCTCTCAGCCACGGCACTTCTGCAAAGCCTGTAAACGCTACTGGACCCGCGGCGGAACCCTAAGAAATGTCCCCGTCGGTGGTGGCTGCCGGAAGAACAAGCGCCTCAAATCTTCTTCTTCTTCCTTCTCCTCAGTCAACGCTACTCCCACGTCAACCCCAACTCAAAAACCTCGCCTTCACAACAATTCCATCAATTCTGCTACTAATATTATTCCTTCTTCCCCAATGTTTTTTGGGGTTCATAACACTAACCCATCTCCCTTAAATCTTCAATTTTCAACTCTTGATTCTGTTTCTGGTCTTCTTAATCTTTCCCCGCCGCCGTTCGACGCCATTGGCTGTGGTTTAGGGTTTTCCCACATCGCTGATCTCCGTGAAACCTTCAATTCCCCTAAGCAAATTCAAGATATTTCAATCCATGCAACTCACTTCCATCCTCCCGCCATCTCATTCGATCGGAATTCGCAGCTTTTCGGTAATTTCGAAGCTGGTTTGATGAAGGAAGACTTGAACAGGTAAATCACTGTTGAACTCAAAAGTTTAAATTGATAGATTGTACGTAGAAAAATTAATTATTTGTTCGTATTCACTTAATAGGTTGTCCCATAATCAAACCGAGCAAGTCAATCCATCGAATTTTTCCGACCCTTCTCGGTTCTGGAACTCGGCAACCACGGCGACAAGCAATTGGCATGATCCGACTAATAATGGGTCCTCAATTGCTTCTCTATTCTAGGAGATCAAGGCATTGGCTGTCTATATAAGAAAAGACAAAGAATAAAGTTGAGGAGAGGAGTGGGATCGGAGCGATCATGTCAGCTGCAAGAACAGCTCAAACCCTTAAACTTTATCGATGTGGGTTTGAGAATTTTATAGGTAATTGCGCTGAGAGGAACCTCGGATCCTCTTTCATTCGTCGCTATAATACCATCCTATCAACAATTTAGAATCCAAGTTTTTTACTTTTCATTGATTCCAATTTCAATTACAATTTGGATTAACCTCAGCTACGCATGGACTTACATGCATGCATTCAAAGGGATCGGATACGTTTTTTTTTTTTTTTTTTTTTTTTTTTTTTTTTTTTTTTTTTTTTTTTTTTTTTTTTTTTTTTTTTTTTTTTTTTTTTTTTTTTTTTTTTTTTTTTTGTGGGTATGTATAGCTATGGGTATAGGAAGAAATCAGTGGAAGATTTGTTATGTTGTAACGGTGATGAAATTTAGATTCATATCAAATTCGTACTATCTTTTCGACATTTTAAAATTAACGTTCAACAATTAATTATGAAAGTGAGTTCTTTCTGGAATGTGGAGTCGTTTTCAAATTATAATCGAGCAGCCCAATTTCGAGCTTCACTTAATGATGAAGCTGTCTCTTGAACTAAAGTGACTTCAATTCGAGTTTGGTCCCAAAGCTAGCCTAGCTGCATCATAAACGAAAGGAGACACTTTTTTTTTTTGCCTTTTATATTGTCATTTTTCTTCCCTTTCCCCAATAACAACATAAAAAGAAAGAAACAAACAAACGAGAAACGTACGAACCGATCATCATTTTTGTAGCTCAATTTTAAGATACGTAAGTTTAACACGAGCATTATTTAATGGATCATGGTCGTGATAATCTGGAATAGATTAAAGTACTATAAGGATTAGTAATTGTTTATGTAATTGAGTGAGTAGGGCCAATTGCAAAGGGAAGTGGGTGATGATGGCAGAGAAGAAGGTGAAGGTGGGCAATGAGTCCAGCTATGGTTTAAAAGCTTGGAAGGGGCATTCATGGCGCTAAACAATTCCATGCAATGATAGCAAAGAGAAAGAGGGTATCATCATATATGATATATAATATTAATAATGGTTTAGTCAACAATGGAACGGAAAGGGTTATGTTATCTGGCCAAAGGGCAGGTGACCAAATGATGGTGGCGGGGTACCCACAGAGTCGTAGGGCAATGTGATGTGCTTCTTATGTTATCATTATCACTCCACTCGTGCATGCTTTGATTTAACAATTTCATTCCTAATTTTACAGATTTCATTTGATCGTTCGATTTATAGTCGATTTGAGTGCCTCGATTATCCTTAGAGAAAAAACATATTATTCTCTTATTTGAAGGGGAGTCTTTGTAACAGCTCAAGCCCACTACTAGCAAATATTGTCTAGTTTGATTCATTACGTATTCTCGTTAGTCTTACGATTTTAGAATGTGTTTGCTACAGAAAGGTTTTCACACCATTATAAATACTTTGTTTCCTCGACGTGGGATCTCACAATCCACTTCAGTTGGGGGCAGCGTTCTTGCTAGCACATCCCCAACCTGGGATCTCACAATCCACTTAAGTAGGCTTAGGTTGTTACAAACACCCGTCTCCTTCTCAAACATAAGCGTTTTTTTTTTTTTTTTTTTTGTGGTAACTATTTAGCTAGATAGCTCTTATTCTAACAGCATTTAACAAATTGGGTTCAAATTCCATCAGCTCTTTGGAATTTCATCAAGATCTGCCCAAGTGAAAATATTTTGATTCTTATTTTGAATCAAAATAAGAATCAAATTCCTAAGATTGTGATCTATGGTATCTGCTGCTTTAAATCATGTCATGGAGGCTTAATCGCGCCACTATTGTTACTGGGGTTGGCGGGGACGGTGCCAGCGTTCCAGACAATGGCACCGTCGGGCGCGGCCATAGGGTTAGAAATAGAATTGGTTATGTAGCTTTCTGGCCACCCCGCCGGAGAGCAGACGACTGATCCATTGTTTGGTACATTATTTCCGGTACATCAAACCCAATCAGAAAAATTGCATCTTTTGTTCAAAGATTGATCCATTGATCCTGATACTGCTGCGCCTTCATTATTTGATGATCAACCCGCCGCTGCATCTCTTAACCAAAGATGGGGCTTTCAATTTAATCTGTGAGCCCCAAAAAATGATATTCAGTTTCAGACACGCAGAAGTACGGCTTCTATTATTGGGGAGAAAAAACATGATGGTCTGGAAAAACCTCAGTTTTGTGGCTTTTGATGCGCTGAACAAAAATTAAAAAAAAAAAAAAAAAAATTAAGGATATTTGAGATTCTGGCAGCCATCAACGGCGGCGCTGGCGGTGGCTGACGGTTTCGTTCAATATATTTAATTACCTTAATCCCACTTTTTAAATTCCATTACTACTCTTCATTTCCATCTGTATATATATATATTTTTTTTTTAATTTTACAATTTCGTCTTTTTCATTTATTAGTTTTAATAATAATTTAACCTTGTGGATAATTAAATATGCAATATGATTGTCTGTGGGAAACAGGATGGTGACGCGTGTCCTTCAGCCGTTTCAACTGCTCCTTTGGAGTCTCCCAATTGTATACGTTCCCACGCGCTCCATCGTGCTTCTCGTTTTTTAAATCTTTTTCTTAATTAAAAAAGAAAAAAAAAAGTCAATGAGCCTTCTTGGCCCATTTTGCATAAATATGGGCCGATTTTAAGGGGAAAAGAATTGGCCCATTATTCCCATCCGCAAGCCCGGCAGTTGTTCGGTAACTGGCCTGCGTTACTTTGGAATTTGAGATTTGAAAAATATCTGCCAATTAGATAATACCTTTCTCCTCCATTTTTCGTTCCATAATATATATTGAAGTATATATTATAAACCCAAAAAAACAATGCTATATATCTTATAACTAAAAAGAAAATAGTACAAAACTATAAAATAATGTAATATATTACTTTTAATTTTTTTAATTTAAATTATTATATAAAGTATGGGTTGCGTAATACACACAACCACTGCATGGAGGAGTTGTTCTTTAATTTATATTACGACCCATCCGCGTTTTCTTGAAGTTGAAACTGAAACCGATTTAATTGTTTAAAGTATCGACAAAATCTGAAAAGTTGACATATATGACATAACTGACACTCGTTAGAATCGTGTCTGAGATTTGTTTTTCAATTTTTCGAAATGGTTGAGTTTTTTTTTTTTAATCCGAGAATTTACTTCCTTCCATCTATTCATTGAAGTCACCCAGTGTCCAATTAAACAAATTTAGGAATTAAAATTAAAAAGAAAAATCGAATCAGTATTTTTGCAGCCACGTTTGCAGCCACGTTTGCAGCCACGTTTGCAGCCACGTTTGCAGGATTAAGTAACGTTTGATGGGCCTGTTCCCACGGTATTGTTACGAATTTTAATGTTTTTGTAATAATGATAACTTACTTATTAATTAGGAAAAAAAATGTCAAGTTAATAAAAATTCTTCCTAAAATAATATTTTTAAAATTTTAAAAGTTTCAATCAAATCTTTAAATTAAAAAAAAATTAAAATTATCCGTTACTATTCTATTTCAAAAATATCTTTGAACTTTAAAAAATATTTCAAAAAATTTGTATATGAATAAATAAAATATAATATGTAATTTCCCATTAAATATTTTGGTATTTCCTATTATTGACTATTCTATGAACATGGTATATTATTTATTGAAATTGAAATTGAAATTGTATTTTATTGGAGCCTTAATAAATATTTTAAGAAAGGAAAAAAAGTCCTACACATTTCCCCCCTTTTTTTTAAAATATAAATAATAAGACTATATCTTACCTATTATTTCTCACATAATATCATAAATAATTATTTAACGATTCCTTCACTCCCACTGCCAATAGATTTATTTTTTAAGATATAAAAATCTACGCTGCCACCAATTATGAAACACGACACGACAATTTATTTATTGTTTTCTTTATCCATTTAATTTATTTTTAGTTAAAAATATGGTTGTTCCATAACATTCTTTTTAGCCAAAATTCAAGTTTTTGTCTCTACTCTTACTCCGATAAGTCAACCTGTTCAAGTATTCCAAAATAATAAGTATTTTTCATCGACTTTATAAGAAAAATATTAATGTTCATACCATTTAATATTATAAAGTTGGAATACATTATTTTATTTTATTTTTTTAATCACACTAATATAAAACTATCTCAACTTTAGTTTTTAAATTTTTTAAATTTACAAATTCATTAAAAAAATTTGAGACTAAACAAACATAAATATTATCCTTTTAATGGATGTAAAATTTTACATTCAAATTTATCGACTAAATTTATAGCATATCCTTAAAATTTTCTTTTTTCGGGTGTCTTCATATGGTATTTAGTTTCATTCTAAGGAAACGAGCCAAAAAAACACTCCTAACTATTTAACATTTGACACGTTATTAAATAATATATTATTTAATTTTATTAATTTCGTACCATTACTTAAAAATAAGTATAATAAAAAGAGATAGTATAAAAATAAATTAATACTATATATCTCTCTGTTATATATATATATATATATATATATATATATATATATAGTCACACTACTCTTGACCTTTTGGCTCAGATGAATGTGCTTCCCAAAACCCACACTCTTCCGCCCACCTGTCAGTCTCTCCGCCGCCTCGGACCGCTCATTTCCCTCTTCCAAACCCCATTTCTCTCCCACCCTTTTTAACCCCCACTCGCTTGCCTGACTACACACCCNAATAAGACTTTACTTTCAACCATCTCCCCATCTCTCTTTTCCTTTTTGTTTTAATTTCCATTCATATGGACGATGACAACCACCACCACGATCTGGCTCCACTCTCCTCCGCCACTCTCTCCGCCGCCACCATTCTCCTCTCTCCTCCTCCTCCTCCTCCACAAGACTCCCATCTCCCACCTATTCTCTCGCAACACTGCTTAGGCTTCTCCTCCCCCGCCCCAAAATCCTATTTTTTCACAAACCCTCCTCCGCCTCTTCACGACCAACTCCCTTCCCATTTCCCGCCTTCCTCCGCC